GACGTTGCCGCGTTCTGAATTGCACGCGATACCACCCGACAAAAACGCCGGTTCGCACAAGGACTCCTATCGTGCGCAAGTAGTATGTAGGCTGCCGAGGCCCTGAGTCTTGACTCCATCCTCAGCAGAACTCGTGCATGTCGCGGTGATATCATCGACACGGTCAGGATTGCCGCAATGTTCGACCCTGCGTTCACCGAGATGTGGCGCATCAGAGACGTTCGTGGTGCGATTCCCGCCGAAGGTTATTCATGCTATCGACATCCTCACCAGGATTTTCTCCGTCTCGCGGAAACCCACACGCCCTCGGGCGTGCATGATCCTTGCAAACTGTCTCGGTTCTCGACGACGCATCCCTGCGACCGTCTGCACAGCGCGGATCTGACCTGCCTGACGTCATACGTCAGCCCGAAGGGCGGCAAGAACGTTTCTGCCATGTCACCCATTCAGATCGGACTTCCGGTTACATCAGTTTGACATGGACTCCAAGGGCGCGGCAAAAAGCGCATACAAAACCAGCGTTCATGTATTCGGTGTGGGTAGCGAACGCGACGATCCACCACAATCTACTCACCACCGGTCCCTTCCTCCTCCTAATCCCTTGCACCCGACATCCTAGGCTGCCCCAATGTCAGCCATGCTCCGCCGCGGCGCGCTCGCGACCGACCTCCAAGCGGCCGCGCTCGAATACGTCGGCACGACGACGTTCCTCCTCCTCTTCTTCGGCGCCATCCAGGCCGTCTCGGTCCAAGACCCGAACGTGGCCTCCTCGCCTATCGTCGAGACGCAGCTTTACATCGCCACCTCAGGCGGCATCTCCCTCCTCATCTCCGCCTGGCTCTTCTTCCGCGTCACTGGCGCGATCTTCAACCCCAACGTCGCGCTCGCGCTCGTGCTCTGCAAGATCATCAGCCCCATCCGATTCGTGCTGTTTTGCATCGCGCAGCTGCTCGGCGGGATCACCGCTGCGGCGTTGATTCTCGCGTTGACCTCAGGGGCCACGTCTTCGAAGTAAGCTCACCTCCCATTCGTCTTGTCGTGGATCTTTTCTGACTCTCTCACCCGCACAGCACCACGCTCGGACCGAATATCAACTCTGCCCAGGGCGTATTCATCGAGATGTTCATCACGGCCGCGCTCTGCCTCGCCGTGCTCATGCTCGCCGCCGAAAAGCACATTGCGACCCCCTTTGCACCGGTCGGCATCGGCCTCACCCTGTTCGCGGGCTTGCTGTGCGTCCAACGGCCCCCAATTTGATATTCCTCACCAGTACCCTGACGCTTCTTCACCAGATTCGCGATACCATACACGGGCGGATCGATGAACGCGGCGCGTTCCTTCGGACCCGCCGTCGTTTCAGGCTTCCCGCACGGGAACCACTGGATCGTGAGTACTTGCCTCTCCCGCACACCTCACCCGTACCCCGATCTAACGCGCCTGCAGTACTGGGTCGGCCCCGGTCTCGGATCCCTCCTCGCCGTCGCCATCTACTGGGTATTAAAATAGTCAGTACCCCAGATCCGTTGCCCCCTACCCGCACGCTCCCACTGACCTCCGTACTTTTTCAGCTGCGAATACTGGACCCTCGCACCGGGCCAAGACTCGATCGACTTCAACCACTCGCCTGACCCGCTACCATCGTCGATGACAGAGACGACGCGCCCGAACGATAGCGCCGTCTAAGCCACTATCGCCCGCCCACGACACGACCCGCCAGCATCTCATGACCGAAAAGACCACACACACATGCACGCAGACACGACAATATGAATGTTGAATTTTGTAATCGCAAAAGGAGGGAACTGTGACCTTCCTTCATCTCCTCGCAATCTTATATCAGTATGGCATCCTTGGTGTATCATATAGTAAATCTCTTTCTGCCTCATACAATTGCATCACTTTACAGATTTTCAGCCAGGGCAATATCGTCGTTGGTAGTCAGCGAGTAATGTACAGGAAAAGCGCGCTTCCATAATACAGGGACGATTACAGTAAGGTACAGTACACTATGTATATATGTATACATCATCCGGATCCGTCCATAGTGCCTCTTGTGTGTGCGTAGCGTGTGGTATACAAGTCCGCGTCAGCCTCCTATCCAGGGTATCATTCAGGTGATCCGCTGTCACCGTCGCCCGCGTTCGGATCCTCCCGCCACAGCGTTTCCCAAAGCTGGATCACGCTCCCGATCAAGAACGCCCACCCGCCCCAGAACGTGCATAGCACGGACTGGTAGTTGACCTGCCGTTTCCATTCCATTACAGTCAGACAATTCCATCGGCCCGACTAACGAGTGCGAAACGAACGGACCTTCGTCGACACCAGGGACGCGTACCCCAGCGCACCGCAGAGCATGAAGCCGACGGCCCCGATCAGGTTCCACAGCCCGATGTGCCTGTCAAATACAAAGCGCCAACTGAGCGGAAAGGGTCGAAAACGGGCAGAGAGGGGCGGTTTACCATCCTAAGCTCTTCAGGGCCGGGCGCCACCACGCTTTTTGCGTCTCGAGCATGAGCAACGACGAGGCTACGATGAAGCCCCAGCCACCGATGACCTGCATGACGGATGCGTCGGTACTTCCTCTCGTGAAAAGGGGTAAAACGGAGTCAGGGGACGCACCTGAGGCGTCCAGAAGAACACGTCCGTGATCGCTGTCGGAGGATCATCCGGGAAATCATGTATGACGCCCGGTAACCCCGTTCTGTCACCGCCACGTCAGCATCACAAGTAGGACACACAGGAAAAGCCAGCGACGCACATCGTGGAGACCCAGAATATCGTGGCGGCGTACATTTGGATGTACGACGCGAGGAAGCCAATGTCGCGCCAACTGTTCAGGCCTCTGTATCACGGCGCGATTTCAATACTTGGGCGACGAGGTCATGAATGAAAAGGTACCGACATCCAGCGAAAACGGCCGGGGCCCCATGGCGCATTCGGACCTGCAGCGTCAAGCGTCTCCGTCGATCCTGATGAACAACTGGGTCAGTGTCGGCACTAGCGAGGACGATGAAGGGCATCTTGGCAGACCTAGTGCGTAATCATGCGCGGGCTTGTCGATCAGGTTCCAAAGTGCTGGTCCGAAGAGGTTCTCGTGGCCCGTGTTGAGCGACTCGACGAGCATCAGGTACGAGCCAACCTGCAGGCGCGCACGATGAGCAAATATTGAAGGCGAACGAGAACAGCGATGAAGTATACCTCGAACAGCGTTCCACCGGCGAACGCCCACCACGCAGCAGCAGTCTGGTGGTCCGATGCCTCGTTTAAGAGCGGGAGGAAGAGATAAAAGCCATTCACCACCTGCATGCAACGGGTTAAAGCACGTCAGGAATCTCACAAAACAGAACGGACAGGCAAGACCCACTAACCCACGCTGTACTCCCCAGCACGAAGACGATCGCAACCCAGAAGGAGATGTCCCAAGCTAAGTGCACCTTGAGCTTCGTGTGGGGATGTCTCACGCGCTGCGCTACGAGCACGGCGTCCCTCGCCACCCCCGTCTTCTCCGCGTCGGTCACTGGCGGCGTGCCAGGTGAGTGGGATACGTGCACAGCGCCAGGCGCATAACGATTCTTGCGCGATGCGCGCGAGCTCCACTCACTCGGCGCTTTGCCATCCTGTGCGCCGCTATGGATCGTTGGATGAAGCTCCGCGTGGGTTGGGTGGAAGAAAGGCAGCGGCGCCGTGTTCGTAGACCGATGCGTGGTGAAATGGCGCGCGGGGTGCGGATGACCGTGCAGCGTCCCGTTCGAAGGATTGTGGTGCGACGAGGGCACAGACGTCCGTGCATCCTCGTTCTGGCGACTCGACCTGCTGAGCCTCCATGAGCGTTTTTTCTTGGGTGCCCCGTCGTCGCCGTCCGCCGTCCCTCGCGGGGTCGGGCGCGGCCACGAGTCGGAGGAAAAGTGGGAGTGCGGTTCCGGGCGCTGCGGGATAGGTTCGCCGCTGGCGTCGTCTTGGGTCGCCATTCCACGGTTTGGCTAAGCGGGTGAGGGGAAGAGGACAAGTTACAGGTGGGAGTTCGTTGTGGAGTGTGCAGTCCTTGAGAACGCGAATGCGGATGAAATCATGGGGTCAGAAATCGTGCTGCACCCAGTCTGAGGTTAGGGTCCGCTACCTGCATACACACGTGAGTAAGGTGGCGCATTCCGCCTCCCCTTGCAGTTTGCTCGAGTAAATCTATATCAATGCGCATGCGTATACAATTAAAGTGGTATCAGACAGTTGGTACAGTCAGAGCCGAGTCTGAACGGATGCGGGAACCTTGTTCTACCTGTTGTGGAGACACTTCGTCAGATCACTGTGGTCCGAGCACAAAATACCATCGTTTGATTCAATCCTGTTGGGCCCATGTGCTGTACATTGCCCTACACCCACAAGGAGGCTTGTTCGGAATGGCCCAAACAAATCTCGAGTCCTTGCATCAAAGCAGTGGCATCCATGTTATTAGGGTTGCTGAAACTACGATCTAAGTACTATATAATGACTAAGATAACTCATTCCTTTGATGTTACAAGTCGCTAAAGTCCCAGATGCTTGTAAGTCCGTGATGTCTATGACTACTTGGTTGTCCAACATGAAAGGTCGTCGCCTAAAACCCTGTACGGTTGCACACCACTAGCAGACGTGCGTGGTCGAACCCTCGCACCACTGCGACACGTCGTCGTTACCGTTGTGCCCACAGACAGCAATGTCTGTGTAGCTCGGTCCGGTTGAGTCGCGGCGATGGATGACGTCCATCGTCACCGGGATCTCTTCAGCTGGGCCACTGTAGTCCGAATTGTAAACAGCCGGTCCTATGCAGAACCACGTCAATGGTGACTCCTCGTGAGCATCAATGACAACGTACCTCCGGTATGGTAGGTGTATGTCGCGACGAGGCACTTGCCGCTCCCGTAGTCGTAATAAACACCACAGCCACAATCGCCGTACCCGCTATCCGCGCAGGTCTTGATCACGGCCTTCTCGAGGAGCGCGTAAGCATAGCAGTCCATGATACCGTCGTTCCAGACATCGTACTGGCCGACGTAGGCACAGCCGGTCTGCGAAACGGCGTCGGCGGAGTTACAAAGCACGTTGTACTCCTCGCCGTTCGTGCAGAACTGCCCGGTGTTCGAGCCGGAGAACCATTTCTGAACGGCGTCGTAGATGTCGGTGTATTCTGGAGACTGAATGGCGCCGGCACCGGTACATCCGATGTCAAACGTCCAATCGGTGCTTCTGGTTACACGACTGTTGAGACGAGGAGTGGGTCAGGTACACCATTACAAAAGGGGGCGGCAGAGTGAACGCACCTAGTGACATTTGTCCATTCCTGCGGCATGGTCCGCACGGCGTCAACGGCCTCGCTCCAAGAAGTATATCGTGTGTCGTGAGCTAGAGCTGTCGCAGCCCAAAGCGTTATCGTTGGTAGTAAGGTAAAGGTCGTAAAGGTCGTCTTCATCGAACTGAGTATGTTGTTGTGATTGGTGATGTTCAAAACGAACGACAAGCCGCCTTTTATACCGACGCCATGAAGGGGTCGCACGGATGCAAGTTGTCGATAGACGGCGGGCATACACCCAGGAAGGGTGTAGGTCCTGGCTAGCCCGCCAGGGCTGTGCGCCCCGGTCTGAGAGAGCATGGGCAGTCGTCGCCGTCAGCCGATTATCGTTCGTTATTTCCGGAGCAAGACCGTGCACATGACCACGAATATCTGAACGAGCGGGTATCGGCCACGGGTGAACTATGTATTTGGGCATCAAGCCGAAGACGAAATCATCCTGTCTTGGTCTTCATGACCCTTTCTACTGGACAGCTTGGGGCGGCAGTCATTCAAACACTGAGTGTGTTCTGTGTCCAGGAAACGGCTGTGGCAAGCGAGGGAACGTCGGAAGGAGTGGGTTATGGACGGATCTGGGTTGCGGATAGCGGACCAACGCGGAACCTCAACACGGGGGCTGCCAATTATGGGAAGTCCCGACGGAGAGTACTTGCGCCACTCGCTGACCAGTTCGAGGTTACGCCCCGCCGAGTCCCGCCCGGCAGAGCTATGGCCGCATCCCGTCCTATTTCTTCCGATTTCATGATGGATGCACTATGCGCACAGCCAGACTACTTCCTAGGCCTATGTGCCCTATGGTTGACTCATCTCACTTGGTTCACGTCGCACACAACCTGATCACTCTCAGATTACGCTTCCTTCCGGCGAGACTTTGCTCAGGAACTTGTGGATAAACCGTCGCGGACAGTCCAAACCGCACAGGACAACTTGAACTAAGCAGGCCGGACTGACACGACCGCGTTCATTTCACTGTACACGACAAAAAGCTCTCGCTGGGTATACTAGTCATACATCGCTCGTTCCAGTCATGCGAGCGGTCCTGCCTGCGGCGTGGGCTTGAGGGATGGGCTGCATAATCGAACATGTTCGGCTCCGATTCACAAATTTGAGAGAGAGAAGTAGGGCAACTCACGTGCCGGCGTAGATGCACGCTGCCAGGCGCGCGTCGCGCGCGGCTTCGCGCATGTACATCTCGACGCCAATCCCGAACGAGGCGTTCAGCAGCCGTTGGTGGTACGACATCGCGTTTGCAGAGGAGAAGCGGGAACCTGCGCCATCGCCCTTCGTGCGCCGCGTAAAGGCGAGGGGCGTCTGCGCCTGTGGCGGTAAGGGCGGCGATACGGAGGACGCGCCGAGGTAGATCGCCCGAGGATCGGAGATCGAGCGCGAGCGTTGCGGTGTCGAAGGTGCCGTTGTCGCCGTGCCGATCTGGTCAGGGGGCACCGGCGGGAACGCGGCGAGCGTGTGTGGAGGGAGGAAGACGACGCGTTGAAGGGCGGGGTTCGCGGCCACCAGGCTCAGTGCGGGGTTCCATACCTTAGAGAGCAAGGGGTGAGCATCGCGCAGGCCCGCAGCGAGGGGTGAGATGAAAGGTCGCATGTGTGGGAGGAGGGGAGCTAGGGGGTGTGAGAGGGGCACTCACGGTGGGCAGCGCGGTGCGCACGGTTCGCAGCGCCGACGCACGCGCGAGAGCGTTGAGCAGTGCGCGTAGCTTGTCGGCATCGACCATCTTCGTGTCTTCATCCTGGTCCGCCGCCGAGAAGGGAATGCACAGCGGAAATGCAATCGTCAATGTTTCCTATAAACGCGAATGAAACTCGATCAGCGTCCGCACACGATCGGCCGCAAGCGACCGCTGAAACAGGCTACGTACCAGCGTTGAGCCCCAAGATTTGCTGTTGAGCGCCGTCGCTAGCGCGCCAAGCACTTCTTGCACGCGCGCACATGCGAGTGTGCTCGTGCCCCGCGCGCGGCGAAGAACGAGGTGCGCCGGTGCAGCGCCGCCTTGTCCTTGCCCAACTCTCTCCAGCGCCGCGACGAAGAATTCCAGCGCATGGGCGGACGAAACGTCCGAGAGCGAAGCGCGGCGTTGCACGGCGTGGTCCCGCGTCGGGGTGGGATACGATGCGTGTTGCGGGTGCTCGTCGTCGGCGTCGAGTGTGACATCGAGCACGTCCAGCGATGTCAGCGACCCGACTATATCGGCGAACGCCGCGTAGGCGCCCGTGATTGCGAGTTCGCGCACGAAGGTGCCCAACGCGGGGCGGGCGCGCAGGGAACGGGCAAGGAGCACAGCCTGCTGCTGCGAGGTGATGACAATGCGGCGATAGAGGAGCGGCGTCACGATGCGGCGCAGGGTGCGGTGCGCGAGGAGGAGCGCAAGCGCTGGGCTTGGCTTGGCGGTGGCATGTGATGATAGGAAGGACGGGAGGGGCGGGGACGGCGCAGGCGGGATGCATATCGCGAGGATGTGCTCGAGTAGCTCTTCGGGGAGCGCGAGCAGGTGCGCCGTGGGCCGTGTGTTCATCTTGAACCGCGGTGCGGGAGGATGAAGCGTGTCGATTGTGGGTGGATGGGCGCCGTATATATGTGAGGGCGGGAGAAAACTGCACGGGCGCTGACAGCGCGATGTCGAGCCGGATCCGGACCAAGAGAATCGGGGTGTGGCGCAGGGATGAAGAGCCTGGAGCTCGAAGTTGGAGCGGCCCTGGAGTGAGCTATAGTCGCCAGTCGAATGACCGGTCCGTCGGGGACAGCCGTCGTCGGGAGAAGAGGCGCAGGGGGCGGGAAGGGGCGTCGATTGTGAATACGAGACACGTCCGAGATCCTCGCCGGACCCGGCAGGGGCGCTTATAAACGAAAATGGGGCCGTTCTCGGCGCTCCCTGTCGCGCGGTCCTGGGTCCTGAACTTCTGCCTTCGACGGATTCGCGTCCCTAAGACCCAATCCTGCCCTTGATCCTGCCCAGGGTCATTCGTCCCCGCGAAGTGGCCTATCACGGCGTCCCGCGCAGTCGCCGAAGCACGCGCATATAGTCGGTCGCCCCGGCCGCGGAACGGCTGATTCGCTGGCTCGCGCCTCTTTGTTTGCTTCAGGCTATCTTCTCGACGATGTCGATGTCGACGCACACTACCACCGCAATGGGGCGTGGACTAGAGAGGACGCATATAGGTGCCTCCTACTGCAGCAATGGCCACGAGACATTGATCAGCGGCCGTTTTCCGTGGAGGTTTGAGGTCAGATGGCATACCGGCTTTGCACGTCACCTGTGACATATGTTCGTGCGTCAGCAACTCAAGTGTGAACCGCAATGTCGTGTTTGAATTCGTTTCCATTGGTTTCGGGATCGGAGTTTGGTGACCGGTGGTCTCGGTGAGGAACAAGGGCGAGTGGGAGAGGCGATGGGCAAAATTTCACGCGCATGCAACCACATCTCGACTCTTCTCGGTGTAGCGGTCGCATACCGTCCCCGATGTTCATGGCTACCTGCTCTAGTATCTACAGCTTCAGTTCCCCCACTCGATGCTGTTGTGGAGTTCCAGTGATATGAGCCTCTCGTGGATCTTGTTCTAGTGACCTTCTGCAGACTCCGTCAATACCGGGCTGCAAGCCCCAGCCTTGCAATGCCTCCACGGATATCGTTGCTGACTGTTTAGTGCCCACTGGAAGCACCTCGTAGGAACAATCAAGGACCGAGAACTCAATGTAAACAAGAATAGATACGCGCATTTTTGACCACAACAGGGAAGGAGTCTCACCCAGTACCTAACGCCCTCTTCTTTCCCTGCATTCTTCTGGTCTTTGGATAATGATTCAACCTTCGTGCATCCCTCCTTTCTTCAACGATACCATACCAAGATCCGAACCGAACACTGTTGTCGACAACCCTGCAACCGGGCCGACGAATGCACATGCTGCCCATCGACCCATGCAGCGAATCTCACACTACACGTACGCGCATACGCATTCTCGTTCTCGGAGACACACGGGTGTGCGACGTGTCACGCATATATACGTGCTGTATCACGGTTGCATCACTCCTCTCCCGGACACGAGCTCGCAGGGACGCTCAGATCGCCCTAACCGGTATTGCTGCAGCCGACCTCTCCATCCCCGCTCAGCGACGGGCATGCAAGTGGGCGTGGGGCGGCATTCAATAATCCTGATGGGGAACATTCATGGCCGTCACTCCCACCGAAGCCCCGATGACCATGGCGTCCCCGCGCACTTCTGCCCCCTCCATATCGGTCTCACTGCATTCAATGCAGAAGGCGAGATCCTGCGTGCTTTCGCTGGCGACCAGGGTTGCACATCGGCACAGCGTCCCAATCGCTCGACCGCATCCGCATCCACACCAACTTCGTCGCAGGCACCATACACGCACCCTCGTTCGTAGACGGCCGATCTCGTGGCAGCTGCTGATAGGAGCGCGTGGGCGAGCCCCGGACCCAAATCACGCCAAGAATAGATACGCGTGCTGTTTACCGCACCAGGAAACGACGCGGGAGCCCCTCAGGCCTCAGGGTGCCTGCTCGTCTATTCTTCCGACAGCCTTCTGCCATCGATCCCAACAAGAACTCGGCTCGGCCATCCGCGAAAGCCCTCTCCCTGAAGACTCGGCCTTTTAGCTGATGGCATCGAACCTACCCACGTCCCACAGAGACCCGCGCACACGCTGCGTGCGCATGCGCCCATTTGCACGCCTCTCAGAGACACGTAGCTTTGTGACGCAACCCGCGTAAGGATATGCGTGCCAGAGCAGTACTGAAGTAACACGGCGCTTCCGCACCGAACGACGTCGTCCCGGTCCCCGCTCCCGTTCCGTGCGGCCGAGCACCGACAGCTCAGGACCATTCCATATATGACCGCATGGTATCAACCTACGCGAAAATTCCCATACCAGCCTCGCAAGCGATCGCTCGCGGTGACTCGACCTCCGTAAGGTCGCCGCCGGAATGGATGGATATCTCGTCGGGCTTCTGCCCTTCCCCGTTTCTCCACACCCATACTATAGTACACGCAGCGTTCAGCCGTCCCGAATGACAGACTCGGGGGCTGCTCGCCGACTCGGACGCTCTCGGATGTCGACATCCCGCGTCATGTGCCCCTCCCTATTCCAAAGCTTCACGAACACTTCGCGTCCTTCGAATACTCGACTTCTATTCCAGGTCGCTGCGGCTCCACTGCTTCCGAGGGGCCCCCGATATACTCCTGATAATCGCCTCCCATCTGCCCTTCCTCCCCTGTTACAACAGCAGAAGTCGCGGTGACTATAGCGCTAGCAATGCAATCCCTTTTCTGCCTCCGACAGGACTGCGCAGCGCAGCGCCGACTGGGACGCGGGACACGGGTCAACCTCCATCGGCAATGCGGAGTTGACCCATCGCGTTCTCAGCCTCTTACTCCATACCTCGCAGGTTCAAAGCACACAATACGCATGCTATGGACGATGCATCTATGCGGAGAAGCGGTGGGATGCGCTCGCCGGTCGGTGGCGTTCAACGCAACCTCAGCCGCGTCGCATCATGGGGCCGATATCAGTGCCACGTCGCATCCTGCGTCCGCGGAGAGCAATTTGAGCGTTGCGGGCCCCATGGGCATAGCAACTTCACCCGCCACTCTAGGGTGACTATACCGCGTTTGGCAACTCCGGACCAAGAGCTGTCTTCGAGATCCTTCCAGAGTTATTTTTGTCATCGGCGAGGCATCCGGTGACGGTTGAAGCGTGTGTGCGCTGGCTGGAGTACATAGGTGGACATAGGAAGGCAAACTCCAACTGGGACCGGTCGACTTTTTTTTGGCGACACGTGCGATCTCATGACCGCTCGTAGTCGCTGCGCACCTCGTTCGCAAAAAGTACTTGTTCAAGCCAAACATACCTCTTCTCCTGCGAATCCTGCCAGTAGCCGGAGCCAGACAAATTCCGGTGGAGGCGTGCCAAGTGCGTCGCGTCAAACATGTATGCCTGGTCTTGAGTTCACTCTGCGCCATAGAGATCTCCTTAGCTCCAAGTTATTTGCTTCTCTTTCGGCGACACGAGAATCGTCATGAGATCCTCAGGGATCTTCGACGGCCGTCCCAGTGACCAGTGACCAGAGTTTACTACTTCCTTGGCACGGACGTTGTTTTACGTGCAGACACATGCAATTCCTCCGGTACATCGGCAGGCGCACGTATTTTTCAGTCATGGGAGAGAGCGCGTTCCGCAGCGGACCGATTGCACTGAGGCGCGGACAGCACTATGTTCATTCCCGTACATGAAGCACACAACGAAGTCAGGGACAAGGACGAATCGTCGGGAGTATCCCAATATTCTCACGGTCAGTTGACGACGACGCTGTATGCGGTCCTGCATAGAAGAAGAACATCAGCACCGATAGGTTCCACCAAAAAGTGCCACGTACGTCGTGAGGGTCGCCGAGCCGCTGGTCGCCTCCGTGCCCGCCTGCACGGTCGTCAGGTACTGAGATGAGCTAAGCGTCTGGCTCGTCGACAAGTACTGCAGGAACAGGTTTAGGTCCGCGCTGAAGCTTGTGATCGTCCCGCTCGTCGGTAGGAACGAGTACACGTAGTTGGATCCATTCGAACCATAGTACAGGTTCCACGTGTGCCCTCCGAGCGAGAGATTGCTTGCGACCGGCGTCGGGCTCCCATCTGACCCGTACGTGTAGGAGATCGGGCCTGCGTTGTAGTTCGCGAGCCAAATCATGATCTCGTACGCGTTGGAGCCACCGGGTGTTGCGGAGGTGAAGAGATCGTACGCGACGTCGGCCACGACGGTGCCCGTCGAGCTCTGCGACCAGGTCCAGGTGGACTGCAGAAACTTCATGAACGTCGCACGAGAACCTGTACCCGTTCTGTACTCACCGGGATGCTCTTGATGGCAGTGAGCTGCTTGTTGAGACCTTGGTTGAGCATGATGTCCGTGAACGACTTGACGCCCGTTCCGCCTGTCCAAGTCCAGGTGTTCGTCCACGCGATGGTCGATCCGCAGAGCGACGTGAGCGATGCGCAGTCCGATCCCGAGCTCGCGCCGCCTGAGCCCCACTGGTCGAGCAGGAGCGAGTACGGACCAGCGGTAATGTTGTCCCACTGGCCGCAGTGCGAGGTCGTGTCGACCGTGAGGCACGTTGATGCTGGCGAGCTTGCACTCGTTGTTGAAGATGTTGTCGTGCGGCTCGTCGAAGTCGTCGATCCTACGGTCGTGCTAGCGGTGCCTGGAAGGCATTGCCACTACGCGACGGTAAGCCATCGCACGTGGCGGGACGGGCAACGGAACGCTCACGTAGTATTCGTTTTGCTCCGTGCAGACTAGGCCGGAGGCACATGTGGTGGCGCCAGTGTAGCCGGTCCCACCACACTGTCCCCAAACCGAGACCTGGGCCGTCGTCGAAGAGACGAAGAGCGCGAGAGCGAAGATCGATGCTGACCAGAACATCCTTGAACCCGCCATTGAGTTGATTTGCAAGGGCCAGGGCACTTCTCCTTCGGCTATTTGTACGCTCTCGGGCGATACCATGACGCTGCCGGAGGACACCGGTCCCTAACTGCTGGATTCCTGATGACCTTGTCCTGTGACTATGCAAGTCGCCCATGATGTTGCTCGCCACAGTGGCCGGAGTAATAGGCCATCTGGGACACGAGCGTAAAGCGTGATGCACGCAGCAATCTCGGGGCAGGGGCAGCACGGAGTGCGTCGTTCGTTGTCAAGGAAGCGAGCTGGTTCGTCTTCGAACGAGGATGATGCGGAAGCACTTCGGGGCCGGATAATACGTTCGACGGTCCTCAGGGGCCGGTAGCAGAGGCGGTCCGCGGATGTGAAGACCATATGGAATGTTGGAGACATTGAACAACGCGAAGTTCGTAGCATCAGTGTTCGAGTATGCGCCTCCTTCGACTACTCTACGTGAATGCGCTCAAATGTTTGATCCGTGGTATGGCACCAGTTGTTCTGAATGTGATCTTCACGAATACATGGCGGGCCGGCCGCGATGCACGTTCATTACCGCCATCAGTGGTATGACGAGGTTGTATCCGAAGTTCTTACGGCAGCGAACGCATGACTTGGGGTAACTGTCTTAGTTTCAGTAGTTGGTTTTAGCCTTTGGAATGAGGAGCGATTTAGTGGCATAAGACCGATCGCACCGTAGGGCTTGAAACTCGAAAGCGGCGATGGGGCTCCAATGCAACGAAGAACCATCCAAGGAGGTGAACCCGACTGAGCATTCGGCGCCACCGATTATTCAGGAGGTCCTGATACAGAAGCGGTGTCTCCTTGGATGGTTCAATTATCGCAGCTAGCGCAGGTTCAACGTTCAACGTTTATTAGATGAGGGTCCGCGCTGTCCAGCGAGCGGCAAACCTCGCCATCACCGTCGCCGCACGCTCCGAGGTAGTAATGTCATGCCGAGGTTGCCGATTTTTGCGCCAATATTCGGCCGCTGTGGCCGAGAGCCGCCGAACCAATCCGATGACACGCAACTGTTCTTCACTTGCCGCCTACACGTTCGGCGATGAGTTACTTAGTGAACACTGAAGATTGTGTTACGTGCGTACTCCAACACTTGCACGCATTACCCAAGTTACACTTGCTTTACACTCGCTCTAACTCCGGGCTGCGTTTGCCCTCGATACTCAGCGCATCTTCTGGCGACTCGGCACCTAAAATGGCGTCTGAACATCCAACTATCTCCATATGGACTGGTTGGAATATACCGGTGTTCGCTATATCTGGAGCGTCAGAGGTGGAATTGTTGCCAGGGATCTCTCAGACTTCCTCCGGTCAATGCTTCGATTGACAATGCGAGTCGAAAACCGACACTAGACCAAAGGGAGATAGGACAGAACTTCGTCATAGCATAACGACCCGAGCGAGCTAGCAGTCGTAATACCGGAGCCGACAATTCAGTAAGTTCTCATTCTGGAGTTCGCTCTTGTTGTGTCATTCCCCTCGAAACGTACATGTTCGGTGCTCCGAGCCATCGCGGACGGCACCGTCGATTATCGATCTGCAGGTGCGCCGCGACACTAGTCTTCTACACGTCATGGCACGGACGTGGATAACATTGGATCTCCATCCTGAGGCGTGAGGAAGCAAGCAGCCGGCGAAGACTCCGCGATGACGCGATCCCAGCTAGCTGCGCTAGCCCACATTCATACTGAGTCCTCTGATGCAGGTCGGTTCGCGGATGCAGTCAGGACTCAGAGACGTGAAGAGTGAAGCGTGCCATTTGGAATGGCTAAAGTTGGCGACACCTTCATGGCCGACCCGTAGCGGCGAGTCTCATATCCAAATTCGCTCTAAATTCGCGGCGGTTCGTGTTCAATGGTCGAAAATGGACACCATTACTTCTGTTGCATCAGTCCAAGTTCACTCCCCGCAATCCTGGATCCAACCAGGAACCTTGGGCCCAGGCTTCCGACTCATTGTGCCCGCCGCGTGCTGCTTCGGTATTCCATCATGTCTTGGATGCTCATGTGGTTCCAGAAAATTACCTATCTTCTCAACGTGTGCTCATCCCGCGTCTGGTTTCAGATGGTGGCTATCACCTAAAGAGCTGCAAGAAAATAGCGATGACCACATCTGAATTCCCTCTTTGACCTTCAACATCGGTCAATCGATACCTGAACCTTAATCGGTGGTCCCGCGCGACGACGGTATTTGTATCCCACCAGTTGCCACAATGAGCATATCGTTGATCCTCATGAGGATAGATTAGGGTGTACGGCATTGAAGGAAGGTCAGGTTATACGGCATTGTTCTCATAATCTTATGTGTTCTCGACAAACGTGCTATCGATACGCAACGGTGCTTCATGGCAGCCAGGGTATGGAGGTAGTACAGACGAGCAGCCGACAGTGCGAGAAGATATGTATAGGATACGTGGATTGTGAGAGATAGTGTGCGGGTTGCGACGGGTTGCGACGGGTTGCGACGGAGACGGTGGGAGAAAAACGGAGACGACACGCAAAAAGAAAAGAAAACAAGAAAGAACAAGCGTCAAAAAGCCACGGCGTAGATCTGGTTCTGAGTCCTCGAATGATGGAGGGTGAGCCGACGAGGGTGTCCGCGAAAGGCTACAGTTGCTGAATCTGTACAATGAGGAATTGCTTCTCGTCCTGCACAAATCGACGTTAGACGTAAGCGTCCACGATGCGCGGCGGCACAAGAAAGCTCACGGTGAACTGTTCATCCTCCTTATCGTTGTGGAAGCCCTTCAGAAACGCGAGCAGCTTTTCCTTGTTCCGCCGGAGGATGTTCTCAATTTGCGGCGGTTTCTTCGGGTTCGCCACAAAGACCTGCGTGTCCATACATATCAATACAAAATGCATTATAAGTCCAGAGAAAGGGCGCAGAAACGCGGGAGAGGGAGAGATGGAGAGAAGGCAGAACCTTGAAGACATGAAACGCTTCGAACTGGATGTTTTTGCTCTTATCTCGGAGCAGGTTCATCATCATTTTCAGATTGGCTTCGGATGATATGTAACGGGTCATCACGTCTGCGGGAGGGCAACGTCAAGGAGATACAATTGTGAGCAAGGAGTGGATCAGTCAGGATCGAGACCGAGGTCTGGGCCCTACGTACTGAAGTTGGCCCGGTCGAGGAGGATCTCGCCGAGGAGCTTGAGCGATTGCCGCTTGGTCACGTAATTGCTCGACATAATCAGGGTTGTGAACGACGAGAAGAACTGCGAGTACCGCGAGATGGAGGATGAGCACGCCCGTTGAGGTCAGAAATCGCGGAAACAGCCGCGCGGACGTAGAGGGGACATGACTTACACGGTCGTAGTTCTTCTCGAGATACTCGGCAACCATCGTCTTGTGTCGTGTTAGCGTCTCCTTGAGGTTGGTGTACGCGTCGCACGAAATGCCGAACGTCGTATTCTCGATGTAGTGCGGGAACATGTAGAATCTATGGGGATAACGAGGTCAGTCACAGCTATGGCGTATAGGGCGCATGGTCTGGACTCACTGGTCGCTATAGAGCAATAACTTCGCCAAAGGTTCATGTCGAAGCATCTCCCGCAGTATCATCCCTGTGTTCAAGGCGACTTCTTCGTTCTCATAGCCCTACGAAACATAACTGTGTTCGATTCCTCGCGACGACCATCTGACAGAGATTGAGCTCACCTTTAGTGCACCGAAGATGATGTCGGGCTTTGTCGAGAGATACTCGACTGTCGGCCATCTGCGGAAGTCGAGGTCCAAGTCAGATGGTGGTCGATGGGGCAAGGAAAGTGAAGTCTTACCGAGATCCGATCTGTCGCCGCAGCATGCTGTTGAATATCTGTACCACATCCTTGCGGGACTCAAACTCAAATCGGTGGATGTTGAGCACGAGATGAAGCAGAAGATCTGTCGCACGCTGCAGGTGAGTAAGAGGACGGAATGAAAACCAAGTCCACCGCAGGCGAAGGGGTATGAGCGGATGAGCACAATTCCCAAGTTGAGGGTGATGAATAGAACCACACGAAGCCAGAGATGCGTGCGGTGCACTCCAAAACGGAAATGCAAGTCGCCGAAGCGGATAGAGAAATAATCAAGCTGAGTAGTATCGACGCCTCTTCGTCCTCATCAGCGAGGAATACAAGGAACGTGACGCGTCGAAATGACGTGACTGATAGCATAAGACCCGTCAAGGGCCATGCAAGCCTCCCAAGAGGGCTGAAGATACTCACCGGTGTTGTAGGTCTCCTGTGCCAACTGAGCGACAAGCTCGGGAGAAGGATCTACGGCAAGGAAATTAGTCCATTGCCAACCGAAAGGGCGCGATGCAGGGTGATTACCTCCGTCTCCGTAAAGTATGGCTTTGATGTGTTGCAAGTTCTTGGATACATCGTCGTTGGCCTATAGAGGTGGTAGCACATCAGAATTCGCTCCAATGACCTTCGGTAACCCCTCGGTGATCGGACCGAACACGTTGGCCGTGAAGCTGCGTGCGTCCCGTCCGCATACCCACAGGGTCTGATCCGCCACAACGCTACAGCAGTCTGGCCAATTCACTTGCGAAACCACAGAATGTCGCTTCTAGAATGCGGTTTCCAGTGTCCAACCAACGATACGGTTTCCAATCCAGGGACCACGTCCCAAACTCTCTTTGCCATATCTCCCCAGCGGCGTCAAGCCTCGTGCAGCTCTGGCTGAGCCCGGTAAAAGTAAAACTAGCGCTCACCTTGCGTCGTGTCTCACTGCCCGGAGGGCCGCTTTCCAACTTGGGTATCGCGTCCCGCAGTTGCCTGACGAGGTCGATCGGCGTCCTTTGCTTCGTCTTGAAGAAATTCATGGTGATATGTGTTCAGGATGAAAGCGGAAGGCGGGACCGAGGATCGCGCGCGGGAGAGCTTGGAGGCCTTATGAGTGTAATGAACAGCAATCAACCGAGCGGTGCGGGGGTGTCACTGGGCTGATAGACTAAACAACCCAGAAACGGTCGCGCCCGAGTGTGATGGAAAACTGTTGTTCCGGGTCTGATTGACGCTGTGGCCCAGGGCGAATCACAGTAACCGCGCGATGAAACGTCCACGGAAACGTCGGCGAGCGTCGCGCCACGTGCTGGTTGAACTTTCGGCTTGGAACAAGTTGGGTGACCGTAACCAGCGAAGACAGCGGGCTTCAATAAGTGAATAGGCCGGCAGCGACAGTAAAGACGAAAGGCAAAGTGACCGAGATAATGATAAGGCAGGACGAGACCAGAGGATTACAACCAGAGCTGAACTGAAGTCACTGATCACAATCTTATCACATGACTAACATTGATCACACCCGTGACGTCAGAACGCAGGACGGGAGGCTTCCTACCACCACCGACATGCAACTACTGACTCGTCTCCCTGAGTCGGCTCTCAGACAATGACAGTGGACTTATAGTACACATTCGCTATCTCCCAGCGCTCTGCGAGTATGGAATCTCCATAGTCCAAGAGATTCCGGGACCCTGGAAATCGTTCCACTTTCCCGACAATGGCGGAAAAGGGACATTATCCCTCAGCTAACTTGGTCTGACCATGCAATGTGTTTGATTCTGAAAGATTGACGAGAGCAGTAACACGATGTTGTGGAGTATGTGTCTGGAGAGGTCGACCTCCCTTGCTTCCTCTCATTCGCGCGCGTCTGGCCAACAACTCTGGCCGAATACTCACAGTAAGTCTCAATGTCTCACTCAATGTGATAGGATCAACGCTTTTCCAGATAATAATACTTCCATCCCCAGGATTTGGAGTATCGCCTGGGATCTCGTCGGGGTAAGTGCACTTCTACCGGATTCGCCGTACGATCTCTTGAACGTCTCTGACTTCCGACGTAGTACCTACGCGGTGGTGTCATCACAAAATGCCGCAGTCTTTGTATACACGAACTCCCGGCGGCAAAATGCCTCGTTGATATGACCCACAAAGTCGACGCTTCGACCTACCGAGAAGCCGTCGCGTTGTCGCCTCGCACGATTCCGGTAGCTTCCAAAAACGTTGCTCCAGCGCCGTATGATCTTCCCCCCGTGGCTGGCCACTCGCGCACCACAGCGAGTACGGCAGACGCGCGAACGCATATGACTTACGGCCTCCCACATCAGTTAAAGGCGCGCCTCCCGATGGTCTGCGAAGCTTCTCGGCTAAGGTGCGCGACCGACGTTCGGACGTGCAGCGCGCCGCCTCAATCCTCATGTGCCTGCTAGCGGTGGCGTCGCTAGCAGGCGTCTTCCATCGCAGCCTGCGACCCTACTCGACCACTATGCCCGAAGCCGATGGAGAGTAAGGATCTTCCGAACGGAGTGGCGTAACATTCCCCACAGACGAGCTCGCGCGTCCCGTGCTAGCCATGGCAGATTTACATACGACGCGTCGCACCGGATTGGCGGCCGCGCTGTACGAAACTTCGAGGGCCCGAAGCTATCTTGAGCACCGAGAATAACGATACTCACCTGTCTCGCCATCCGCAGCACAACAGTCCACGGCCGCCGCGGCTTGATGACCCGGATGGTCCAGAAGGCAGGAAAATTCTCTACAGCACCATTGATGCAGATTGTGCCCGTGCTGCTCGCGCTCGTCCTTGCATATACTGTGAGGCAAATCAGTCGTATATCTGCTGATTGCCCTGGAACTCCTGCCCAGATCAGCCTGCTTCTTGTGCAGATGACCCAATATGTACGTCTTCATGACTCTACTGAAGACGATTCTGAAACCGCCACGATTAGCCACGAACCGCAACATCAACCATCTACGTCATCCCGACATTTTACGCATTCGCCAACATCAGGGTAGTGGCGCATAAGACTCGAAATACCGCTTGATGAGCATCTCCCACAGACTGTCAGTTATAGATCCATCGTGGAAGATTGCACGCAGAAGGATGCTCATGTGGGGTGAAATAACTGTATGTGTTAATCGAGGGGCCATCGATGGACTTTGATAACTCACTGTCTGCCAGGACCGCATGTTCTTGCTATCGAACGACGTGCTGGTGTCCGTAGATAGTGGCTTGCGTTAAGCGCCACCGGGCTTAGCCCACGCCGCCTTCGCCATTCGTGATCAAGACTGTCTGCGCTATAGCGCTTCCGGTCGTCGGTCGTCCACGAGCAACGTATGTGTATGTGCGCGACGGGACATTGAACCGTTGATACACGCTCGCGTGCCGCCGGCAAGCACGGATCCCTTCTTGTGGGTTCCTTCCCGCGAGCATGGCAGTGCACTGACGATGTCAGACATTCGAGGTCGAGTGGCGGAGGCTGAATTGCCACAATCCGGTTACGGATGCGCCGTACGCAGTTCTTACAGGTTCCGATCGCTTCGCCCCTGCTCTTCCCGGAGGATTCCGTGAGCCAATCGTAACATGCGCACAATTCGGAGTCAGCAGAACCCAGCGCACCAGAAGTCCGACGGGAGACAAATACCACTTCACCACAAATTCAGGAATAGCAATCGCCATTCCACAGGGGCGCGCTTGCGTTATAACCCGTATCCGGGTTCCGGGACTGGTGGACCACTCACTCGGCGATACCGACAAAGTTTCGAGGATGTCCGTGCTGAATCTGGGTATGTGAGTACGGATGATGCTACGCTCTTGAGAGGCTTCTTCCTTAGGCTCCAATGCACATGTTCCCTCCCAAGTCCTCGGGGATACGGGTTCAAGCACTCGTGCACTTGAGAGATGGCCACACATGGTGGGTCGTCGTCGTCACGTACGTTAGACAGCTGTCAGAGATAGGATCAAAGTGTAACCTTGTGTTAAGATAAGTCCCTAGTTTCGCAGGGTTCCATTGCAATATCTGAGCTTTGCGAACAGGGTTTGAAACATAGTCGCCGGATTTCGTAATCCCGAGGCAGCCTTTCGAGTTCACATCCCGGAAATATGGCGCGTTCACTCGAGAAGTGATTGAAGACACTTTAATGCATTCGGCGACGTGCCTGCAACCGAGAAACAGTATATATCCCTGGTTGGCAGGAGAGTCGGCGGATCGCTCTTGAAGTTATATTTGATTGAGATACTCTTGATCATGTGATGACCAAAGCACGACGAATTGACTACCAATTTCTTCTCCAGTGCTGCTGCTATCATCTTGCGATGACGTCGGTCGAACATGAGATTTGATGTTCGCCAGCTGCTCCCTTCACCACCCATAGATTCGTGTCAGCGGCAGTGCGCTAATAGCCGGCTCAACGGCATGGTCTAGCCGAGACTAAATTTGCCTCCTCGCGGAATGTGTTCTATCCATGTTGAAGCTCGGGCGGGCTTCTACCAATGTCGAAACACGCATGCTCTCGGAAGCTCCAGGTCAGTTCATTCTTCTTCTGATTGCCCGTCACTATTTACGATAGCCGGAATACTTTCTCAGGAGGACGAAAACTGCTCGTTCGTCGGGACAGCACCCCGACCTTGCCAGGATATTATTGTCCGGTTACGAACATCCCTCAGGAGGCAGCATCACCGGACCCGGACGCCTCGACTGGCCGAAGTTCTGGCGCGGCGTAAGTGTGAAGTCGCCGTCATCACGGCTTGTTTTCCACGAAGCCTGGGAATTTATCTCTATAAACCGCAGGTTCCCCGAGAATCTTGAGATTTACGGGTGGCGCACGGCTTATACGGATACCTGTCAAGCATCGATTGCTTAAGAACCTCGGTCCAAGATTCAGCACTTCTATCACCCCGCTTACTCCGACCTCTAGAGCCATGTTTATGACCGTGCCTGTCGAGGAGCTAGTGCGCTCGCAGATCCTCTTCCGCTTTGTTGAAGAAGAAGGCGGTTTAATATACGAGATACGACCCCTCCCTGACACAATGCGACCACCCATGTCGTTGGCGTCGTCAGGAACGTCCCTGAACTTTCAAACTACGCTGGATGATGATGGCCGTGGACGTGGATTATGCGTTTTCGCGACTATGAACCTCCAAGATAATACCGTGACCCCCGACTACACCTCAGGTAATACCTCCAGGTACTATTCGATCATATGGCTGATCGCCCATTTCTTGTAGGTTTACATCCCGTCGCGCTCGATGTACCAGACAACCATGCCATGTCCGCGAGTATCGGTATGGCATCTTTTGTATCGTATTCCTCAGTACTCGCTTATGCTCAAACAGGTGTTGATGCAATGCATGGATGCGCTTCTTGGGGATCTTCCAACCATTCGGCCATGGATTGCGACTCCGATGTGCAGGGCTTGATTGGGTACCACCACGCTCTCGGCTTCCCGGTACCAATGCATACAATGCCAGCCACCGACACTCTGCATGCGTCGCTGAACTCCGCTGAACTAGCTAGTAAGCACTTCCCCAATGAGGCGCACGCCAGGCGGCTAACGAGTTGCCAGCTCTATTGTCCGATTTGAGCGGCGACCTAAACGACTACGACTCCGCTACCTTAGCGGACTGTTCGTTGTCACCAACAAGCACTACCCGATCTCGGAGTTCCATCAGCGTCTCAACGACCGACGGATCGTCCGATCCTAGTTCCCCGCCGCCTTCTGAAGTAGCCGAATTTTCCGACCGTGATGTGGACCCCAGTACACCGAGGTCACCCACTGATCAAGTGGTCCCCGAGTCCAAACCAGCACCCAAGACGCGTCGCAAACGTCATGCATGTTTGTATCCCGGTTGCGAGCGCATTCTGACGAGCGAGTCAGTGCCTGAATGCTTATATTATTCCCTTGTTTTCTTGCTGACTTCGGCGCCAACGCCACCAGATACACACGACGAGTGCATATGGCAACTCACACGAAGGTCCGCAAGTCGATACCATGCACAGTCCCTGGATGCGCCGAACATTTCTCGCGTATGCACGATCGGTTAAGGCACGAAATCACCCAGCACGGCAAGATATGCGAGTTCACGTGTAACGTCTGCTCCCGATTTTTCTCGTCCGAAAAGTTTTTGAAGAGTCACAAATGCCCTGGACCAAGGACGAGCGGGACCACCCGGTGGCCACACCCTTGTGAGTAATTCTGCCTCTAATCTTGGAGTGATGACCTATTAACCCGCTCCACCATCAAGCACTTCAGCTACACTCTGATCGTGCCTTCTGACGACCGTACCTGATCTATGCCTTGTATCTTCAACGATTGCCAACAATTACTGTGCAGCATGGGACCGTTCCTCTCATTTTATTGTTTATGATTTTTTGGTACATGTCCGCACTGGAGCCCTCATTGTAGCTTATTCGTTTCGTACTGCGCAACATGCGCTCGGCTCGCCACCGGATCCAGAGTGATGAACGAGAAAGAGGGCGGCAGAAGAGGAAGTCACACTGGAACTGTCTGTCTGCCGGTGGCGATCCTCATGGCAGCCATTGACGGTGAAGTCAAGAATGGCACGCTTCTTCACCGAAGGAACTGTTAGCCGATCACCTGGGAAGGTTCCAAGATCCAAGTCTAATGTGACGTAGGCCATCGTCCACTCCAATAGCAAGGACAACTTGAATGGCTGTGGATTAAGATTGGATGGGCTTGGGATTGACAAGGGCGCGTACACTGCATGCGTCATTTGCGTGCATTATGCTTCTGAGCACTATCAGCCGTGCATTGCAGGTCGGCTCTCTTATCCTGACTGCCTTCGATGTTCGAGGGGACAATCGACTCTCCACCTTGCTTCCAACACGCCCGAGATGGCCATTGGGAATCAATAGGTCTCACTTCTTTATTCTACATTTGGATCGCATCGCGTAAATTTGCCGTAAAGCTGAGCAATATCACCATATAGATCAGAACTCTGCCTGCCTTGCAGCTCTCTCCGCAAAGCTACCCCGGGGTTCCCATGCGCGCCTGTGTCCGTGGTACGCGTCCATTCGATCCTCCTCACCTTCTGACACACCCCAAGCGCCACCGCCCGGGGTTTCAATGACCAGTCGATCACCTTTGCCCATCCACACCGTAGCCTTCCCTCCTATATTGATTTCCCGCGGTTGTAACGGCATGGCGCGAGCCTCCGGTTCCGGTAAATCGCCGTCCTCGGCCCGAGGCTGCTTTACCCAAGTATTACGTCCCATCCCGCCTGGGCCGCCGCCTTCCATACCGTATGGCTGCCTCGTGCGTCGCTGTTGGTGCCGGAATCGAGAATTAGATGCATAGCGGGGTGTCGGAGTAAATGAATCAAACCTCGGAGAGAATCGAGACCTGCATGGGCTCCAGGATCTCTATATCGCGAACCACTCCTTCACCACCGCGCCACTTGCCCCGACCACCGGTCCCAGTGCGAAGCCCGAATTGATGAATCAAAACAGGGTAGCGTCGTTCAAGAATTTCGACGTCGCCTATGCGAGTGTTCGTAATGTGGGTATGTACCCCCGATGTACCGTGCCATCCGGGCCCGGCGCCTGAACCTCCAGCAATGGTCTGCAGACGGAAGTGTCAGAAGAACCGTGGATCACGGAGGGTCGATAATGAAGTACTTCGTAGTAACCCCACCCAACCACATGTTTTCCGTCCTTATCCTTTCCGCCAGCACCGAAGGTGAGGTTACTAGAATACAGGTGAACGGTGTTCGGTCACATGAAAGCAACGAAGCATACTTAGTGCATCCTTGGCTAGCCGCGCAGGCGTGGAAGGCCTTCAGCACAACATCCACTATCCGCTGAGATGTGAGTACATTCCCAGCACAGACGGCTGCCGTCCTTGACGGCGAGAGCAGCGAGCGCTGAGGAATGTTGACTAGCCATGTAAGGTCAGCCATCGATAACCATGTCAGATTGACTCGACGTGCTGGTTACTGGTACCAGGCAACCCGCATTGAGGGGTATATCGAGATCAAGCATCGCCCGCATACAGTAAATAACGGCTGAATGTACTACCGAGATCGGGGCGTTGAGGTTGCCACGCACTTCGCAGCCGGTGCCACTGAAGTCGAGCGCGGCGGACCCATCGAACTCGTTAATCTCGACTCGAAGGCATATCTGAGAAGCGTGTCAACATTTCCAGCTGGAGGTAGGCTACGCGATAACGACTGACCGGGGAGCCATCGTCAAGATAGTCCACGGCTTCCAGTACATTGGTGCCGGCGCGCTTTGCAACATCCTTCAGCAAGTTCCGTACCGAGTTTTCGGCATTTTTGCGGATGTGTAACATGTACTCCTGGACGGTCTCCAAACCATAATCGTCGATAACTTAATGCCAAGGAAACAGAACCTTAGCTACGAGCCCAGAGACGGAGACAAAATCACCCACTTGCTTGAATCAGCTTGACACCCTTGTGGTTAGCGGCGATTTGCTATGGAAGCGGGTTGGTTCTGGTACGGAGTCGTGAATGATGACTGCGCACGGCCTTCAAGTCGCTCTCAACGTCCTTGATGTTCCGGCAGCCGGAGCTTCCAGGATACTTTGCAGGTCTGTCGACCATATACTCAACGAGCCCTTCACGATCGAAGACCCCATCGTTCACGATCTTCAAGGATACTATCTCCGCGCCTTCCTCGAAGATGTTGGTCGACGTCGGGGGCATGGACCCGGGGAGAATACCTCCGATGTCAGCATGGTGCCCTCGGGACGCGGTAAAGAATATGATCTCCTTGGTCTTGGTATCAAAAACCGGAGTGATGATGGTAATATCGGGCAAGTGCCTATGGATGGATATCCGTTAGTCACTAGTGTCGGCCCTCGTCGAACGTCCGAGACTTACGAGCCTCCGGCATGCGGAGAATTGGTCATCAATACATCTCCTTCCTTCAGCGCCTTCCCGTAGAGATTCATTTGGTATTTTACAGCACTTATGAGAAGCGAGCCATCAGAAGACTGCAGAGGGCAAGATGGTCGAAACTCACAAACTCATGGAACCCAAGTGAATGGGGATGAACGGCGCGTTTGCTACTAAGTCTCCATCTGGGGCAAACAGAGCGCAGGAGAAGTCAAGTCGCTCTTTGATGTTGGTGCTGATGGCGGTCTGCTGCAGCGACCTGCCCATGGCTTCTGCAACACTCATGAATCGGTTCGCGAACAGAGTGAGCAGGATCGGATCCGGTCCTCCCCTGCTCTCGTTGACTTGCGGTCCGTTCGACATGGTTTCCGACGTGGTGGGCGTGGTACTGGGAGCCGAGTGCAGTATTACACGAACCGGCCTTGGTGGCCGCAACTCAATGAAGCCATCGCGAGCTCGAGCCAGCGCCTTGATATCGGGATACACGTGATCAACAACTCCGTCGGATCTCCGTGAACGGGCTGAAGGAGCGGAATCAAAATAGGCAGTGTAGTTATTGAACGGCACTGCAAACCATATACTGATGCGTACATAGATTATACATGAGGCTAGGAGAGGAAGCTTGTACTCAGAACTAATATTTTCCACGAAGGACAAAGGTTTATTCTCCATGAACGCCCAGACGCTTGGTAACTTGCTCGCCGACACGACGCCAATGTAGTCCGAGGGCTCCCGCTGCGTCCTGCAAGATACTGCATTTCTCATAGAACACTGTACCAGCATTCGACCCTTTCGCAGCGGCTCGCTCGATAAACATTTTTCCGAAGGAGCTAACTCAAATCTGCGAATCATAGCTGGTATCGATACGCGACGTGCCGGTCACCTTGTCGAACGCCGTTGACGAACGTCGCACTGTCTTGGATGACCTTGTCCTTTGCCTCTACATCGGTCCCAAGCTGACTCAGTCGGAGATCCCGGCGGCGGTTCGACTGTCGCATCCAGAACCAGAGGTAACTGGGAAAGACGGTTAACATTGGGGAACACAATCATCCCGAGAGAACGTGGACCGACCCCGCTGCGAGGACACCGAAGAGCGTGTACCCGATGGCAACTGCGTCGTCGACGATGAGATCGTAGATCCAGGACCGTCATGAACGCGGCGGCTTACTCAGGTGAGGTTTGCGGTAGAAATGCTGAGCTAGGTTCGGTCTGTAGATCAGGACGCCGGCGATAGCTAGGAAAGCAGTGATGATCAGTGGATCGCCGTATGAAACCAAGGGCCATAGCTTACCACCGATGTCACCGACGAAGATCTGCATCGCAGTTACAGTCGCTCGCTTCGTCTGAGGAGACACGTTCTCGGCCGGCCACGATAGTAAGAGAGCTAACCAATATAGTGAGCCTCGAGTTTACCCTGAGACCAAGGGAGAGAAACCTACCATTCGCGCCATAGATTCCCATGACCGAGAGGTAGGTCCCAACGTAGCGTTTCCCGGCGGTGGACGTGGTGAGGATGACGATATAACCTGAGAGGCAACGATGTGAGGTTCGGACAGAACGCGTGGTGCGGAATCCACCAACCGATTATGCCGAGGAAACCGGACGCTACGATCCATGGTGCCCTGCGGTTGCTTCTATGCGAGAGCCAGGCCAGCAGAACGATGAAGGCGAAGGCAGCCTGGGCCGAATCAGTCATAATACGTCGATTAAGCGACATATCAGCGGACATACCGAGTATGTGGGCACAGTGAGAAGCTGTGCTTTCCACGATGCGAAGCCCAATCCGGCGATCTGATTAGGGGCAATATCAGCTCCTGGGCTTTATTGTCGTGGATTGAACGTACAATCGTTGGAAGAAACAGCGAAAGCGAATCTGCGGGATGAAATAAGAATTCTGCGACACATGACAGCGAAGAACGATGCTCACAGAGGGGGAACGCAAAGCCGTGGAATAGGAAACCATATGCCCACACAAGGTGATCACTGAACGCGCTGACTATAAAAGAAACATAAGTACGAAAGTACTCGATGAAGACCACAAACTGATCGTTCCGACTCACAGACGCCTTCAGCACGGAAGGGCTCGCGATCCGCCGCATCGCTGTCAGCCGCCAGCCTCGCAATGAGGATTTGGTGATCCCTGTTGCTGAGAAACTGCAGCGGTGCTCAGCGTATGCACATCGAGGTGATTGGGTCGAAGATACCTTGGCGTCGTGCGGGTACCCGGGTACCCAGTAGTATCCTGATAGCCCAACAAGTGTAGTGAGGATTCCTGCTAGGAGGTCAACGACCAAGAAGCGCAGGACTCAAAGAATCCTGTAGCATACCCTCGAGGTAGAAGATCTGTCGCAGGACGGTTAGTAATCCGTCCGACCACGGCAGTAGTGCAACGTACCCAAGCCCATCCGGGTTGACCGCCGACGCCGTCCATTTTCGCAATCTTTCGGGGATATGAGTTTGATTCGAACAGTCATAGAGCCACCGGGTAGACGACGAACGTACAGCGAAAGCTAGAATACCTCCAAATGCTCCAGCGAGCGCCGCCCCACCAAAGAAAATGGCGACGCGCCAATGTCTTTCTCGTCGTTTGTAGTACATCGAGAAGACGCTAGATCACCAATCATGAGCTAGTTGATCGTGATGTGCACTCAAGTTCATACAAGATGGTTCCAGGGAATAGGCCCGCTTCGGCAACCCCAAGGACTGCGGGATGGAGTTTAGTCAGAATATCATCGTATACCATGGTAACGTACAGAAACGTGCAGCATAGAATCCTGGTTGGGACCTAACCAATCCTTGCAGAGTAGCTGTGATACCCCAGCTAACGGTTATCGTCGGGAGCCAGATTTTGGGGTTGAGGCGTTTGAGACTAAGAAAGCGATGACGGTGAGTGGCAAATAGGTGTGTACTAGGCAATTAAAGGACTAACACGATATTGGCGGGAACTTCGAACAGGACGTAACCGAGCTACTCCATAACGTAAGCGCTCCAAAGGTCTTGCGGTACCGCCGGGACATACGAAATAGAGAGCTAGACCAGTGTTGTACGCGGCAGGATCCGTCGCGTTGATATCCACAAGCAGACCTTCGAGTTTAGCGTTTCCGACTGATAACGAAGACGATCTTCAGCAGCGGGTAGACAGATAAAGTAAACCGATTGAGCATACCATTGCTTCGATCCAAGAAGGAAAGGAGGTAAAGCAACGTCAACCCTGGGAGGATGTGCCAGTCAACTGAACGCCAATTGAATGTTTGTCAGAGGAGCCCGATAAGACCGTACAAACCCTAACATACCTTTGCGTACGAGCGCGCGTTCTTCCTCTTCAGTCCAGTTCAGCTGTATCTTCTCGATCTCTCCGTCTACGATTGAACTTTCGTCGCGCTGTGAGAGAGACGACTTTGCGCCGGTTTCTACGCCCACGGCCATGCTTGTCGAGGAAGGGAGACAGGCAGAGGGTGCGCAGCTGTTATCATGGCGCCCTGGGATGTTTATGAGGACGAAAACGACGTGAACGCTTGACTATATTCTGCAATGAGCGCGACGACCGCCCTGGCGCGACTACAGCCCGATATGGCGCAATCTGCATCTCATCAGGCGCGCCATGCCCTCATAAACCCTCGCGGATGGCGACACCGCGCGCGCTCATAGGAGTACTCAAGCACGGAGTGCCCTGTGTCTTTTTCACTCGAACACACAGGTGTGGGATGAAGTACTCAGCATTGCGGGCATGACGGTCGGAGTCGTGGAAGGCGATTTGCAATGAAGTCCAAACAGCGTCTGGATCTCAGCTTTGCCATAGCATGCATATCCAGCGATTCGAGTACCGTAAGGAATATACAGCCCAGAGAAGCTCGCACAGACATTTCACTGTGGTGGACATGAACGTCCGCGACAGCTCTGACCAGGACCAGGTCTGACCCAGGTCAAAAGTCGTGGAACAACCACGTGCCTTTGTCTCGTGTCTTCCTGGAATCCTACGGCAAAGCTCGCCTGAATCTGTCCCTCTCATACATGAAAAGCGCCCAATGCCCCGGAGGCTCATCGTCGCTTGATTTTCCCATATTGGTCTTCCTCTGTCGAGATTTTGATAACGGTTCTCGAATAATACTAGGCTCGCAATGGCATACCCGCAAAGGCGAGTTACGGCAGGTTACTAAATGTTATCCGATTGTTGCTACATCGAATTCTTTTTGTTTAAGGATCAGTGAGTGCGCACGCTCTTACCTATCAGTCCAGCCACTTCACCCCAGCCAGCTTACGAAGTTAGCGAAGCAAGTTGGGGACGAAGCATACATAGGTCAGAGAGATGGCATGTGACGGGAAAGCGCGTGGGGCAAGTGATTCAAGCATCAAGAACGACGTCTTACACGTTGATTTCAGCATCCTCGGTTCTATTTCGCAAGCTTGTGATCATCAGAGCTCTGCCCGCGCCACGTCGTACATAAAGTGGTAGGTAGGTAGGCAGGTATATCGGCACGTCCATCGATTCTACACTTTAGGCGATTAGATATGCCGCTGCATCTACGAGCCAGCTTGGAACGCACCTGTGTGCTTGCTCTCAGCCTCTGCACTACGACCTCCCTTGTCTCTGGTGCGAGCCTTGCGGCTGCCGTCACCGGCCCGTGCGACCTCTACGCCTCCGGCGGCACGCCCTGTGTCGCCGCGCACAGCACCACTCGCGCACTATTCGGCGCCTTTTCAGGGTCGCTCTACCAGGTCAGGCGCCCACGCTCTTCTCATCTCGTAGTATAACTGACAGAAAGACATCTACCATACCACCAGGTCAGGCGCAACTCGGACAGCGCCACGCTCAACGTCGCACCGCTGTCCGCTGGCGGTGTCGCGAACGCCGCCGCACAGGACTCCTTCTGCGCTAGCACGACCTGCGTCATCACGACCATCTTCGACCAGTCCAGCAATGGCAATCACCTCACCCAGGCTTCGCCCGGTGCCTTCCCCGGCCCCGAGTCCGGTGGTCTCGACAGCCTGGCTAGCGCCACCGGCGCACCGGTCACGTTAAACGGCCAGAAGGCGTACGGTGTTTTCATCCCTCCCGGCACGGGCTACCGCAACGACGCTGCCAAAGGCACTGCGACAGGTGATGCGGCGGAGGGCATGTACGCCGTTCTCGATGGGACGCACTTCAACAACGTCTGCTGCTTTGACTACGGCAACGCCGAGGTCAGCGCCACCGACACGGGCAACGGCCACATGGAGGCCATCTACTTCGGCGACCGCTCGAACTCAGGCTCCGGCAGTGGGCCTTGGATCATGGCCGATCTCGAAAACGGACTGTACTCCGGCGAGAACCAGGGGTTGAACAGCGCCGACCAAACCATCTCCTCCCGCTTCGTCACCGCGGTCATTAAGGGTCAGCCTAATAACTGGGCGATCCGCGGAGGCAACGCCGCGTCCGGGTCGCTGACGACGTTCTACAACGGCCCGCGGCCGAACGTTACGGGCTACAACCCGATGAGCAAGGAGGGCGCCATCATCCTCGGCATTGGTGGTGACAACAGCCACGGCGCGCAGGGCACATTCTACGAGGGTGTCATGACCTCCGGGTTCCCATCCGACGCCACCGAGGACGCGGTGCAGGCCAACATCGTCGCCGCCGGGTACGCCACCACGGCGTTGACAAGCGGCCCAGCGCTCACCGTCGGCTCCTCTATCTCGATTCGGGTCACCACTCCCGGATTCGACACGCGTTACCTCGCGCACACAGGCGCCACCGTTAACACCCAGGTAGTCACGTCGTCCAGCAGCGCCGCGCTGAAGCAGCAGGCCAGCTGGTCGGTCCGCACCGGCCTCGGCAACAGCGCCTGCTTCTCCTTCGAGTCAGTCGACACCCCCGGGAGCTTCATTCGGCACTCCGGTTTCCAGCTTATGCTCAACGCCAACGACGGCTCCAAGCTGTTCTCCGAAGACGCCACTTATTGTCCGCATGCCGGCCTCAACGGCCAGGGCAACTCGTTCCAGTCCTGGAGCTACCCCGCTCGCTTTGTGCGCCATTTCAACGCCATTGGCTACATCGCGAGCGAAGGCGGCTTCGAAACGTGGGACGCCACCGCCTCGTACAACGACGACGTGAGCTTCGTTGTCAGTGCTGGCTTCGCATGAGCTCCGGCCCAATCCATGTATCGAGGCGCTACTTAGCTTGTCGAAACCATCTACCTCAGTGTATCTATTCATGCGTAGTGTGATCATTCAGGATTTTTCGAGTACACGATCGCCACGTTTTCTGTTTAAAATATAGAGGAATATAACTGCTAGCCACCTTCCAATCATTTCGGGGCAGAAACAAACAGGACTTTCGGAGGTAGCTAAACGATGTGCGTCGCTTGTCTCACGATAATTTGCGGCGCTCAAACCTGCGGGATCAGGATACCTCAACGTACTCATGCGTAGACACCTTCTCTCATCGTCGTTGATGTTGAGTCATGGCAGCTCATGTGACTGGATATCTTGCTAGTTAGCAGAAGCACATTTCAGAGATAAGCGTTGGGTTGACCAGAAGAATGTGCAGTAGAGATACGGACATGTAACATACAGCTCTATAAGCAGTTCGTTGAAATTTTGCCTGCGGACTTCCAGAGGGCTTACCCGCTGTGGTAGTTACACTGTCACATGTAAGATGAGTTGCATTGTGCCTGGATGTCGTTGAACGACACGTGCCTTGCGAGTCGCGTGGCACCTTCCCACGGCGATGCTTACTCTTTACCTGTTACTCACCTCTCAATACGGGAAAGGCCGATGCATATCGTGGTTCATGCAACTCCCTATGCGAGATCAATTGCCTTTCCTAAGATCGAAAGCGAAGTTGATGCGCGTCCTCGTGGAGATAGTATTCTCTACCTGGCGTTCCTTATGGTCGACAGTTCATGGATTCCCTCGGGTCAGACATAAATGAATCCGGAACTATAATATCCTGTCTTGATTGGTAGCGGCATACAATGTCGTTGCACTTTGCAGCTCGTCTTCGAACTCCACAATGGGGGCATCCGTGAACCCGAGACCGATCTCCGTGGGTACACCTGCTGAATAAAAGGTTAAAGGAACGTTCGATTTTCTTGTGCTCACACGACTTCGCCAGGTGGCATCTCGGGATACGCCCTCAATATACGGGGCAAGGAATCCCGCCGGATGCAAATGACCGAATCCTCGAATGGCTTCTTGTGCACAGGGTCTCTCGGGGCGGCTCCGCGGATCCGCGCCGGCTATTGCAGGAAGTATCTTCGTCTGGGTAGAGATGGTCTGATTGCATGTACAGACCGGATACCGCTGTGGGGCGCGAATCCCGAAAGCCATCGGCATGGCAGAAGACGAGGATGACCCGTCCGTCGGTTGCGGTTATCGCTAGAAGTGGTTCAGCCGGGAAGAAGGTCCTTCGGAGCGTATCATACATATGGCCCAGCCCTGGTTTGAAGTTTTGTGGCGCCGAGTCGCACGTTTTCGCGTCCTTCCATGGCTATATCAGCGCTTTCGCGCGACGGATGGCATGATCATCCTTGACCAAGGTTATAGTGCTCACCGTCGGCACAATATGACCGTATCCGTGTATTGCGTCCTACGATGAACTCGACTCGTGCCAGGGACCATTCGGCGAACATCAGACAACGCAACCAAGGCGGGTATCTGGAATCACACGCGCTGCTTGAGCTGTGACTGTCGATGGAAAACGTGGCGATCCATGCTATTACCAACTCGGCAGACTTTTGCGGTAAAGCGACATCATGGCCCGCTCCTAGGCTTTCACGAGCAAACACTGAGTGGCCATGGTACAACGGGATGATGGACCCAGCATGTTATGCATGCAAGTAATCGCAGCTGTGGGCATTGCGTTCTGAATTCAGGAAGGTCTGGTGAATGACTTATCGTGTATCCTTTGCCCTTTCGGGTGCACTACCACTTGTAGCACGTTCGACAGGTAAGTGGTATGGTACTATGCAGATAGACATGTCTATGGCTGGCGTGGCAGAGCTTAACTTGAGCGGAGAGTCGCCGGAGACCGAGCGGGGGTAAACGCGGCGATTGCCGAGATCCCCTCCATCAAGCGCCCGTGACTGCTCTGGCCTGATGCAGCTTGATGCAAGCTCCATAACCCTTGACCAGCACCGTCGTCAACGCGCTTGACGAACAACTCGATTCCCGACCCAGTACTTTCTTTGTCTGCAGTTTCACGATGGCCGATCAATTGGTGAGGACTTTACTTGCGCGCCCACGGTTATCACAGTCACTGACAGCCCGTGTTTTCAGTCCGAAGGTATGCAGATTGCCGCAGTTGTTGGCTCGTGGTGTTGACGATCCTCCCGAACACTTCAGAGCAGATCTCTGGTGAGCTAGACGCGTCTTTTTGAGATGAAACGGCGCTGATGGCGATCTGGCACTTCCAGAGTTCAAGGAGGCCTTCTCCCTCTTTGACAAGGGTACGTCCGCGCGCTTTCTGCGAGATCCACGACCAATGTGGTTTTCCTCAACCCGACAGACGGCGATGGCACCATCACCACCAAGGAGCTCGGCACCGTGATGCGCTCGCTTGGGCAAAACCCCACAGAAGCCGAGTTGCAGGACATGATCAACGAGGTCGACGCCGACGGCAACGGCACGATCGACTTCCCTGAGTTCCTCACGATGATGGCGCGCAAGATGCGCGATACGGACTCAGAGGAGGAGATCAAGGAGGCGTTCAAGGTCTTCGATAAGGACGGGAACGGGTACATTAGCGCGGCTGAGCTTCGGCACGTTATGACCAACTTGGGTGAGACTTTCGATCTTGAGGTCGCCTGTCTCCTTGCTGAATACAGAACGCGCACGAACAGGCGAGAAGTTGTCCGACAACGAGGTCGACGAGATGATCCGGGAAGCGGATGTGGACGGCGATGGTCAGATCAACTACGAAGGTACGCGGGGCTCCGTGCTTCTCTATGTAATCGTCTGATCTCTATCTTTAGAGTTCGTGAAGATGATGCTGTCGAAGTAATTGGTTGTGTATTGCTGTGTACCGCTACGACTATCGCTATTTCGCGGGAAAGGTACGATAGGTTGACGTGCTTCTTGACGTTGTATCATTGGCATAAAGCGAACGGGAAGGATACGATATTGCAAACAGTTAACCGTCTCGTTGTGCGCAAGTTCATCCGAAGCTTGGGCGAGTGCATGCCATGGCAGTACAGCATTGAGGATACAGCCACGGGGTACATGCTGCGGTGCTGCGGTGCTGCGCCACAGCACCAAGTGCGTCATCGCAAAGCACCTCATAAAGGGGCTTTCTTGGACTGGATAAACGATCCCAACTCTCTGAAATCGCTGACACCCGCACCACTCTACATTTCAAATCCTTGAACGGTCATAATGAGCGCACTCATGAACAAGATCAAGGGCCGTGGCTCGAGCGAAACTCAGGAAACCAGCAATTCCGGCAGCGGCGAACAGCGGTTCGGGATCTTGCCCCATCCTGCAGTACGTTGATCTTTATCTGCAGCCTCGCAGGAATAACTGATTGTGACATCGTGTAGAAGACCAACGATCCCCGCGATGTTGAGGGTCCGCAGCTCGGCGGTGGCCTGAACTCCAACCCCGAAGTCGGGGCATTCCATGCGCGCGACCCGCACGTTCCCAGTCAACAGATTGCGAACAATCTGGAGAAACCTTTGGTACGTACTGGATTTAGATGCTGATATAGTATCTTCTAATCCCGGCCATCAGTCTCGCGAAGAGCTCCGTGCGCGTGCTGCAGAGCTTAACAAGTAAACGCCCGGTACCGATTTAGGATGCAATTACTATAAATACTGGTTGTAACAAGATGGTACATGCACGGTTCGGATAAGTGGAAATGTATACGTAATGTATCGATAGATGATGCAGATGAGCAGTGGATGGTATGTGATCGCGAGCCTGCCCGAAAAGATGCTCGAGTGACGGTCCGTCTACGTTATGTGATACATTACGTACCGCTCCCTCGATTCGAAGAGTAGAGCAGCAAGCTTAATATACTGTTCATATATCAGACATGTTCCTCGACATCGATTCTTCGCTTGAGCGGTACCTTCACCAACGAAGAGACGCACGAACGCTAAATATAGTCCATACGACGGCACAGCCACACCTTACGCGCCTCTCCTCAATCTCGCTACCTTGCCCTCTGGGTTCCTGCTCAATTCAACATGTCTGACGATGGTTCAACCGGGGACATGGATATCTCAGATGATGATCTTGTGCATGATGAAGATGAAGATGCCGAGGGAGAGGAAGACGAGGAAGTGAACGTGGACATGGAGGACGACGACGAGGCGGACCAGGTGGATGTACGTTGTGTGCACCTTGTCAATCGAACTGGTCTTACTGACTTCGCATTATTGCAACCAGGAGGTTGAAGATGAACCAACACCTGAAGTAGAGCCTCCAAAGGCCGCGCCCAGCAAGCTGAAGATCAAGCTCAAGCTTCCCAGTCGCACCACTCCGATAGAGACCCCGACACCTCCAGGTGAGCCGTATGCATCGTCAATCTGAGCGTTGATTGAGCACATTCCCAGAGGTTGAGATTGAATCGGAGGAGGAATTGTACGACGAAGATTCAGATGAGACGCCTGGGCCCTCGACGCGTCCGCTGACAGCTCGTCAGGCCGTCAAGCGAGGCGTCGTGGACTCTTCTCATGTATCTCTCGGTGCGTATACGTCTTAACCATGCCGAGAAAATCATTTCTAATCGTCTTCGTCCCATAGATATCGACCCTACAATGAGTCGCAAGAAGAAGCAGCTGAACGAGACTGAGCTCGCCCTCAAGCGCGAAGAAACCGCGCGGAAACGCAAGAATTTGTCTGAGAAGAAGCTCGAAGACGAAAAGGTGCCCTCTTCTGCTGCTCGTTACTACAGCGTCTTGTGCAAAATGCTAACCTGAACTATCCCTCGATAGACAGAGACGATCAACCGACTCCTACGCAAACAGTCACGGGCTCGAGGCAAACGGAACGCGCTGGCCACCGCCGACGACGCTGAGGCCGAGCAGGAAGAGGCCGTCGAGGAGGCACCGCCCGAGACGCCGGTGCCAACCATGTACCGATGGGTGTCTACCAGTCGACCACCCGCGTCCAGGACGCCGTCGGCCAACCCGAATCCTGACGGCGAAGCTAGCGGGCCGATCCCGCTCGAGCCGGACCAGACGAGCGAGGAGAAGAGGCTACGCCTCTCGTTCTCGGTGCCCCTGTGCGCGTTTCCGGTTCCCCCTGCTCAGAAGTCGCAGGTGGGCGGCGACGCGATGGATGTCGTTCCACCCACTGTCAAGGCACACGCCGCTCCACAACCTTTGACGTGCGCGGTATCAGGGTGCGGCGCGCCGAGGAAGTATCGGCTCGTCAGGGACTGGACGAAGGGAGCTTGTGGTATGGGCCATCTGAAGCAGCTCGAGGCCGAAACCGATTCCTCCATCCGCATCTCATGACCCCCAAGTGCCGTATTGCCGTTTCTGTCCTCATTACAAGAACGAACAAGGACCCTGCGTCGTGACAACACGAGCCTCTGCGTCCCTGGGTATGCAACAGCTTTCCAGTAGTGGCGCTCGTACCATGGATTGAATCACGACCCAGGCTTGCTGGCAATCCGATGATGTAAGGTGTGCACCCTGAATGATCTGTTTGGCAGCCCGAATTCAGTGTATTGTTAGTCCTGTGGCAAATGTGCAGATATAATTGCTTGACCCTCATGTGCTTTGTCCTGACAGTAACGTATGTCAACCAGTTTGGCTCTTATCTCCTGTCCTCAAATAAAACCAAGATAGTGTTCGTCACTGCGCAGGATTATACACCTTGTGGACAACAACGCCACCGGCTGCGTAGCACACACGGATCGCCAAAAATTGTCTTGTCTAGGGACGGACCTGAGCGGCAAGACGAATCCGCGTGTCTGAGTTTTCTATCAGACGCCTCGCTAGGGTTCGCTGAGCCCGCGCAGCTCACGCGAACACCGGACATGGACGGCCAGTGTTCAAAAGGAGCATGTGTTGCATCTACATATTTTCGGGCCGCAAATGCGTAAGAACACCGCCATCTTGCCATGTGAGGAACTTGGATAGGACTACGTCCTACGTCCGGTGTTTAGAATCCAGATGCGATATGCCGCTGCGGTTTCAGAACTTTCTTTCCCATAGGGATCGGGCCCGGTGAACATGTCGGGATTCTGATTAGTAGTGCCCCCCTCGGCGGAAATTGCCATGGGGGGACTTAATGCTGGGATTGGAGGAGACAGATTGAGTTTCCTCTGCTGCACATAGGCAAAACGCGGATTCAACATTATTGTTACGCGGGGATTTATATGAATTTGTAGTACCCCATCCCGCGGGCACGGAACGTATAGAATTTATATGATAATGATTGATTCGACGCATCTCGACCCTCGGCAACATGCTCTCGGTGAGTTTCATTCGTTGTAATTTCTCATACATACTGAACCATGTGTATACCCGCACTCAGGAACTCAAGGCACGCGTGCTGTCAGGCCAGGACGAACAGGAGAAAGGCGGTCGGGGAAAGATTGAGACACCGGCAGCCTAAATGGCACGACGGAGCTAGGCTGAGCACGAGAACCTCGCTGCAGCTGAAACCATTCGCCACGTTCGACGGGATTGAGTTCTTCGCCGATCCGTGCATTATACGGGGGGAATGACATAGCTTTCCGGAGGTGAAGTGCGTTGCAGGTTATGCCATAAGGGATAAGAGCTAGAAACTGACCGAATCCTTCGGACGATTACTTGCATGATGTTCGCAAGTAGGCGCGGCATGGAAGAAAAATCCGTTTAAGATGGAAGTCGCAGACTCGTGGTTGTATTCCGAAGAGAGGATGCCTTCCAAAAGCCACGGCGAGAGCATTAATGTACAATGCCTTCCGGATATCCAGAGAGATTCTTCTGGGCTTGTGCGGCTGCACGTTCCATTGTACCTCATTTAGCACGTAGCGTTTGTATGTTCTCTGTTGCGCACGACATGCCGCGTGGATCAAGTCCTTATTTGATCCACGTTCATTCTATGATGCTGAAGCGGAGATACAACGGTCTAACGCGTTCATCACGCCTGCGAATGCTCAGGAATGACGCTGGCCTAGACGTGCGCAGCGCGTAATGTACGTGTCAATAAGCTCTGTAGACACTCATGCCAATGAAACGAAACCTGGCAACCAGGAGAAAGCATCTCAGCTGTGCGAAGCCGGACAATCGCGATTTCTATCCGGAGCCGATGTCCGAACGAGCGTGAATCACCGTTGCATTCGAGGGGCCTAGATCACACCGGGCACGGATATGCCTGGCTGAGACCGAGTAGCAGTCTTCTCCATATCAGATAGGCGAGAGAACACGGCACGTAGTTCGATTCGTGCTGATCAGGGTGTAGGGTGCGATGAACGATCGATGCCTTGGAGTCGAGTCAGATAGCAGGCCTGCCCTCGATATAGCAGATCCCTCTATTACTCCGAACAGGATACTCTGGCGCAGCTCTGGGGAACAACCAAGCCATCGGAGGTGGTGAGTTGCAAGGAGCACGCCATCAATGACTGCGGCAAGGTAGGCGCCTAATGCTACCCCGGCGCCTTTGCCACGTGGGACTGGATCCCTCCTGACGTCGGCACTCGCCCAGCACAGGCCGCCCCGCGAGCGTAGCGGTGTGCAGCCCCCTCACGTTCGCCTCCCACCCACCATGCTGGCCGCCTAACGACCTCGTAGCCCTGCTCTCCTCTTTCCCTCTCATCTTACGTTCCATGTCGACCGACGCGGCCAAGGCGGACCAGATCGCGTACAGGCTCTACACCAAGCTATACCTCCTCCTGCACGATGCGCGCACCACCGCTGCGGACGGCGCGAGCGGCGCGAAAGGCCAGCCGAAGACGGATAGATGGGTGCGTCGCGTTTGCGCTGCGTGATGACGGCAGTGGGAGCTTATCGAGCCCAGTTCAACCTAGAGACGCCCGACCCGTCCATTGACTTCGGGCGGGTATTCGCAGACCCGTCTCTGCGCGTCCTTAAGAGCGTGTCGTCGGCCACCGTGGCTCCCATATTTGTGGCCCAGATACTCCTGGCAGTGCCCGACCTCGGCAACAACCAAGTGCTCGTGTACAACTCGCCCCACCATGGACGTCTGCGGGTCGATCCCACTCCGAAGAACGTACTGCTCGAGGAATGGGCCATCGAGTTTACTCCGACTCCCGTATACAGAAGGAACAGCCTTAGCGACGATGTCCCTCCTGCCATGACCTACAAGCATGGAATTGCCGTGTTCAGGAGCATATATGCGCTCTTGCGGCTCATGCCCGCGTGGAAGCTCTACAAACGCCTACGAAGACGGAACGCGTACCCTGCGCTAGAAATCAAGCTCCGTATAACCACCGAAGAAGGCGTCAGCGAGCCCGGCGTGCTTGGCTTCGGTGAGCGCATATACGCAGACCCTAATCTTTACGTTTTATTAACAACACATGGCCTGGTTCACCTAGATACGCCCTTCGCCCCCTCGTCGCCTTCCGATCGAAGACGACCCTCCTCTCCACCCTCAACATCGACCACAACGCACTCATTCGCTCCTATCCCGCACGCAGCGGGCACTCTCGCCATCCGCACGACCTACCTTACACATCCCAACTTCGCGGTGGACGACCTGGAGTCTCTTCTCTCCGATCGCTTCCTTGCAGAAGGGCCTGACTTCACGCCGACGTTGAACAAGAACCTTCAGCGCGAGTCGCTTCAGGCGTTCCCCCGCGCCAGCAGTGCGATCGGCCGGTCCACGAGCATCTCCGGAACTGGCTATGGCGCCGGCGGGACGCCGTCCAGTCTCCCCTTCAGGACGGGTCTCCCTGGCTCGCCTCCAAGCGCGACGAGCATCGCAGATCGGTTTGTCTTGCCAAGTCAACCCCACACCCGGACGTCATCCTTCTCGGGCACGGGGAGTCCCCGCCAGCTCGCGGTCGGGTCTGGTACCGGTATCGGCACCGTTCCGCTGCCTGGACAGGGCGTGGCGGGCAGCCCCGGCGCGGTGTCCATCGTGAGTCATGCGAGTCATGCGTCGTCTACCGGCTCCGGTTCGCGAGAAGGCATGGCCGTGGGTGCGGCCGCGAGGATAAGGAGGGAGAGCACCGGGACCGGACGCGGGGTAAGTCGCTTTTCTGCACGTTTTTCTCGCTCTTTTTTGCGCTCGCTATTGGACAATCGCACGGATGGAGGTTGGGCTATCGCCGACCCTTCTTGCGTTGGGGGCCGCGGCCTCTGATGTGTACTGCGTCGTGCGTGCGGCTGTTAGACGTTCGCCTTCCATTTTTGGAGGAGCTGTATGACTCCCTGAGTCAATAGCTTCGACTCTCTCCTGTTCTTTGGGTTATGGTCCCCGGATTGCGAATCTGATGCATCTCTGGCGCTCTGATTGAGCGCCAAGGCGCCCCCGCCGCAGTCTGGTTCATTGCAGACGCTGGCCAATGCGGTACTCAGCGATCGGCGGCGCCTTCGTTAGGCGTTTATCTTATGCAGCTGCGCAGCTTTCATAGCTTAAGCACCCTTGAGGTTCTTATTTGATGGACATTTACTTCCCGGCGCGGAGCTGTGACTCCTTCCTTCCATTTGGGCGCCAGCCATCTATACGCATCCATTTACTTCGTCATATTTGGGATATTGGAGATGTGGACATGGACCCTTCAGCTTCGACTTCTGCGAGGTCGAGGTCATGATACGCGCCCCCTTGCATGGGTCACTCCCCCACTCTTTCTTTGCATGGTACCATCCACGGCGGTTGCTGACCATGTCCTCCTCTTCTCAACAGGAGCTGTCATCCTCACCAGCTGCATCGAGTCCACTGTCCATGCGAAGACCCTCGCTCGTCAACCCCTTTAAATCGGGCACCGTCTCCTCCGGATCACCTTCAACTTCCCTTCGCAACGCGTCCCCGCTCTCCCCCGCAGTCGCAACAGGCACAGGGCCGTCAACGTCGTTCCGATCTCCGATCGCCACTGCATTCCAGTCTCAGTCACCTATTCAGGTTCAAGCCTCCACATCCGCGTCGCGCGTTCCTCCGTCACCCAGCGGCATACGCGCGGGCGCCTCCGCTTCGCCTCTGACGCAGCAAGAGTTCGCGCCAAGCAGTCTTGGCCAGCGGAGCTCGGTGTCGAACACGTCTGGCGAGGGCGAGAGCACGACGGCGACAGGGAAGACGAAGCGATACTCGAGCCCGTTCGCCCACCGATACAACCAACAACAGCAACAGCAAAGCTTCAGCCAAGCCGGGACGGGCGCGGGCGCGGGCACGGGCGCGGAGGGAGGCGAAGCCGGGTCGGCTCCGGCGCAGCCGCAGAGCGCGTCGTACATGAGCACGAACACGGAGGACGACGATATCTCCGGATTCATGCGCGACAATGAGGCGGCGGCGCGGAGGCCGCTAGGCGGCCATCGGCGGCAGGAGTCGCCACTCAGCGGGCGGGGGAACGTCGGTCCGAGCACGAACCACGACCGGGACGCGACGCAGCAGGGAGCACAGGGCGGGCACATGCTGATGCGGAAGGAGGAGGTGGACGAGCGCCTGAAGGCGATGAGCGAGGCGTTCAATGCAAGCCTGGAAGGTCTCGGAGGCGGGAGGCGCCGGGGAAAGGAGAAGGAGAGGAGGGAGGAGACCAGCAGCGAGAGCTCGGCGGCGCCTTCGCCATCGCGGGCGGACAATACCGTCGCTCGGGGACGGGGATTGACGATGGGTGTGCCTGGTCATAGGCTGCCGCTGCCACGCCGGGATTCGGGCGGGAGCGGGAGTGGCCAGGCGAGCATGCGGAGCGGCGTCAGCATTGGGTCACAGGAGGTTATTGGCAAGATGGACCTCAGCGAGGGTCAGCGCAAACCTTGAGCCAAGAATGTCAACTCCAATAAGGGTTCATTCCCGTCAACTAGAAGGAACGGCGAGCCTAGTCCGGTCAAACTGGACGGCTCCTCGCCGTCCACCAGGTGTCATCTTACTATACATATGCGGATCTTCAGAATTCTGATTCGGATCGTGCCCCTTTGACTCCCTCCTCCCTCCACCTACATATGTAGCATGTTATCTACTTATCCTCAGTATTTGCGGGCATGCAACTCATTATTGTTGGTCTTGTGTATACACCACTGTAGTCTATGTACTGTACCATGACCCGGACTTTCAATACATACAAATCATCCAAATACGACGTATCTTGGTCCACGAAGATGATGAGCGGAGGCTGGCCATGGCACTGGCAGTGCGGCAAGAGGGCGGCATCACATGATCTTCTTTCTTCGCTGTTCGACCTCGAGGTTGCTGCGGCAAGCTATCTCCCGACCACGACTTGCATATCAGCGGAGCTAGAACAACAAAGCTATACCGTACCGGAAAACAGACCGCGTTCTTACGAATTCTAAGACCTTCTCTTCACGGCCAGTGGCTATCTCTGTGGTCTTCTGCAGCGTGAATCGGAGCAGGTGGGAGCCGTCGCGAATTGTACGTACATCTTCGTCTCACACCTCGCCGTCTATGAAACTCACCTAGATCTGCGATGGATACGATAGCAGAACGGAAAAGGCGTCATCTGTGAATACGCTTAAAAGACAGACACCCCGCGTCGTGCCCCGTAGTCGCTTGCGTAGCGCTTTGCCCCGCTAAACTACCTCACAAAATGCCTCCTCGCGCACGCGGCAGCACCAGCCGCGGTAATACCCAGCCAGCACGAGGTGCGCCCGCCCGCGGTGGCGGACCAGCTCGTGGTGGACGGGGTGGTACAGCTATCGCCCTTGGGGGCGCTGCCGGTCAGCCAGGGCTCCCCGTGACGCACGTCGCCGCCGTCGGCATCAAGCGAACGGCCTTCGGTCGCGCTGGGAAACCTCTCAGGATACTCACGAATCATTTCCCCGTAACAGAGCCCAGCGGAACGGTGCGCCACTACGATGGTGAGGACTCATTTTGAGATGACCTACTTCGATGACCGATTAAGTTATCGTGGTGTGATCTTCGCAGTGGGTGAGTGTCCGGGATTTTATGTCGAGCTTGAGACAGATTCCCATGTTTCGTCGCATGACAGAAATTTCGCCGAGCAACAAGATATTGCCCGTCCCATTCAATCGCAAAATAATCAAGGCGATGCAAGACGGACATCCTGAGATGTTCAAGCCTCAGGGTTCCTACGACGGCAGGAAGAACTTGTATACCATGCACGATCTTCCCTTCGGCAACGATGATCAGGGTAACCCGGTTTTATCGAGAATTGTACGTGTCTTCGAGTAGCGTGCGCTGTCGGTTGATTCACACTGGTCCCTACTCCTTAGTTCGAAGTTTATCTGCCGGATGATGCTCCGCGTGGCAAGGAGCAGAAGCCAAAGCGTCCTTTCCGGGTCAAACTAACAAGGGTCGCGCTGATCAATCTCGAGTATGATCATCAATAGCTATTTCCACTGTAATAGGCCGTTGACATCGTCGTGTAGGCCGTTGGTACGGTTCCTTGAAGGCAAGAAAACGTACGATCCCGACATGCAGACGGGCATCAACGTACGCGCATATCAAATGTACATTACACGGGTTGATCAACTTGTATGCAACAGGCGCTCGATATCGCGATCCACATGGCTCCCAGTTTGCTGTACCCGACCAATGGCCGGTCATTCTTCACAAGCCAGGAGACTCGGAGTCAGTGATGCGAGCCTCAGTCTTGGAAAAAATTCTGACAATGTCTGTCAGATATCGGTGGTGGCATGGAGTTGTGGCGCGGCTATTTCCAGTCGATCAGGCCGGCGATTGGTCGTATGCTCGTGAACGTGAGAGCACGACCGTCTCCTCGCTGACGATTGCTTAACCCGAGAATTTACTAGGTCGATATTTCTACGGGAATGATGTTCAAGCCCGGCAGGTTGTTCGACCTCTGTATCGACCATCTCGGCCTGAAGCCCGGGGATTACGCGGCTCTGTCTCCAGCCAGAGGCATGCCCGACTCGAAGCGTCTTCAGCTCCGGCACTTCCTGATGGGAGTGCGCGTACAGGTTGAGGTTGATACCAGCGGACGACCGATAGGCGATGCCCGGCCCATCAGTGGCCTAAGCTTGGCGGGCGCCTCCCAAGAGATGTTCGAGATGCGCAGCGAGCAAGGTATGTGGAAAGTGTTCCCCACCCCGAAACCGTTGCCTGATGTTGCTTGTAGGAGGGCAGATGATTTCCGTTGCTGAATACTACCGCCGTTACAAGAATCGGACACTACAGTTCCCTCAGGTGCTTTGTGTTCGGGTGAGTTGTCGAATGACCCTGCCTACATCCTGGTTCAATCAAACCTACATCCCGTAGCTTGGGCGGGCGTTGATCCCAATGGAGCTGTGCTACGTCCCTCCAGGGCAGGTTATGAAGCGGCAGATGCCCCAGGACAAGGCGAATGATGTCGTTCAGTTCGCGACCATGAAACCTCCTGAGCGCCTCGCGAGCATCAGGCGCGGACTGACTATATTGAACTACGGGCAGAGCCAGTATATCGCCAGCTTTGGCCTGCAGGTCTCTGAGGCGCCGGTCCAGATGACGGCCCGCCAGCTGGCCCCTCCGAGGATGAGATATGCTCCCGGAAGCCGCGAGCCTATGATTGTTAGCCGAATCCGTCATCGCCCCTTTCTTTCACGTGTGACTGATAGAAATATAATAGACTCCCAAGGGTGGAGCGTGGAACATGTATGTACACCCGCGATATTTTGCCCCTTATTGTGCTGAAGCAAGATGTCCAGGGTCGACAAGAAGTTCTGGAATCCCGCAACCATCAAGTACTGGGCGGTGGTCATCTTCGAACGCCCGAACCGCTTCCGAGAAGATAATGCTGCAAGCACCGTAAGGGGCTTGATCGAAGCCGCGACTGCGTGTGGTAAGTCTGATATAGCTATAATTTGTCCTCAACTCATATCGGCTAGGCATGGTGGTGCATGACAAAAATCCCTTGGTTGACTACGCCAATGGACAAGGAAATATCCACCAAGTTAGCCGCATTGCGTACGCTCTGGCAGTCCCGGGCTGACTCAGGGGCAGCAATTATTGCAGATCGGGATCAAAATTAAGCAGGCAAAGAATGAATTGCCTAACTTGATCGTCTGTGTGATGCCTGATCAAAGCGCAGATCTTTACTCTGCGATTAAGCAGTAAGCCAGGTTTAACTTGTCGGAACATAATATGCTTATACGGGTTCTGATGCAGCTTCGGCGATATCACAGTGAGTTACCGATCTGCCAATCCTGACTATGCTGCTTGGTTTGACCGTCGGTTCCTTAGACTGGCGTAGCCACGCAATGCCTGAAAAGCTCGAAATGCTTCAGAGCAAATCAACAATACTTCGCCAATGTGTGTCTTAAGTGAGTCTTTCTCTATGCAATTGGAGATCGTTACGTTGACGCTTGCAGGATCAACGGCAAACTTGGCGGAGTGGACCGCGTACCAGATCCGCAGTCGGTCCCTGCTTTGACTGACCCGGCCAATCCCGCCATCGTCATGGGTAAGGCGATCATGCAGTCTGTTGAGCCAGCGCTAAGGTGTTTTTGGTAGGTGCCGATACGATGCACCCGGCGCCCGGGGCCACCGGACGACCGTCCTATGCGTCGCTCGTAGCAAGCGTGGACTCTCATGCGTGCAGGTACATCGCTCAATCGCGAGTGCAAGTGTCTCGACAGGAAATGATAGCTGATCTCAAGGACATGTGCAAAGTATGTGCGAACACTAGTCGCTGATAATTGCATAAGTACTCACCCGGGAATCGTAGCATTCGCTGGACATGTATATGAAGAGTCCGTACCGCTCCGCGGAGGAGAGAGCTCGCAAAAAAGCCCCGGCTAGACTGATTTTCTACCGAGGTAAGTGAAGATCTTGTGCCGCATCCCGATGTGCCCTAAATGATGATCCCATCAGATGGAGTGTCGGAGTCGCAGCTGCAGCAGGTGCTCGACAACGAGCTGACACAAATTCAAGGTACCCGTTCCCACTCTTGCGGAGGACCGATCTCTCACGCATGCGTTGCAGAGGCTTGTAAGGAGCTTGGGATCGACCCGAAAATTACTCTGTTTGTTGTTGGCAAGCGGCACCATACCCGCTTGTTCCCGGAAGATCCGCGAGACGCAGACCGGTCGGGGAACTGTCCCGCTGGAACCGTGGTCGACAATGTGATCACCCATCCGGTGGAGTCCGACTTCTACCTCCTCAGTCACGGTGGTCTTCTCGGGACCTCGCGCCCCGCCCATTATAACCCTGTTTACGACTCGAATAATTTCACGTGCGTCCAGTAGCTACTTTGTGAGGCTTCGGTTGACTGAGCTCGGTTTCTATGCAGCGCGGACGATATTCAGGCGCTAACCTTTGCGCTCTGCCATAACTATGCTCGCGCAACACGCTCGGTGTCTATTCCGGCCCCGGTCTACTGTATGATATCTCCCGGTTCTCTTCGTTGTCACCGCTCATGATCCATCCTAGACGCGGACATAGTTTGTGCCCGCGCGAAGCATCACTATGCACCTGACGCCCATCTTAACTACACTGAGACGATGACTCAGTCTAGCGACCAAGCAGCAGCGACCCTGCGAAGTTTCACTGATTTGTTCAAGCCATTGCATACTCAGACGGTGGGCAGCCCCCAACTTGATCTTGACATTCTAACTCACATCTGTTCCTATAGTCACGAACCATGTACTTCCTCTGATCTTAGTCGCCACGTCGCGTTGCTAAGATGCAAAGGCACCTGCTATCGACCGTTCAGTTGCATACTATCCGTTGTCTCTTGCTCGCTATATGCCACCGTCTCCTTGTCGAACGTGTCTCGTCATTGTGCCTGTGTTAATGCCGTATTCTGCTATGTCGCTTGCATATTGCGCAATCTGAACAACGAGATGTATATCCGCGTACCATAATCCGCCATACAACACCGTCGCTTCGCTTGTAAACAAAATCGGAATGATCACCACTTGTCGATCCGCACACATACGCCATATCCCTACTGTGGCCCCTTGTTAAAATAACCCTGCAAGATCTGCGAACGGATCTTTCCCTGTTTGATTCTGGTTTTGACTTGCATGAGGTGCCTGCGTCTGAGGCTGCTGCGGTTGAGGCTGGATCGCAGATTGCGGCCTCGAACCCCCGTTCGCGCTGCCGGCCAGTCCGCCACCCATTCCCGGGCCCATCCTAAATTGACCAGGAGAAACGCCCCAAGGTGGTGGTTGCTGCTGCGGTTGAGGGGTGCCCGGGAGGTTGATCGCGCCGAGGGGCGTGCCGGGGGTGGAGCCGACAGGAGGGGGCGAGTTCATTTGTGCGAGCAGCGGTGAAGGCGAACTGTACGTGGGAGCGTTGGCTCCGGATCCGATGGCACTTAGGTTACTGAAGGCACCCATGGCGTGGACGGGTTGAGCGTACGTGGGGGGAGGGCTTTGACCGAGACTGATACCACCTCCGGGGCCGGTGCCGCCGCCGAAGAGGTCGGCGAGCTCCGCGACGCCTCCTGAACCTGACCCTGATTGGTTGGCGGAGGATGATGGAGCAGAATCGTCAAAGTCGATGAGGTTGTTGGAGGCGGCGGAGGAGAGCTCGGAGGGGATGGGGTTTGCGGCGAAGGCCAGATCACCGCGTTTGTAAGCGTCGTAGCGGGCAAGGACAGTGTTGATCTGGTCATTGATCTGAAGGAAGGTGTCTAGAGGAGATACAAGGGGGGTGAGTCTGGGAAAAGGAGACAGGGAGGGGGGGTGGGGGGGGGTGGATGCGTACCGAGGGATTCGGGGTCGTGCGTTTCGGCATTTGATATCCACTGCTGGATTTTGGGGCGAGCGTTGGAAAGGATTGAGGCGACTTGCTGTACGACGGTCCCGTACTTGGTTAAGATCCGAATTTGGGATTATACAAGGGGAACTCACGTCGTACGCGTCCCCAGGGGCAAAGCGCTCGCCGCGCTCAGTATCGACATTATCGAGCAATTCACCGAGGAGAACGACCTTCGACTCGAGCTTGTTCAGCTCCGTAAGCGCTTGAGCGCGGTAATCGGGCTTTTTGTCCGGCTCGGCGCCGGCAAGGGACTTCATAAGCTCCTGCGCGGCAGCGAGGTCGCGTGGTGTGCCTCGTCGGATGAGCTCTTGAAGCTTGGCCTGCTGTGCCTCGCGGTCTTCCTCCTCGAGCTCTGCGGCGGACTTGAGCTCCTCGCCGACGACTGCCGCGGCCGAAACGGGGTTCGGGATGAGGCCGAGCTCGTGCCGCCGCGAAGCGGGCAGATCGCGGAAGCGGTAGCCCTTGAAGCTGAGCAGGCGGTGCATGTCGCGGATGTTGCCCAGGTCTTGTTTCCAGCGCGAGGTCTTGCAGATCGTCTCGGCCCACTCGTGGATGAGGGCGAGAATGGCGTCCATGACGGGGCCGGGGAACGGCGGCGGGCGCTCGGGAAAGCGCCGGACGAGTTCGTTGAGGAATTCTTTGGTGGCGATCTGGAGGTGGAAGGGGTAGCCGCATGCATGGGTGAGGGTGGCGAGGAGGGAGAGAGCGAGCGAGCCGACATGCGGGTTGCGGTGGTTGGCGAGGCGGGCGAGGAGGAGGGCAGCTTCGCGGGGACTGAGCATAGACATTGTAAGTTTTGGAGGATTACGCAGGCAGTGTATAGTCACGTACGTGTTAGCTTTCTTCTGGTTGATGTACTCGGCGACCTCGAGCTGCTTGGCGGGGTCAGGCCGGAACTGCGACGGATCGCAGGCGGCGGTGATGAGGCTCTCGAGTTGCGACGTGTTCATCCACGAAGGGCCTGAGCCAAAACCATTTGCGCTGAACATGTTGCGCGAACAAACACAGAGTCCAACGTCGAAGTAAAGCGTAGGTGTTGAGTAGAGAAACAAGCGCGCTAGGAGCCCAACAAGACACGTAGATATATGCCAATCCGCAGTCAACCAGAGTATTCGGACCAGATGTCGGGCGCAGTCACAGAGATCGATATGAATAACGTCGACCGACTATCAAGAGGAACTGTTCGCCGTCGTCGACATCGAGCGCGGCGGCGATGATGGCGGTGGATGCACAGGTCAGGCAGTCACAGCCGATCAAGTGGAAATACAAGAACTTCAATAATCGTCCACACCTCCCTTCTCCTTGCCTCCCGCTACGACTACGGTCTCTTCGATGGCCTCAGGAGGTTCATCGGGCCCTCCAAGGCATCCCAGTCACTATGCGATTGACATTGACGGCGACAATAACCCGTTTGGCGACGCCCACGCCTCCAATAAGCGTTCCTATCGCGAATACGACGGCGACTCTGAGCATGGTCGCCTCCTTGACGTCGCCGACCCCCTAGCTCACGGAGAATCATCCGGCTCGTCGAGCAGCAGCGGAGGCGGGAATGAGCGCAACAAGCGCCCGCGCAGCGAGCGGGGCGAGCACGACGATGCCGTCGACATCGACGCACCGGGCCCGTCCTCGTCGTCCTCGGGTGCGCTCACCCTCACTCGACCCTCAAGCGCGAACGCACCACCCGACGAGCTCGAAACTCTGACTTATCCCGATACGCCGCAAGCCGCAAACCTGCCGTCGCCCCTTGCGCCGGTGCTCCCGCCTCACTCGCCGCGCTTCATGCCGTTCACGATGCGTCCGCCAACGCCCGACATGGCGCTCCTCGCTCGCGCGCGGCTCGATGACTCTCATCCGCCTCCCTTTGAGGCTTTGGTGGACAACAGAGAGGAGGAAAGGAACAGGCCGCTCCCCGAGCCGCTGCGTCGCTCGATGGAGCGCATGGCCGCATTCGATAGCGAGCTCGCCGCACTCCGACGCTCGCCTGCCACCTCAACACACTCAAGCACGCACAACGCGCACGTACATCGATCAGCGGCCCCCACGCCCCCGCCGACGTTGCCCCCGCTCGCGTTCGAAGATGTGTCAGCGCCAGTTGGGCCGTCATCGCCCGACTCCACGTTCGGTGCCGCTCCCAGCCCCAGTAATCTCACTTCGTGGAACGCCTCTGCCTCCTCCTCTGCCGCAGGCTCTTCCGCCAGACATGCGTCAAGGACTGGTGTCGCGGGCGCCGCAGACGCTCGGGCGGTGGACGCTCGCAGGCGCGAGATGGAACTGAGATTTGCCAACGAGTTACCAAGTGCGTTTCCTATCAACTCATCTCCGCTTCTTGATCGCGGGATCACCGTGTGCGATCCATTGTGCCGTTCCGCACCTTATACCTACTATCGTTACTGACATATAACAATCGCCCTGCCAGGCGCTAACCGCGTACAAATGCAGATCCGCGAGGATCGCGACCGCGAGCTGCGCAACTTTCTGGAGGGCCTGCGTACGTCACATACCTCCCGAGCACATTCGCACTCGCTGACATCGTACCCTCGGTCGCAGCATCATCTCCAGCCCCACGCCCGCCCAGTGCACACTTGCACGTACGTATACCCGCTCCTCAAGCCTCGTCTTCTTCTTCGACGCTCGCGAACGCACTCGGGACCGCACCCTCCGCGCCAGTCGCCACCGACGGCCGTTCTGGTACTCCGTCTGTGCCGCCGTCAATACCTGCGCCCACCTCGACGTCGACGTCTGCAGCACGCCCCGCCTCGTCGCCTGTGACAAGCACCTCGCCTTATGTCGACCGCGTCCGCGCCGCACGTGAACGTATCGCAAGCGCATTAGCGCTTCTCCGTCGACCGCCCTCGCCGCCTGCGCCTGGAGATTACGTCGGCGGCCAGGCAGGCACCGACCGTCAGAGAGACTCGGATCGACGGGCCCAGTTGTGGAGGTCGGGGCAAGAGTTCATGAGCCACGTTGATCGCGAGGTCGCTGCGGTGACTGCCGCCGCTGGAGGCGGACAGCGCCAGGATCGTGATAGGGAGCAGGCGAGGTACAGAGAGCAAGACCGGAATCTGGAGATTCTTGGTAATCGGATCATGGAGGCACTTGCGCAAGTGCGGCGGTCAGTGCTTTCCAGTCTCCTCTCTCTCATCCACGCACGTTACCATATCTGACTTCATCGATGTTCGTATGTTTTAACAGACACCGCCCGGACCCCGCTCCTACGCCCCGCGTTGAGCGCGTGATTGGCGACTTCGAGCGCACGCTCAACCGGCTGGGCGGCGAGATCGAACGGCTGAACCGTGAACTCAACGCCCCTACCCCACGCGAGGTGGCATTGGATCCGTGGGACGAGTTAATCCGCGACCTGGAGCTCGATGTGGAGCACGATGACGATCGGGCGACGAGGGAGCGCGAGCGCGAGGATCGGGATAGGCGCGTGGTCGAAGGCGTTGGCCCGGGTGCGACGGGCGGCGGCTGGTCCAGAAGATATATGGAAAGGCTGCAGAACGACCCGCGGCTTGAAGCTTGTGCGTTCTCTCTCTCGCCTCCGGATTTTTGTGAATCTAATGTTTCTTTCGCGTGTAGTCCGTGCCCAGTCGCCCGCCGCACCGACCACACGTGATGCAGGCGCCGGCGCCGGCGCCTTGAGTTCTTCTCGGACGGGCCTCGACAGGACCGAGGATCTCGGTCTGCGCATGTACCAACAGCGCGTGCCCGCGGCCGCCCCGCCTCCGCCCCGCTTCCTCGTGCCGTCATCGGACTCAAGCAACGCTGACACCGCTCGCACCTCGCCAGTGCAGCCGTTTGTACGCGAGCCTAGCCCCCACATGCACCTTTACCGCCATCCGCGATCGCAGGGTCGATCCATGCCTCGTCCGACGGGGCACTCGCTGATGAGCGAGAATGCGACCGAGATGAGGCGCCGCGCCGCGAGGCAGCATATTATCGGGCGCGAGCGGGAGGAGGCCGAGCGAGAACGGATGGAGCGCGAACGCGAGCGCGAGCGGGACGAGGCGGTGCTGATGGACGTCGATGTGGACTCCAATGCCGATGTTGACACGAACCGGGAATGGGAGTCGGTCGCGGACCGTAGGATGGATCGGACCGTGCCGCGCGTGCTTGGGCTCCTCGTCCGCCCTCGTCCTGCCCCTGATCGTCCGGATCGGCAGACCCTGCGCGAGCGGCTGGTGCTTCCGCACCTGAACGCAAATTCGGAGGGCACCTCCTCCGCAGCGAACTTCATGCACTCTGCTCGCGGTTGGCCGCCTAGCCGCGCCGAGGGTTCGCAAGCGACGTCTGCGCCCACGCAGGATGCACCCGCTGGCAATAGCCGCGCGCAAGGCGTGGCGAGGATGCCGGCCTCCTCGAGCGAGGCCGCCGCGTTGTTCGCATCCTCGTCCGCCACGTCGTCACCGGCGCCCCCGCCTTACACTGCTCGTCTCTCGCAGACGGGCGGCTCAACCTCGAACGACGCGCCGACGCTCCCGTCTCTCGCGGATACGCTCACCGGTGACGGTGCCGGAATGTTCGGCGACGGACTGTGGCCGGACAACTGGATGTCTGAAGACGCGCGTCTACGGTCGCGCGCGGACCTCCGCGACTCGTTAGAGCCCTTCTCGACGTTGTTCCCGTCACCTTCACCGTCGCCTCCGCCTACACGTGCGCCACTCCCACCTCAGCCGGCGAGCCATACCTCGGGTGACCGTGTAGCAGCCACGCCCGAGGTGCCCAGGCCGCAGGTATCGCACACACGCGCAAATATCAATCCAGAAGCGTATCATGATGGACCGTTCCGGATGACGCTTGGACACCTGCTCGAGCTGGATCGGGGAGTGGAGAGGAGGAACCAGGCGGACGTGGAGCGGGCGCTGAGCGTGCGAGGGGAAGGAGTTTCGATGCAGGGCAGGGGCCCGTCGCCGCTCATCGAAGTCACCGCAAGCGGCGCGGACAGAAACGCGGGCCGGTAAGTGAAGGCGTTGCTCAATGGATCATGATTGTTCATCCTTTATTCTCCAGCGCGCCCAGTACTGATGCATCGTCTATGACTTCCCGTGTACACGAGCATCGTCGACGCGCTGTTCCGCTGGCCAGCGTCGACAGTCGCCCCTTGGCACGGGCTGATTCTGGACGTGACCGTGGCCAACTGCATGACATGCTCAGTCGGTCGACGCGGATGGACGGATCGCGGCTCCCCAACGAGATCGATATCACCACGACGGGGAACGCCGTGGACTTTGCGCACGCCATGGACGTGCTCCGGACAGACGGGCTGACCACCGAGCGCGAGCAGCAGCTCATGCAGCAGTTCCAGCGCACGCGCGAACGTCAGGAGCGCGCGCGGCAGATCATGCGCTGGGGCGATTTCGACGGCAGCAACGCCCCGTTTGGGCACCGCTCGACCACCGTCAATACCCGCCGGAACCGCGAGCAGCTGACGATAAACACCAACGCCGGGTCAGATGCGGAGCGCGCGCGCGAGCCCCGGACGATCGGGGCGATGCTGCGCGGGCTGTCGTCGCCTACGCGCGCGTTGGCGGGACGGGATGAGGATCGTGCCCGCGCAGCAGCGACGGATCTGGCGGCGATGAGGGCTGAGCGGCAGGAGCGTCTTCGGGCGACGAGGCAGCGACTCGCGCAGCACCAGCACCAGCAGTTCTTGCAGGACATGGCGCCGACGAACATGGGGTGGCCCCCGCCACGCCGCCGCGGCGGTCGCTTTGGCGAGATGATGGTATGTGGATTGTCACCGTGCTGTGAAATCGATGAAGGCTGACTCGCTTTTGCGCGGTCAGGGCGACCATGAGCATCAGTTCCATGGCTTTATGACGCTCGCGGCGGCAATGCAGGAGCGTGCGCCGCCTAGAGGCGTGCCTGACCAGACGATTGCTTCTCTGCCTACTGCTACGTTCCAAGAGTGGGCTACGCCGGACAGCGACCAGATGTGCCCGATCTGTTTCGAAGATGTACGTCGCTCGTTTCCGTTGGATCGCTGCCATTTTACTCATTTACGGCATACGCAGTACAATGCTCCAGACCCCGTCCTGAAGCTGCCGGACTGTAACCACTGGATCCACAAGCCGTGCTTGGAGGTGAGCCTCTTCATCGCGAAGCTGCCAGCGAGAACAGATCTCACACACATTTGTAGAAATGGCTGAAGACGGCGAATACGTGCCCGATCTGTCGCAAGCGCGTAACGTCGCGTCGGCCAGAGGGAATTGCAACGGGGCCGAGTCGCGGACGACGAGGCGATGACTCTGACCGAGATGGTGGTGGCGGGCCTCCACCCCCGCCCCCACCTGCGAACGATGAAGATATTGTGATGCATTTCGTACCCGGGCTGTGGAGGGATTAAGTTGCTGATGCGGAGTGGAATCCTCGATCTAAGCCGATAGAATCTTGTGTTTGGTCAGCGTATTTATTCCGATCCAGCTGTATTGTAGTATGTGTAAATATTGGATTGCCCTGCTCGGTGCCCAAGGCATGCAAGTGTCTTGGCCCGGAAATAACGAACGATAATCGGCTGACGGCGACGACTGCCCATGCTCTCTCAGACCGGGGCGCACAGCCCTGGCGGGCTAGCCAGGACCTACGCCGTTCGCCGTCTATCGACAACTTGCATCCGTGCGGCCCCTTTATGGCGTTGGTATAAAAGGCGGCTTGTCGTTCGTATTGAACATCACCAACCACAACAACATACTCAGTTCGATGAAGACGACCTTTACGACCTTTACCTTACTACCAACGATAACGCTTTGGGCTGCGACAGCTCTAGCTCACGACACACGATATGCTTCTTGGAGCGAGGCCGTTGACGCCGTGCGGACCATGCCGCAGGAATGGACAAATGTCACTAGGTGCGTTCACCCTGCCGCCCCCTTTTGTCATGGTGTACCTGACGCACTCCTCGTCTCAACAGTCGTGTAACCAGAAGCACCGATTGGACGTTTGACATCGGATGTACCGGTGCAGGCGCCATTCAGTCTCCAGAATACACCGACATCTACGACGCCGTTCAGAAGTGGTTCTCCGGCTCGAACACCGGGCAGTTCTGCACCAACGGCGAGGAGTACAACGTGCTTTGTAACTCCGCCGACGCCGTTTCGCAGACCGGCTGTGCCTACGTCGGCCAGTACGATGTCTGGAACGACGGCATCATGGACTGCTATGCTTACGCGCTCCTCGAGAAGGCCGTGATCAAGACCTGCGCGGATAGCGGGTACGGCGATTGTGGCTGTGGTGTTTACTACGACTATGGGAGCGGCAAGTGTCTCGTAGCGACATACACCTACCATACCGGAGGTACGTTGTCATTGATGCTCACGAGGAGTTACCATTGACGTGGTTCTGCATAGGACCGGCTGTTTACAATTCGGACTACAGTGGCCCAGCTGAAGAGATCCCGGTGACGATGGACGTCATCCATCGCCGCGACTCAACGGGACCGAGCTATACAGACATTGCTGTCTGTGGGCACAACGGTAACGACGACGTGTCGCAGTGGTGCGAGGGTTCGACCACGCACGTCTGCTAGTGGCGTGCAACCGTACAGGGTTTTAGGTGACGACCTTTCATATTGAACAACCACGTAGTCATGGACACCATGGACTTGCAAGCAGTTTGGGACTTTAGCGACTTGTAACATCAAAGGAATGAGTTATCTTAGTACAACCTGTAACATCACCAGAATGAGTTACCTTAAACGCTATATAGTACTTATATCGTAGTTGTCCAACAGTTTCAGTATCCCTAATAACATGGATGCGATTGTGCCAGGCGAGAAACGCTCTTGTCCAACTCGTCGCCAATTACCAGTCGCACGGTCCGTCATCAAACTGTCGCCGCAGAACATGCGGAGTCCACCGCGAAGAAGCAACCTATTGCCAACCGTGTGGTGTAGTGCCCACAAATAAGTTCACCCTGACTAGGCTCGAGAGTGGATTCGCTCCCTTTTCCCGAGTCACCCCGCCGATTCGGAGACATAGTACATTCCGTTCCTGAAACTCCACAACATCAATGCATATTTTTACATGGGATTTTATTACGCCTTTTCTAAGTACCCCACAACGAAAGGGTGAAGAATCCTCCCAACATTGATCATCTAGCTCAATTTGTGATGAATGCTGCTACCTTGAAGGACCGAGAGATGCTGACGGCTAATACGGCCAGTTAATCCGTATCGTTGATCCCTTCCCGGATGAGCTTTTTCGCGCTCTCTGAGCGCGGTACCACATCACACTCGAATGGTTCCGGATATCTGTGCACGCGTGTCAATGTTTCGTTTGCTGGCGCGATAGGTATGCTACGCTTACGAGATTACACCGGTTGTCATACTTGCTTTCAGCTTCTTCGGGTGACCTGCCTCGTCGACTGGAGCTTTGATATCAAACACAGCCAATACAGTCGCCACTGTAATGAATAGCGCCTGTCCGCTGAACCACCGTCCTGGGCAGATCCTCTGCGCTGACATGAGCGGTATCCAAAGAATAAACCTTGTCACGTACTCGACCGAAGCCAAAGGCGGCGACGTTGGGGTCCTGAATCGTGGGGTCCAGTTTCCCATCCTTCAGAAAGCGCTCCGGTTTGAATTCGTGAGGTTCTGGATACACTTCCGGATCGTGGAGGATGGCCCTGACGAAACATCAGAATAATCTGTCGCATGCCATGCACATCCTGTCATGTACCATGCATTCCCGAAGAACATGGTGCCTTTGGGCAAGAAATACCCCTCGTATACGTCGTCCGCGATGGAGCTATGAACAGCGGCTATGATGACTATCAACGCGGCGGTTCATCCAGAAGACCGAATGGTAGTTCGTACCGAGCGGGCTTGGTGTTTGCCAACGCATGACTTCCTTGCATATCGCGGTGATGTATGGAAGACGCTCTTGATCATTAAATGCTAGAGTGATGCTTGTCCAAGCGGTTTTTATGAGGAGGATGAACTGATAAACCTACCAGGAAGCCTCTGCCCATCAAGCACACTGTCAAGTTCCTTCCACGCGATGCGGACTATTTCTGGATGCATGGCCATTGCCAGGAAGAATGTGCTCAATGCAGAGACGGTCTTGTGGAAACATGAGCTCGATTGCGATTCTATCATGCAGCACTCACAGTGTCTGCTCCTCCTGTTTCCGGTCGAGGCGATTCAGCCCTACGCTTCGTTCTGAAGACTTGATCATCTTACCCGAATATGCTGCTGCCAAAACATTCTTGATTGTGGTCTCTTGCGTCTGGATATCTACCTCCGGCTGGTCCGCAACTTTGTCCAATAACGACAGAGCAACACAAGGCCTCGAGCTTCCATTTCTCTGTATACGCACAAGAATGACGAGCGTTTTCGAGAGGAAGAAGAGGTATGATATACGCACTGTTGCTTCTTTGACGTGTTGAAATGGCCAGTTGACGAATTCATCGACGACCTTCTTCCACGCGGCCGCCTGGCGCTTGAAATGTGCCCCAGGGAACCACGAAGGCACATATTTTACTAGAAAGATGATTATGAGAAATACCCATACGCGGACCATTGACTTCGAAGAAGATATGCACGCCATGGGAAGGTATTGACCAGGTAAGCTGTTGGTTGAGCACTTTCGTTGAATCTTCGAGGCCCACAATCAGATGGAGCTTCGAAGAGCTGATGTAGAAACCCACGCCTCGAATGCTACCTCAGCCTTCCGGATGTACTTGTCATCACGCTCAGTAACTTGAATGCCATAGAGAGCATCCATTATAGTGACACCAAGCATCCTGTGAGGATAGTTAATTGGGCTATCATGTGCGATCAATGTTCACGTACAGCCTGCAGTGTCCTTGCCACTGATCAGGATGCTCGAGTAGGTGATTTGCTAGCGCACGCGCATGTTGTAGCTGTTTAGGGCGATATTGCGCCACTTGGTTGACATTCATAAACTGATGGAAGAGCCTTCGTTCCGTCCTCCAGCGGGTGCCATACTTCTGAAATCCAAATTGGAAGTCCCATCCTGACCTACGATGCACCGTGCCAGTTAAATTGGTGATTCTCAAACCTTTGACATAGATGATCATGATATCACATACAGGTCGTTGAGCATCGGGACTTCGGGTCGGTCGGAATAGTTGGAAGATCGTCTTTCCAGAAGGTCCATAGTGGCTTTGAGCGATCCAAGGATGACATATCGTTTTCCGAACGCCTCGAAGGAGAGAATATCGCCTGCGCGTAAACGATAAGTGATGCTCTTAGCTTATCGACGAAGATCTCACCGTATATATCGCTCCATGATTTGTAGGTTAGCCACGGGCGTTCTGTGGGTATCTGAAACGCATGACGAATCCAGGGAATGCTGGCCGAAGGACTGGGTGGTAAAGGCAAACCAGAATACTTCGAAGAGTGACGGCGATGTACCAACAAGGAGGCAGTTACGATAGCCAACAAAACCGCGAATAGTGTGACGAGTTCCATCGCAACCCGGTGGACGCAATGTTTTCGTCTCCGTGGTCGAAACTGTTCCTGGTTCGGTATATAAGAAAAACACGAAGATGAGCTGACCAGAAGGGAGCTCGAAAGAATCCCGCCCTGCGCTCTGGGCAGCAGCTATCCGCAGTTCAAATAGCCTCCAGTCCCACCGGCTTTCTTGTTCAACGCCCGCGGATCGCACAAGACGGCTTTCTCTGCTTTGTGGAGTGTATGATAAGTACACGCTACCCGGGAGTGAATGTGATCACATTGTGTGCAACCACAGCAGTCACATTCCGTTAGAGGGAGTCGATATTGCATTCCTAGGAAGCTAGGTAATGAGTGTGAGCCTCAGTGAGATGGAAATGGAGGGTGCGAGCCATACGTCGCGTCCCATCCTTTCCGCCAGACGCCACCTTCCGCTAAGAGAATCTAACGAGTGTGTCGCGAGTTCTTCGGTGAAGGCACCAGAAATGTTGGCTTCAGTCTTCTCCACGCGTGCATGTGCGTCTTGCGGTTATCTCAATTCAGTTTCGCTAAAAACGAGCAACTGCAGCCTTGGCGAGAGAACATCTCAGATGCAAGGTTTGAGATACATCGCGAAATAGCACACCGTATGCCCTTCCCGCTAAGTCCTATCAGTCCAGACACAGCACGTGAGCTGCATGCCTGGGACCTGCTGCTGAGAGAGTTAATGTGTAACCTTATTGGAGGCATAAACAAGGGCCAAAGAATGCCCCTAATGGGCGTCATGGGGTCACCAACACCTGTCGAATCTCAGGACCGCATGTCCCGCGGTGAACGTTCAGTGCGGGTTCAGCTTGGAAGTTCGTGGAATGCAGGCAGAGAAGTTCATCATTCGGATATTGTTGACAACCTGGGTGAGTGGATATAGAAAGAGCCTAGCATATATTCCAGAGAAGCCAACGATTAATGCATCGTACTATAGTTATCGTCGTCGTTATCGTCAAGCGAACGTCCCGGGCATTGTCTGTGTTCTTCTCCTCTCCGGGTGGTGATAATAGGTGCCGTACCGTTTCGACGGCGAGCGAGGGAGGAGTGTCTGCGTTTCGGTCGCCGGGAACTGAACGTCATTCGCCTGGCTCGGCTCCCGCGACCCCGACGTTGACGCATGCCCCGGGCTTGGGAGGTCGTCGTCGCTGTCGCTGCTCTCGTCCTGATCTAACCATTCCCCTTCAGGCAGCATGATCACGCCGCTGGCGTCGTCGAAGCTTAGCCGGTGGTGGAGCGGGTTCGGCATGGTCGAAGACCGCCTCAAATGCGATTCGGCGCCATCTTCGCCCCATGGATTCGCGAGCGTGTCCTCCGCGCCGTCGGCTGGAGCGGCCGATGTGGACGCCGCACCCTCCGCGGGTGCGGAGTCCACCCTGGTGAGCAGTGCGCGGCTGGCTGTGCGGCTAGCGCGTCTGCTGGCTCTACGGAGCGTGCTCGGTCGACGGCGTAACGTGAGCACGACGGCGTCGTCCGCCGCCTTTCCGATCTTGTTGGTGCGGGGTCTGTCGCCGTTGACTAGGGTCTGGCCCTTCTTCAAGGGAAGCCACGGCTGGGGAAGGACGCCGTTCAGTGCTGGATGTCCATAGCGGCGCTTTCCGGTACTGCAGGTATCCTTAGTCGGATTCATTGGTGAGGAGGATAGGCGCTTACTTTAGGACACCAGGATACCAGTTCGCCATGGGAGGTTGCGACTAAGCTACTGTCAGAACTGCCAAGATGGTTGTCGACAGAGCAACGCACATAGTCAGTCCTATCATCCTCTGGAGCGACGTAAAGCGTCTCGTCATGCTGGGCATATCGTCTACGATGTAGGTTGCTGCAATCCTATTGTCAGATGGCAAGAAAGCTGGATACCATTGATGCCAACCTCTGTGACCAAGTCACTGGGTGCCCCGCCTTCAACCTCAACACCTCTGCGCTATCCTCACCCCTCTGCACCTCGTTCACCGAGCTCAAGCTGACGTACTTGCTCAGAGGCTCGAATTCCTTGCTGATATACCACGACCAGACCACCGTGCCACCCAGGAGAGGGAGGAGCAGGGATGATATGATCCACGCTTTGCGGAGGGTGAAGATCCCGGTCATGAATACGAGGAACATGACAACGCCCCAGATCAGGCGGACGAAGGTGATCGGCCAGGCCTGGCCCTGGGATTCGTACGGTTTGTAGAACACTGAGGGAGCAAAAGGGGTCAGTACGGATCATGGGGCCCAGCACGGTCGCGCGTACCGAAAAGGAGTTTGTACTTGTACACCACATATGCAACACCGAAGTAGAGGGCCCCGAAGAAAAGAATGAGAGGTTGTATAACACTGTAGAGGAGGGTGATGATGAAGATGAGCATGGCCTGCGGGTATACGACCCCGTAGTTGATCATCGGCGGAGCGTTAAGCTCGGCGAAATCTGAGGACGTTGGTTAGACAGGTTACCGATGATGTAGACAACCACGCACCTCGCGGAGTCCTCGTGAACAGGGCACGTCGCACCACGTACGGGATAGCCACGCCTAGATTGAGAAGTTGGAGGGGCATGAGGCCCATGCCTAAAAGCGGGGGACATGAGAGAGGTTTCGAGGACAGGTTGATGCGCAGCATACCTTGAAGGATGACGTAGGAAAGGAAGAAGTGTCTATAAAAGGTTTTAGTCAGAAAACATCCCTCATCCTGGGAGACGGCAGAGGTCACCTTGCGCGACCCTTTGACAGGTCCTGCGCGAGCTTCTCCGGAATCCTTGCAGGCGAATTGGCCAGCTCTCGAACGAGCTGCCAGTACGTGCTCGCGAGGAGGAATATAAAGACCACGGTCGTGAGGAGGAACAGGAAGTACCTGGTGGCCAAAGTCACCAACGTGTTCATGACGAGTAGAGACACACGTACTTCTTCATGAGCGAATATTCAACCCAACTGCGCGCTCGGAAGCCTTGCATGTAGGTCAAAGCTAGAAGGAGAATCAGCGCGAGTCCGAGCGATCCAAAAGGCAATCGCCTCTCACCTTCCAGCAGGAACGGCAGCAACGCGTTCAGGCTGACCATCGCCACCGACGGTAACGAGTTCTGCACGACCGCGCGGATGTTGTCGTTCCTCTCGATCAGCCGCGCTAGCCACGGCATCACCTTCTGAATCTCCTTGTAGCTGAGCAAGGTCGAGAGCGCGGTGATGGGGAAGATCCAGGTGAAGAGGAGGAGGCCCATGCCGGCGACAACGACCCAATCGCGGAGGTTGATCGTCGACTGCGGGAGGGACATCGAGGACCAGACGATGTCCCGCGGCTCCGGCGCAAGGTGCGTCTTGCACTGGAACGGCGTAGACGCGGTCGCGGTCTGAACTGCGATTTGCTGAAATAGGCATGGTGTCAATAAGAATGACAGCGAGCAGGGCGTCAAGATTCGTTTTCTTACAGCGCTGGACATCTTCTCGAACGTGACGAACGCCGTCTGGGTCGCCTTGAACTTGCCCGTCCGGCGTTTCTTCCGCACGGCCTCGTCCGCTTCCTTGAACTTCGTCTCCAGGTACTCCAGCGCGTCCACCTTCGGGCCGAACCAGCCGACCCTGATCGTCGGCCGCGGCCGGTGCGGCACGACGACGCGCCCGCGCTGGGCCTCCGCGTCCGCCACGCCGTCGGCGACGTCCACGAGCGGCGGCGCGACGCTCTCCGCGGGGTCGTAGCTCTCGACCGTGCTCGGGTTGCCGACGTAGTCGACCCAGGCCTTCTCGAGCTTGAGCAGCGCCCGCGTGCGCGCGTCGATCAGCCGCTTGAGGCTGCCGACCTCGCGGCAGACGGACACGCTCTCGACGGCGAGGTCCATGCCCTCGAAGTACTCGGCGAGCGCGCGCTCGCCGCGGAGGTGTGCCGGGAGCTGGGTGATCATCACCGTCCGGGCGGGGATGGAGTGCACGAGCTCGAGCGAGAAGAGCTGCCGGGCGCGGATGAAGCGCTTGTAGTTCTTGTAGATGAAGTAGAGGGAGAGGAGGGTGAAGAGGTAGGTAAAGAGGAGGTGCACGGAGAGGTAGGAGTTGGCGTCGGAGATGAGGTCGAGCCAGTCCCGGCCGGGTTGGGTGCCGTTCGTTGGCGCGGCAGAGATGAAGGGGAAGCGCACGGAGGATATGTTCGGTCCGGGGCCAATGGGCCAGTCGTCGTCGGCATCATCGCCGCCGTTACTGATGTTACTCTGGAAACGCGGTGAATAACATGTTCAAGTGGGGAGCAAGGGTATATGCGTACCTTCAGGTTGATGGGCATAAGAATGGCGGCAGCAAACAGCGAGCAGAGCGAGAAGAGGTAGAACGACATCTTGTAGAAGTTCAGCAGCTACAGTGCCATGGTCAGCATCTTGAATATGGAACAGAGTAGCCTGGCAACGTACGACTGCCGCATCCAGCCCCACGATCTGAAGCACAGTGAACTCGGACGTGCGTATAGTCGGCAATATCCAGCCAAAAAACCCCTGTTGCGCATGCGACTCGTGGGGTGAAAATCCTGTGGACGACGCTTTGACATCAAACCATGGTCGCGCCGCTCTATGCGTGTATTGCGCACCTTTCAGCTTGGTACGCGGCGCGAACAGCAACGGCCATCGCGTCCTCGCGTACGAGAATATCAAGAACGACGTAATTCCGATGGAAGACGCGAGCACCATCTGCGTCTGAAACCATGGTCCTTCGAACGTATCTAAACTCGCGAAGCATCAGGGACCTTGGGTTGCCCTTTGATCATGCATGAAGTGCGCATACGCGTGGGAGGCGAGCCAGGAGGCGCTCCTCCTGGTTCATCTTGTCCTGGGTCGTCGGGGCCGTCAGGGTCGTCAAGAAGAAACCGAAAGAAAAGCTTGAGGATGGGGTCCATGCCTCAGACGTCGCCGGAGACCAAGCTTGCGAGCAGCTCTCGGTTGCCGCGAGATATGCCGCATCACGTGCATGAAGCACAGAATGGCTGTGTCAGGCGCCTTTTCGGACGATTAGGTTAAGCGCCGAAAATGAACGCTCGCGTCATACTTATCCGACGACGACTTGCAACCGACGATGTGTTGTGCAACGTACGAAAGTGACTCTCTCCTGATATTGCTCTGTGTTTCCCGGACAGGACTAACACGTCGATAAGAATAAACCTCCTTCCATGGGCGATGACATCACCACAAGATCCTCCGTTCCCACTGGGGAGTAACGCGTCATAACTGATGGCGCAGTCCTCAGCGCACATATAACGGAGTAAAAACAGCCTATTCTTACATCGTTAGTTCCACCTCGTGAACCATATACTCTTCTCTTTTTTGCGATCACCAAGATAATGCCGACGCCAACCACTCAAACCCAGGACGCGCCCCCGACCGCGCCCGGCGGTGAGCCGTACCCCGAGCAGAAGCACGCGGGCGCTGTCGGTTATGGACCGGAATACCACAAGGGAGCAGTGAGTCGCCGTGGACTTTTCGCGCTGTTTTACTTTGCACGCTGACGACATTCGTTTTCAAGACCTTTGGGGACAAGATGGAAGGTATGAAGGAAGAGCTGAAGGGCAAGGTGACGAAGAACCCCGATCGTGCCCAACATGGACGCGAAATGCGTACTGGCGTATTGAAGGAGAAGCACGAGGAGGTACGCCGTTCGCTCATGACTCTCATACCCAGGGCGTGAATCTGATTCGGCTTTGATGCAGGATGATGTGGACCCCTTCGCATCTGCGCAGGACCAGCAGCAGCCGAGCACACCGGCCTCTGGTGCTGGCGGCGATTCCGAGCATCAGAGAGCAGCAGCGGTCGCGCCGGAGGACACCGCGAAGGGACAGAAGCAGGCTGCTGGCGAGCGGGTGCAGGACCAACGAGTGATCGACGAAGCGTCCTGATTATGACAGGAGCACGCTTTAATCCAATACATCGGCATGCACACCTATGTTACTTGAACACTGCCAATAATATGTATCAATGAACCTCAACGTCAGACATATCCATCCCAAATGAACGCTCTCTGTGCCTCGAACATAAGTATAACTTACTGAGCTATGTTCACCTCTTGACGCCCATCGCACTGACAAGAAGTTATCGCTCCAGCGATATCTCATTAGAGGAGGCCAGAATTGACTGAGCAGCTGCAGTCAAGAATTTTCCGCGTATATGTCGACTATCCAACGGATCCGGAGCAACAACTCGAGACGGCTGGTGGAGGTTAAGTTCAACATACGAGTAAGCGCCGAAGCGGCCCTGTTGAATGTTCGTCAAGGCGACGCGCCGGCGCCGCACCGGCATCCGTTTATGGCAAGAAAAGACGCCGAGCCCATCCGCTTCGGTCGTTCGGATCTCTTGGCGGTGTTGATTCGCCTAAATTCTGCTTCACTGCACGCCCCGTCCTCCCTCCCTCCACCGCCCTCGTCGTCGCCGTCGACAACAGTCTCTCGCCCCGCGAACATCACACTCTTTAGACCGTCCTTTCGTTCGAGCTGCCCCGTTTTGAATTCGTCATGTTCGCTAAGACTGTTCTCGCTCTGCTCGCCATCGCTGCCCGTGAGTCCGGTCGCTGATGGGGCCTGGGACGCGTCACTGACGCTGTCAATTTTTTTTGTTGTTCGTCGTCAGCGGCGCTCGCGGCGACGTGCTCGCGCAGCTACACCGTCCAGGAGGGTGATATCTGTGACAGCATCTCCGCTGCCCAGAACGTATCAACGTGCGTTCATTTGATCATCTTGCAGTTATGTCAGGGTATAATGCTGACGTCCATTCTGCTATCTTTAGTTACCAGCTCGCTGTCGCCAACTCCAACATCGACCCGGCATGCTCAAATTTGCTGCCCGGCGAGACCCTCTGCCTCGGTAACGAAGGCGAGGACTGCTCGACCACCTACGTCGTCAAGGTACGTTGACTACAGAACCAACTATCGAACTCGAGAGCTCTAATACCTCACCAACCCAGGCGGATGACACTTGCGACACCATCGGCGGCGTCGCCGGCGTCAACTCGACCATGCTGACCCTCAACAACCCTCAGATCAACCAGGACTGCACCAACCTCTACATAGGCGAGGTAAGCTCAAGCCGTATCGCTCGGGAATAAACCATCCACAGTTCTCATTTCTTTTCGCTATCGCCAAGGTTCTCTGCGTGGCCAACGCCGTCCAGGTCCCCGCCGCGCCGTCCACGCCGGTCCTGACCTCTATCCCTGCGACGGCGACGCCCGTCCTATCCACCGTCGCGGCCTCCACGTCCGTCGCCGTCACCACCACCGCCTCCGCCGCCGAAGCATCCGAGACGGACGACGACGAAGACCTCCCGTGGTGCGACGAGCTCTAATGACCTCGTCCACCCCATCCAGTACCGTTTCCAAGAGGGGTTTTGGGCCGTCGGAGCGATCCCTACGTCGCATATAGTCCCCCTAGGCTGGTGTCTTCGACGGATTGAGCTGGTCTTACACCCTCCCCCTTTCTTCCTTTTCCCTCCTAGTATCCAGGACCTCCCGCTCGCTCTCCCAACTCGTCCGCCAATCTGCATGTATATGTTGGAGCACGCTCTCGTTTGATACCCCACGCATATACCTACCTACCTTCCGTCATATCTCTTGCTCGTGATATGTGGTATAGCAGCAGCCTATAACACTAATCGTTCATAACCTGAAATGGAAACAATGTGGCCCTCTACTTGTCACGCTCCGGATCCGATCTCTGAGCACTGTGTCCCCGGCGTCGGCTGCGCTGTGCAGCGCTCCGTACTCCACGTGCGCGCAAAGCGCAACGCACTCTTACGTTCACTCTCTTCTCTGGATTCCGTAGCGTGCCGTGCCATACGAGCCCATGGACATATGTTTGAACATGAGGTGCTCGAACTTGGACGACAATGCAGCTTGATGGTTCATTTATGTACCGACAAGCTACCGACGGCGCACTTACCCCTCGTACCACGCCCGCGAAAACAGCCCGTCCTGATGCGAACGAACGGTCACGCAGGTCCATCCACTTATCCCGAGGAATGCCCGACCGCTCTCTTCCGCATATCATACCCTCTGCGAACTGGTCTTCATGGATTAACTTCGTGATCATTCGGATCGCTCCTGATGACAAGAAGCTGCAGAAACGCAATACACCGACCTTCTCGGCGCATCGTGCCATCGTTCATGCATTCAGCGACTCGAGGTCTTATATACTCCACGAAGCGGCTTGAACGATATCAGCCCTTTGTACGTCGAAACGGTTTCTGGAGATGGTCGCACGCTACTGTTTCGCCCTCGCCCTCAGTACCGCACTGCTAGCTCATGTGGCATCGGCACAAAAGTGTCCCCTGATCTGGGACGGTCGCGTTACGCTGAGGACTACGCCAGCCGACTTTGACAAGAATTCCAGCATTTATGATCACCAGTATGTGCATGGGGAAAGTGAGTCGCGTTAGCTATCATTTCCTGCTAAGAGCCAAACGCATCTGGTCCCGTAGATCAGACGTGGGCCGAAATTATCAAGTTCCCCGTCGTCGAGCCGTCATTGGCAAGTGACGTCGTCACTCGCCTCCAAGCCCGACTAACGACTAACAGTTTGACGTACCGAAACTCTCTAAGCCGGTCGAGGTCACCCTCAGGTGAACTGCGTACTATACATATCACAGCATATTCTGCTTACCGTGATATCAGCGATGCCTCGATATTCTTATCTGGACCAGGCGGTCTTCAGACCGGTTTCCGCCGTTCGGAACTGATCCCCGCAACGAATAACGGAACGGACCCCTCCGTCATCGGTACAACCACCTTTCACTGGTCGATCCGCAACGACCCCGCTCGTCCTCTCAACTACTCGCACGAGTATCATGTAAGTCGTCTTCATCTTCGAACTCACCCACCTACATTTTAACATCGACGTTCAAATAGCCCGCCTGGCACGAGACGAACTCGTACGACACTGAACAGTTCACCTTCGAGACCGGCCAGCCGTTTAACCAGTCGTTCGACCCCTCCGTGCACAACCCGCGCACCCTCCGCCTGGCTGGAAACCGCGAAGTCAGCCCGGAGAACATGCTCTTCCAGACGCCGTTCACCGAAAACGTCTGGCACAACTGGGCCGTCACGCTCGGCTGGGACTCCAAGTGAGAGTGCAGTACGCTCACACTACCCCGGATCACGACCCACTCACGCTCGCCCCGCGTCTACTACAGCCTCATCACGGTCTATTATTCGCAAGGACTCGAACCCCTGAAAAAGGTCGCGGGCCCGGCGGCGGACAGTTCCACGTTGGCGTGTTCAAGCAGCCGACGGGTCCCCTAGGCATCAATGTGCTCTACGAGGGATATCAGGAGTCGCACATCAACGAGGGTTTGATACACGGCGGAGTCTTTATCGAAGACAGCTCCAAGGGCTGCGTAACCACGTCTCTGCTGTGAAGAGGTTTCACCTTCACGAGCATTTGCAATGTGTAAGGGACCCGAGCCAGGCCTGAGGTGCCGAAAAGCAACAGATGGAAACTGTTATATATGTTATCGCAGGGACACCAATACAAGGAAGAAGTCAGTTCGGCGATGTATCATTCAGGCAAGGCCATGGTTGATCAAATACTTAGTATCTTGATAGCGCAGCACAGATGAGAACGGACCAGCAGTACTGGCCACTGGGCATCTCGTCGACTCGGAAATGTGGAGTCGCAGTGGCCATGTACTATTCCAGGTCCCACGTCGCGTCCACAGACATCTAGCCTCCAAGGCTGCGTACTAACGAGAGGCTAGGAAGCTCGCCTTGGTCTGCAGACCGTGAGGCAGCCCGTGGTTGCCTTGTCGCCTGACAACTGATGACATCGGACAGAGGAGCAATGATCACGATTAGCGTAACGGATTCCACTGTAGAACAGCGCTGCTCGCCGCAAGGGATACTTGCGGCCGTCTGTCTGACAACTACAGTGGATAGAATTTCATGAGGTCGTGGCCCCGAGTGATCAGCCAGTCGAGTGGTCAGACTTCGCAGAGAAATCCAATACCCACACCGCCTCTCAGAGTTGTTTCTGTCAAAGGCCTGCATAAATGCGAGGCTCGGAAATTCGGGAGCGCGTTCGGATCGACAGTGTCTGGTTGCCAACGGGTAGTTTCGAGTTCTCCTTGGGTTTTCCAGAAGGTCCGGTGTAATGTGTGTTTCGAAACAGCCCAAATCGTCACTAGATGAGGGGAAATATCCTTGCAAAGGTGTCACGAATATACTGGCGCTCTGAGCAACTCAACGAGATGGAAAACCCTCAAGCTCCGGAACACGACACCTCGCGTGCTGTTCATTCGGCAATAGCCCGGGCCGGTAGCCAACGAGGTTTGGGCTCTGGTCCTTCGAGCCCACTCCACGTTCCTGAGACTCCATATACCTCCTCTGCTCAAATCGATGATAGGTACTGCGGGCGCGTAACCTTTTTGCTTGATGTTGCTCCCACGTCGCTCCATCCTCTTACTGCGGCTGCCGGCATCGTCGTGGGCCGACGACCGTCAATGGTGCTCTTCGCATCCGGAAAGGTCATCTGACAAGGGTCTATGAACGTTCTCGTTCTCTTTTTGGCACAGGCAAGGGATGATTGCAGCCTCATCTTCGAGCTCCGAACGTTCTGACTGAGGGGCGTCTCTGCGAATGCAAAGTTGACGTCGCAGATCACACGCTATTCTTGCCAACCTGACGTGTATCCCCGCTCAGCAGCTCCGTGTGCTATAATGAGATCCTGCATAAGTATGCGGGGTCTACCTGTTCGCCTCGCAGGTGCACGCATCAGGCGACATGACCGGTCTCGTTTTTGCGGTGTTGGCCTTGCTGGCTTCCGCCGTCTCGCTAGCTAGTCCGACTGTCCGTTCGACTGCGCCGACCGTCGTTCTTGACAGGGGCACATTTGTGGGAGTGGATACAGGGTTGAATTTTCAGTTTCTAGGCATTCCATTTGCGCAGTCTGTGTACGTGGCATGTTCGTGTCGTCAAGATCAGTACGAAACTGATTCATCTGCGAACGTAGAGCTGGAACCGCTCGACTTCGTCTACCTAAACCCAACCTGCCCTATACCGGCATTCACAATGCTACAACATTTGGCCCAGGATGCCTGCAACAAGCATCTACGACACCTGTTCCGCCGGGTCTGTTACCCAGTTCTATCTCGAATGCCAGCGCGCCACCGACGAGTGAGGATTGTACGTCGATAGGCTCTCGTGATTCGTGCTCTTGACGAAAACCTTTGATCAGGCCTTACCATCAATGTTGTGACGCCTGCTTCATTCACACCCAAATCAAGGTTTCCAGTCGCGGTGGTACGTGGTCGCGAAATCCCTCGGTAAAATATGTCTCATTGTGCCTCCAGTGGATTTATGGAGGTAGGCTTCACTTGCTCTGTGACGTCTTCTCTATCCATATGAACGACCCAAGGCGGATTCGAGACGGGAATGACCTCGAGGTGAGCGTCATCTTAACTGTGATGATCGTTCCATTTACCGAGTTGCTCGAGCTTCGACGGAGGAGTCATAGTCAACCGTTCGATTGCGCTATCCGAACCCGTGGTATATGTCAGCATGAACTACCGCCTTAGTGGTGAGTCATGTTATTATGCGCTGACGCTGGCAATGCACTCTCCGACCGTGCTTGTACATAGGATTCGGCTTCCTTGCTAGTCAAGAGGTGAAAGACGCTGGATTAGGGAATCTTGGACTTCAAGATCGTCAGTACATTTCCGTTTCCTCACACTCGCTTGCCAACCAACTTGAGAAAACAGAACGTGAGGCGCTACGCTGGGTGCAGAAGTACATCACTGCTTTCGGTATGCCGTTACACACTGCCTTATTCGTTTCTCATACCTGCCATCGGCTTTCTGTAGGAGGGTAAGCATTAACGGTGCTGCGCACCTCATGTTCGCAGGAAATGGAACTTAAGGCTTCTTCATACCAGTGATCCCACGAAAGTGACGATGTGAGTACCCTACGTATCGTCTCCGCGTGGCAGCTCGACATCCGGTATCTGTTCGTAGATGGGGAGAGTCCGCCGGTGCTATCTCCGTGGGCTTACAGCTGGTGACGAACGGCGGCAAGACCGAAGGCCTATTCCGCGGCGGTTTCATGGAGTCGGGCTCTCCTACTCCGGGGACGGACATCACCATGGGGCAAACGGTCTATAACCAGATCGTGGCCGAAACGGGCTGCTCCGGTTCCCCGGATACATTGGAGTGCTTGAGGATTGTTCCCGTCGACACGTTGTTGGCCGCTATCAATGCCACCCCGGATATACTCAATCCCAACCAGGTTCGTAACGCCTGGCGACGGGTTTGTTGATGCAAGAGTGATGATGCTGACGGGCGAATGCAGGGGCTGAACATAACCTGGGAACCGCGTGTCGATGGCGTATTTTTACCTGAATCGGGACAGAATCTGGTTGCTAAAGGTATCATCGCTGATATACCCATCGTGAACGGTGAGAGCCTATTTTTCCCATTTCCCTTCGATCATCGAGCTCAGACATAGCTTGTTTCGTTCTAGGTGACTGCGATGACGAGGTGAATAGTACTCCAAAGGGACGCTCACACGCGGTTTGACTGTTCGATTTAGGGGACTATCTTCAGTGTCACACTCGCGAACATTACGTGAGTCACGTCTTATCGTCTTCAAGAGACACATGCTCAACAGAAGATTAAGAACCGATGAGCAAGTGTCCGACTTCATCTCGAGAAATTTCTTCCCCGGCGCGTCATCGAGTCAAATGGCGAATCTTCTGGCTCTGTACCCTCAAGACCCCGCCGCTGGTTCGCCATTTGACACCGGCGAACAAAACGCGCTTACCCCTCAATACAAGCGCCTGGCCGCGTTACAGGTCAGCCTCGAAAAGGTTCAATCAAACGACTGTAGAGCTGAGCCCATGAATCACAGGGTGACATCATCTTCCAATCCCCGCGTCGATTCCTCTTCGAACAACGTGCGACGAAACAGCCCATATTCTCCTTTCGTCAGTACCGCCGTGACCAAGTCGCGCATCCTTACTGACGATGGGTGGGTGATGCCATGCAGTGAGCAAGCGCGGAAAGTCGACGCCGTTCGTCGGGGCCTTCCACTCCAGCGACCTGCAGAACATCTATGGGGGCGGTGAGCTGACCGACTACCTCGTTCACTTCGTGAACCACCTCGACCCGAACGGGCCCCTTGTCACCGGCGAGACCTTTGCGTGGCCACGCTACGAGCCATCTCACCCGCAGATGCTTACGCTGCTGGATGCGCCGCTTCCCGCTCTGGAGTTAACCACGGACACGTTCAGGTTGGATGCGATCAGCTTCGTAAGGAACCTTACCTTCCAGTCGGATGGGATCCTTTAGAGCTTGTACTATGTCCTGTCCTAGGGGCACTTCACAATGATATCATAACGCCAGAAATGCTATTGCTCGAACAAAGGTCTGGGGCTCAGGCAACGAAAATGTATCCTTTCCTGACCCTAACCCCATCGCACTACGTACGACCCACTCATTCCTCCGATTTCGTGCTTACTGGCCGCCGAACGTTACCCACTTGCTCCCTTCACTTATTTGCTGGACTGTTAGATATAAGGTCCCCACATCGGAGCTCATATGGGGCCCTATGCCTATAGTCAGTTACCAACTACGGATCATGTCAAGATGGCACCCACCATCCACCGGGAATCCCGACGTAAAAGTCCATGACCCGCGAGCAATGTTTGAATACGCACACGGAGAAGAAATCGCGCTCCTGCTACCCATCGATATCGACTCTGATAACGCATGGCATCGTTCGCGTCCGACTCTCTCATCCTCGTCACCGGAGCCAACGGCCACGTCGCCCAGCACGTCGTAGATCAGGCTCTTCATCACCCTGCCCGACCGCGCGTCCGCGCGACCGTTCGCTCGGCTGCCTCCGTCGATGCGCTCAAGTCGTATTGGGCGGAATACGTGGACGAGGGTCGGCTGGAGGTCGTCCGCGTCCCCGATATCACAGCGAACGGTGCATTCGACGATGCAGTCAAAGGTGCGCTATCGCAATCATCTCATGCAAACCGGAGCTCGACCTGATGCGATACATAAAGGCGTAACACATATCGCGTAGGCTCTTTCTTTCACCTGTTGTCGACGAATGCGTCTCACGACAACTCGTGCCGAATCGCAGACACATTGCGTCACCCATCATTGTCAACCCGAAGGACGTCGAGAACGATCTGCTGAAACCTGCCATCCGTGGTACTACGGGAATACTGAGGTCCGCAAAGGCCTCCGGCACGGTGAAAGCCGTGGTGATCACGTCCTCCTTTGGATCTGCGGCCGACATCAGCAAGGGATTACGACCCGGATACATCTATACCGCGGTGAGAGCGCATAGCTCTCGTAGCTCGCGTGCAGATATGCTGAACGTCCGTCAAGGACGACTGGAACCCTCTCACCTACGAGCAACCGGCGGACCCTAACCTGGATTACAGCGCGTTTCCGGAGATTTACCGTCCGTACGTCACGTACACGGCCTCCAAGGTGGCTGCAGAACGTGCTGCTTGGGTACGTCACCTTCGTACGGTCGAATGGCGATCGCCAACTGACAGGCTGTTGCAGGCGTATCACAAATCGGAAGGGGAGCCGTTCCGTCTGTCCGTCATGCTGCCTGTGTACGTCTCGGGGCTACACGTCCTACCGCTGACGAAGGGAGCGGAAAGCTTGAGCTTCAGCAACCTCCTCATATGGCGCTGCGCGACCGACGCGGAGCTCGTCCCGTTCGACTTTCCGGGATGGGTGGACGTGCGGGACGTCGCCAAAGCGCACCTTGCCGCGCTCGAGAGACCGGAGACGTCGGGGAAGCGATACCTCCTCGTCGCCGCGTCGACCAATTACGCACAGGTGCGCGATAGGGTTCTCTCGCTTTGCCGCCGGTTCGGGCTCTGAGAACGGCTCTTGCCTTGTTTTGTTCCGTAACAGATTGCGGACATTATACGGGCAGCGTTCCCGCAGCTGAACCCGCCGAAGCGGAAGCAGGACGTACGTCCACGTCCGTTGTGGTTCCGTTTTGGGTTGCTGACGTGTCGCATCTAGTTCGACGTTTATGGGTACGACGGGTCTCCGGCTCTGCTAGAGCTGGGTCTCGGAAAGTACATCGGGTTGGAAAAGATGGTGACAGATGTGGTCGCCCAAACGCTAGAAGCTCAAGAGAGCAAGAAAACCTCCGTGTAATATATCTGATTTCCCCCCGTCTCGGCGCTCTGACTCCGTCGACGAGGCCACAAGCTCATGCCGAACACGCTGAAGCGGACATGCATTCTGATGTATCTGACATTCGTGAGGTTCGATCGCTCGCCTCGAATGATCCCTTTCCACGCGCCCTTTGACGGCGGAGGATCATACCGAACGGGTCTGCGTGCCTGATACGAGTGTATGACTGTTCAACGTAGCGAGGATCTCCCGCCGCAGCGTCGAGCCCGCGTGCGTACTTGACATCGTTCGCGGAGACCGTAACATACTTCCACCAATGAGGAACCTCAAGAAATTCGGATGGAAGGTAGTAGTAGGCTGACATAACGCCGTCCACCTTGAATGGCTTTTGAACTTGCACGTCGCCGATCTCATCGGCTGAGGGGCTAGGGCGGACCCTACTTGATTCCCTGCACTCATTAGACGGATCTGCGGTGCAGAACTACCGGCGGTCACCGTATCGAGCTGCATGCGAAGGTCTCGACTTGGCCTCGGGAACCTATATACTACACGGACTCGACTCTTCAATGCGACGCGGGCTCATGGTCTCAACGACAGAACCGTTGCTCGCATTCTTCTTGGGACAAGGCATATGCAGCACCCTTCCGCGATCCCCACGGCGATTTTCAGATCAAGCTTTCCGTGTTGGTGCCTAAGCTCGCCCTGAACGCCAGCACAAAAGCGGTTGAAACACCTCCGAAGATCCCAACGCCGGCCAACCACTGATAGGCCGTCATAACCACGTCGCCATCCTTGGGCGGCTTTTTGTGAAGCGCCTCCACGCAGGCCAGCAAACGTGCCTTGATGTTGAGTGCTTTAAAGACGTTGCTGAGACGAAGCCGGCGTCAGGCGACGTGCACCATGCGCAGCTCAGTCTTGATCTTCGTTGCGTCGGCCGTTCTCTCGTCGGCACTCGCGGTTGCGACACCCTTGGTCGGGAGGGCTACATCGGACCCGCCAGCTTTGCCAGAAAACTGGGTCACCGAGATCGCTTGCGCGGTCGACGACCCCGGTCGAGTGATCGCGAACGATGTCACCACCGTGAACCAACACGACACGCCTGCTTCGTGCGTCGACGAGTGCGCGTCCAAGGGGTTCAACTTCGCCGGCGTCGAGTTCAGCGACGAATGCCACTGCGGGACGGGCTTCGCCGGAGGAGTGCGGCCCGAGATCGCCCCCGCTTCCGACTGCAACATGACGTGCACGGGGAACAGCTCGCAGATATGCGGCGGGGCATGGCGAATCCAGGTAGCACCTGTCTCATTCGAATCCTCGCAGGGTCGCTGAACCTAACGGCCTCTTGATAGATCTTCAGGTCTCTGGTCGACGTAACCGCTCCTCCCAGCTCCCCGAGCCAGCCGGCGACGACCGCAGCCAGCTCTCCGCCCAGCACCTCCGCCACGATCTCCTCCACGTCGCCCGCCCAGCCGTCCATGTCCACGCGCCCGCAGCGGCCTCCCGTGTCCCCCGTCGGCTGGACGACACGCTTCGAGTGCGCCACCGACGTCCCGACGCGGGTGCTCGCGGACATCGAGACCCTGCTCCTCGACGACAACGCGCCCGCGACGTGCATCGCCGCGTGCGCCGCGGACGGCTTCACGTTCGCCGGGGTCGAGTTCAGCGACGAGTGCCACTGCGGCACGGGCTTCGCCGGCGGGGTCCCGCCCCAGGTCGCGCCGACGTCCAACTGCGACATGGCTTGTACCGGTGACGCCGATCAAACTTGCGGAGGAGTCTGGAGCATCGAGGCGAGTATGCTTGTGTCGCGTTCGTCTGTGCTGGCGATTGACGTTCGTTCGTTCGTTAGATCTTCGAGGCTCCCGGTACCAACTGAAACTGCAAGGCGTCGTTAAGACATTCCCTATGACCGACCTAGTGAACATGCTGCATACTCTGCCGATCCTTTCCTACCACCGCTCTTTTCCTGGCCTCGGCCGCATAATCATCCTCGGATCCCTAACCCGTCCTTGAATTCACACTGTTATGGATCGCCTATCTCTGTTCTTCTGATAGAATACCTCTTCGATCTGTACTATGGAAGTTTCTTGTTTGATACCAATGTTGTACGTACTTGCGACTCGGATGTTTGCGATACCAATTTCGTATCAATGTGAACGGGCTCGAATGTCACCCAGTGGAAAGCGGGAACCTCCCGATATCACGCACAGTATGTCCATGTCATGGAATAGAAAAGGGGTAAAGATGCCTAGTACGTTGGTGAGCTTGCCACGGGTGTAGTACGAAGTCAAGACTCGAGAGCGAATTGATCGGCGCGGGAGAGAAAATAACCTCCGCTTCCACCTTCGCTCACTCTCCTCCGTCCTCGCTCTGTATATCTAGGACATCTTCACAACATACATCGGAGCTATGGGAGCAAACACTAAAAGCGCCAAGAAACGGTCTGTGCCATTCGCGGACGGCGTCCCAGAGGCCAAGAAGGCGCACCTGGACAAAGGGAAAGGGAAGAAAACAGCCAAACCTTCCGCACCGGCGAAGGCGCCCGCACCAGCAAAGTCTCGCAGCAAACCCATTACCAAGTCAGCTGCGCCAGACACGCCCTCCGAGTCGGAGGAAGAGTTTGACGAGGAAGGTTTCTCCGACGCGGACCAGGCGATGGCAGAGGAAGGGGACGAAGACGGCGGAGACGATATGGACGTGGACGAAGATGGAAAACCTCCCAAGGATCCCAACGGTGCGTACCTTTTCCTATTCTTTTCAAAAACGAAGAAATGTGAACCATGCTACTTTACAGCTGCCCGAGAATCGCACAAAGCCCAGCGAGCTCTCCACGCTCAACGAAAAGCGTCAAAACCGCACTCTGATCTCCTCTCGTCCGCTAAGCAAGTATGGGCGCTCGCACGGCAGCACGACATCCCAGCCGCGGAGCGAAAAAAGCACATCCACGACCTGATGGAAGTCATCCGGGGACACATCAAGGAAGTCGTGCTGAAGCACGATGCGAGCCGGATCGTGCAGACGGTAGTCAAATACGGTGGGCAGAAGGAACGGGATGAGATCGCGGCGGAGCTGAAGGGCGAGTACGTGAAGCTTGCTCAGAGCAGATATTCGAAGGTCAGTCTTCTCACTCACGTCCGTACCGGTCGAGGAGCTCGTTCGATGATGCCTCCGCGTGCAGTTCCTCGTCACCAAGCTCATCCGCCTCTGCCCTACACATCGGTCCTCGATCCTTACCGAGTTCCAGGGGAACGTCATCCGGCTGTTGCTACACCGCGAAGCGACCTCTGTCCTCGCGGACGCGTTCGAGCTGTACGCCAACGCATACGAACGCTCGATTCTTCTCCGCGACTTTTATGGGAAGGAGATCGCGTTGTTCGGCGGGACGTTGACGAAAGGAAGCGATGCAGACAAGGAGAAGGCGAAGAAGGGGCTGATCGGCTATGTGGAGGGCGTTGACGGTGACAGGAGAAAACGGTTGTTGGCTGCCGTGAAGGAGAACTTGGTGACCATGTGAGCTTAACGTTCCAACGTTCGACGGTTCAGGGCGCTTCGTGGCTGACGCCGCCTGCCAGATTCAACAACCCGGACAAAGGCGCTGTCACGCATGCGATCGTGCACAGGGCGCTTTGGGAGTATCTCACTGCGACACACGCGGTCGAAGACCGATCGGAGCGAGAAAAGCTTTTCAGGGAGGTCTTCGAGACGTGCGTGTTCGACGGTCCTCCTCCGCCGCGTCCCTTTGGCTTACGCGTGATCCAGATGCCAAGACGTGCTCGCCGAGATGGTGCACACGAAGGATGGCTCGCGCGCCGTACGGGAGTTCATCGTGCGCGGCACCGCGAAGGACCGCAAGCACATCGTCAAGGCGCTCAAACCGCACATCGAACGCATGTGCCTCGACGACGAGGCGCAGCTCGTCCTCTTCACCTGCCTCGACGTCATCGACGACACCAAGTTGCTCGCCAAGTCGATCGTCGCCGCCATCGCCGAGAGCACGCGCACGCTCCTGGGTAGCCCGCAGGGCCGGCGGGCGCTACTGTATCTGATCGTGCCGCGGAGCACGCGACACTTCACGCCAGCGCAGGTGCGGACGATACGCGAGACGGACGAGGTGAGGGACGGGAAGGATGGGGGTGAGGGGACGAGCAAGAAGGACGCGGAGTTGAGGAGGAAGGAGGTGCGGGAGGCGGCGAGCGAGGAGCTGATCAAGGGGATCGTCGTGGAGGGCAAAGAGGCGTGGAGAGACCCCGGCGGCAGTTTGGTGGTGGGTGATGTGATGCTGTATGCGGAGGGCGGTCAGTGCTGTTCGTCTCTCGCTCAGCAACTTGTTTTTTTTGAAACATCTATCCGTTCCACAGACAAATCAGCCGCTATTCAGACGCTCGTCACAGCCCTGTGCGAGCCCTACCCTTCACCCGACGAAAGCAAACCGCATCCCATCGACCTACCGCACGCATCGCGGATGTACAAGACCCTCATGCAAGGCGGGCATTTTGACCACTCGTCGAAGTCCATATCTCGGTCACCCTTCTTCTCGCCGTCCGCGTTCGCCTCCGCCTTCGTAAGGACGTTCTCCGAGGGTGATAGGAAGGACGTCGTGTTGGCGATGGCGAAAGGAGACGGCGCTTTCCTGATCGCGGAGCTGTGCGAGCGCATACGGGAGGAGGGCAGCGCTGAACAGAAGAGGACGGTCGGCGGATGGTTTGGGCCTAAAGAGCGAGATGCCATTGAAGCGAGCGAGGTCAAAGGCAAGAAGGTGCTGCTGGAGAAGATTACCACGCTGCAGGCAGCCTTATAGTGCGGCACCCATCACGCCTCCGGCATCGACTGTCATTATCATAGAGGGGTACACGCTGCAAAAGTACAATAGGCTAATTTACAATCCGGGATGACATAGGTAAATCTTATCGGGAGCAAATTTAGTCATAGAACACCAGAGCACGGAGCTCGATGGACTCGCGGAGCGGCGCGTCGGGTGGCGTAGTGGGGTCTGCAAACGCCGTGTGGGGAGTGAGGACGGCGACGCTGCCGTCCTGGATGGTGTCGAAACACTTGATGAGGACGCCCTCGTCAGGCTGCATGCCTCGAACGTACTTCCAGCGGTGGTTGGGGTTGAACTTGACGCCGAACGTCTCGCCGTCCCTGTCGGGGTACTGCGCAGTCGCGCGTGAGCCACCGTTCGCGAAAGGTAGGGAAGAGAGAGAGAGAGAGCGCGGCGCACCTTGAGCGTGACGGGCTCGAGATCGGCCTTGGGGTCGACCGACTGGAAGTCGCAGAGCGCGAGAGGCCAATCGTACGCGGCGTGCGAGATCGGGCGCCAGAGGTTGATGATCTGGAACCGTTTCTGGAGGAGCTTGTCGGCGTCTTCGGGGACGTGCCGGCGCACGCGGGCGATGGCGGATTCGTTGGTCTGGTCGACGTGCACCTGCGGCACCGGCTGGCGCTTGTCCGGCGTGTCCTCCTTCACGTCGGGACGGCGGCGGCGTATCGCTGTGGAAAATGACATGTGCAGTGAGGTCTCCGGGGCAAACGAGTGAATGGCGCGAGTAACGCTACGTACTGTGGTCGAAGAAGACGACACGGCTCGCGCCCGTGAGCTCCTTCAGGAGAGCCTCGCTCTCGGGGTAGTACTCGTTGTAGATCTCCTCGTCGGTCTGGAATCGTGTGTGTTTCGTGGGACGCCTGAAGAACCGGAAGCCGTTCTTGTCGAGCGCGACGCTGTCCTCCTTTCCGCGGAGGTTCTCGATCTCCAGGTTATGCGGGGCGCGGTCGAAGTTGCGCTGCCTCTCCCCCGTCGCGGAATCGGCGTTGATGTTCTGCCAGCCCTTTGAGCCGTCCGCAGGGGGTACGTAGTATAGGAGCTCGGCGATTACGGTGTCGGCGGACATGTTAGAGTACGACAACGGGCAGGTCGATGCTGCGAGAGGCGGTTAGGACTTCCAGGTATTTGTTGGTTGTAATCATCGCGACGGAGCAGGTATCCTCTTATAACGACCTTGTGAGCTATCGCGAATTGCTTTGAATGACGTCAGGAAACGTTCTCATAGCGCCATGGGAGTCTGAGTAAGACGAGGATGAAATGAGGCGGCTTGCTTTGGCTGACTATGCTGGGTCAGCTTTCTCCTTCCGACCCGGATGTCCAGATGCTTTGCGAGCTTATGCAAAGGGCGCTGAAACCGGCCGTACCTTGACATGGAACAGAGTCATTGAGAAAGTGCAGAATGTGGGTGGGGTAATGATCAGGTGGGTCAATGAAGCATAATCGTCACACACGCCTCATGTTTTGGACGACTTCTCCTGGCCGAGGGCTGTTTTATTATCAAATGGCCATCGAGTTTGCTTCCGGCCCGCGCTGACATATACAATGCAATTGCACAGAACAACAAACACGGATGAGGAAGCTACGATAATGCGTCACTCCACAGGATCGTTGAAGAAATAGAGCTGCATCCTCTGTACACCTCCGCAAAACTCCCGTCCAGCGTCGCCAGGCAGCGGGCACGTTGAGTTACACTGCGACTGATCCACCGATTCTGCGCCGCCCGAAAGACTCAAGCCGCACTGGCAATCGACAGCGTCCTCGACGCCTGCATATGGGTAGCCGAGGGTGTCGCAGTAGTCGACGCATTGGCTGACGAGGTCGGTGTTGTTCGTGAAAGACACGGGCGCGATCGCGTTCGAGAGGGCGGGCGAGGACGCGGTGTCGACGTAGCAGCCCAGGAGCTCGCTTCCTCCCAGGAGCCTTCGAGATTTGTAGATCTACCCACCGAGCGTATCAGTCGACTCAGGACCACCACCACCACCGATGGATCGATCGTGCTCACCTGGATTCGCCACGATCCGCCGCACGTTTCGGAACCGTTCCCCGCGCAGGCCACGTCGCAATCGGACGCAGGCGCGCCCTGCGGCATCGCGCCGTTCGCGTACCCGGTTCCGCAATGGCACTCGTCGCCGAACTCGACGCCGGCGTAGTCGTACCCCGCGGCCTCGCACCGCACGATGCACGCCTCCACGGTGTTGGCCGGGTCCTGCGTCGTGCGGTCGTTGGCGATCACTCGGCTCGGGACGTCCACCGCGCAGGGGAACTGGATCGTCCAGTTGAACGGAAGCGGGGCCGATTGGCCGATCGCGGAACAAACGGCGCCCAGCAGAGGCAAGAGGACTGCGCGGCGCATCCACGCAGCAGATGACGATGATGATGAGCTTGAGCGATACGGGTGTCGTGCTCGTCGCCGGGAACAGCGGAGGCAGCCATCTTGAGCCTACCGGTACTTATGTCACGTTGCTGCGCCCTGCGTTACGGGCACGGGGGAGGGCGACACAACTAACGTTCCTTGCTTTATTGATCCCGCGTCCATCGGCCATGGATCTGCTGCGTGTTGCCAGGATCACCACCGCGCGCCGATCTACGTCCTACGGATCTCAGATCTGAGCGGCACCAGACGAATAATCGCCGCCGGAACGCGTCCAAGTCCGGGTGCGTGTATTCACTGCAGTTATGCGCACGGACGCAAGCAAGGTACATATGGACGTTCGGGCGTACGTTTGATGTGGAGACGAGTTAACGAGGGTTTGAACTGTGTCGCAAGGTTCAAGCCGACAGCTTTGACGTTGACATTTTCCCCCTAGTCCACAGCAAAGTGAAGCCTAGCCCAAGGCCATGTTATGGTCCTGAGTGAATGTTGGAAATGACGGTAAACGGGCTGGTGCAAGCCGCGGCCGTGGCCAACTTGGATGAAATTTCGTGGGAACCTTTGAAAGAATCTCAGGGTCGCAACGAACGCAACACAGGCATTCCTTCAATCCCGCGTTGATGCACTCCAGATGATACAATGTAATGGATTTGATCGTGACTTATATGTACAAAATCGTTCACAAACCTCCAATGACGACGGGGAGATGAACTCGAAACGATAAATGCTCGTCGTTGAGCGAGCGATTGGCTACCGGATACCCAACTCGGGATCGGTGACGATGCGCGGGGTTTGCCCGGTCTACTCTTCCTGAGCAAGCAACCTCGCATTGGCGGAGCGTTCGCGGAAGCTGCACCTAAACGGCGCAGGGTGCCTGTGCATGCACAGTCAGCGCTCCGGCAGACAGGAACCTCCGTCGGCGTCGCATGCAAACTCACGTCACGATGCCGTGCAACATGTTCGCTTCGAGCTTCTCCCCCTTTACGGGCTGGATGTCGCAAACGGCCAACGCGGTCGCCGCCATGCTGAGCAGGGATTGCTCGCCGAACCACCGTCCGGGACAGATCCGCCTAAGTGCGGTCAAGCCGTAAGCTCTGAGCGCCGCGGGCAGGTCAACTCGCGAAGACTGACCTGCCGTAACCGAAGGCAGCGACGTTGGGATGCTGGGCGTTGGGATCAAGTTTGCCGTCCTTGTCTAGGAAGCGGTCAGGCTTGAAGACTTCGGGCTCGGGATATGCCTTCTCATCGCGGAGTATCGCCCTAACAGGTGGATCGTCAAACACATGGGTATCATCACGTTGAACCGTGTCTTACCAGGTGTTCCCGATGACCATAGAGCCCTTTGGTATATGATATCCGCGGTACTCATCCGCCTCCGTGTTGGAATGGACGATGCCGAGAGGCGTAATAGGCTGCCATCTCAGCACCTCTCTGCACACCGCAACCACGAACGGGAGCTGTTCGAAGTCGGCGAACTCTGTCGTAGGATGAGACAGCGCTCTAGATGAACCTCAAACAACTTGCCCGGCAATCGATTTGGGCCAACGACGGAGTCGATCTCCTGTTGGGCTCGCTTCTGAAGATCGGGATGCATAGCCATTGCCAGGATAAAGGTTTCCATCGCGGAAATGGTCTGCAACACGAGTTGGTTGGGTATTCTAGGCGGAACACGGCTTACTGACAGTATCTGCTCCAGCTAAGAGAAAATCGTCAGGGGTGAGTCCAATCACGCCGACTGAACCACTGACCCAGGTACGCGATACCAGCGACATTGCGAACTACCTCCTCTTCGAATCCACGCTCGCTTTCTTCAGGGATGCGACTCAGCATAGTTTCCGTCATCGATTGCGAATGCATTCCTTGCGACTTGCGGGATGTTAGTATTAATAGCGATTGCGCAGGTTCATACTGGACGACGTACTATTAATTTCTTGGCTTCTTCGAACGGAGCTCCCCACATCTCCTCCGCCTGTTTTCTCCATATCTTTGCCTTACGCTTGAACGCAGCGCCGGGGAACCAATCAGGCACATATTTCACTAGACGTGATATAGCGAGTCAGATGAAATACGATGCAGTGAAACGCGCCCATACAGATCGGGAGCCTATCGACCAGGAAGGTTCCAGGTACGCCGGCCTCGGCGAATCCCTCCAACGCTTCTTTGATTTTGAGCATGAATTTGTTATTCTCGTCCCGTACGTCGATACCATACGCCACTTTGAATATCACCGCCGTTTGCGTTCTGGGAGCATGTGCACGACGCTATATCGACGGCGCGCGACAGAAGTGAGAGCTCGAGATACGTACCGTCGGATGTGGACCGGAAATTCCTCTGGATCTTGCAAGATCTTCAGGACGAGCGCGCGTGCCTCTTTCAGTTGCAGGGGTTGGTAGTTGACGACCTCCTTGTAGTTCATCAGCTGGTGGAACTCGCGCCTGTGGCGTCTCCAGGATTCGCCATAGTGCATGAGACCCAACGATTGGGTCCATCCGCATCTACAAACGCTGGATCTAAGTGGATGATATCGATCAGGTCAGAAGTAAACTTACAGTTCGGTGATCATCGGCATCCTCGGGCGATCAGAGTACTGAGCGCTCATGAGACTCTGAGGACACGGTCACAAGGCAATGTCTTACAATTGTAGATCGCTTGTCGAACAAGTCGTGCGTCGCTTGAAGTGAGTTCAATACCACGGTAGTCACTCCCAGCGACTCAAACGAGACGACATCTCCTACATCAGAGGATAGCGATCCATCAACCATACATAACATGCACCCTCAAATATTTCGTACCGTACACCTCGCTCCATGCCTTGTATGTCAGCCAAGGCTTGTCATCGGGGACGCTTGTCCCGACCAAGAACTTGCCTATGCAGGTATAAGCTCATGAGTCGATGACAATGAGTCATGCTTACCAGGAGGCCCAGGAGGAAGCGGAAGGCCACGTGGATTGTCGATGCGCCTTCGGATCTTCTGAGCGAGTAGAAAGCTCGCAAAGAGGGCGAGGGGTGCGCAAAGAACTGCGATAACGTAGTTCAGCATGGGTGGGCGAAAAAGCTGGACTGCACTTGAAAGCACCGGCGCGCCGTGTGCCCCATTCGTTATATATACGCCCCGGCGGCAGCAAAGTTAAGACTGCATTCAGTCGTTGGAAAGAATCGAAGCCATCGCGCCGCCGCTGCGGGTTCCAGAGGTGAGAAGATCGTTACAAGATGAGCATCGCGAAGTCGTAGAGAAATCTGCAGTAGTCAATGAACGGGCCATACGTGTCACATCGCTGACTACGAACGGCGATAGATAACGTACATTCGTTGGCGGTAAGGCGGGGCGAGTGCGTGATCGCGACCCAGTCGAAGGTTGGGCACCTGAAGACGTTTTGAAGTATAACAGAGTCTGCATTCCGGTGGCGACCTGTCGTAGACCGATCCTAAGACAGGATCGTGCATCACGTAAAATCCTACGCCCAATGAAGCATCGACAATGCGAGTTATAGGGGCCGATGCATAATCCTTTTGGGCGCGGAAGTCTAAAGCGAACACCTCGCTAGAGATAAGAGTCATGGGCAATGTAATTACCATCCGGCGATAGCGAGCAAAAGTACAAACGGGTCATAAAGTAGAGTGCGGTGTCTGTGCAGAATTCGAAGGCGCGTCACGAAATGGAATATCGCACCGAATGAATACAGCGATGCAATGCGACGCGGGGTATACATGAGTCTCCTTTCTTGCGTTCGGTTTATTCTTCCCGGAGGCGCTCGTCAATCTGCAGTACCGGCGAGCTTCCCGCGGCGTCGTCTTGTCCGCTTCCTGGCCGACGTTCCTAGGGTCGCGACGCGGACCCCGACAGCGCTCTTGCGAGCGCCATTGATTACTCAAAGCAAGTCTTCAACGGGCTTTTATGCCGTCAAGCTCTGCGTTATCGTTTTCGATCGGCATTGGCAAATGGCAGTGACCCGTTTACTCGGAAAGAAATACCTTGTCATCTCCACCCGTATTGTGCGCGAGATAGGCGACTGCGCAAGCTCGTGTTGTCGGGCATCCGCATGCGCGCTCGCGCCCTTGCTGTCCAGGCCCTCCACCGACGCTCCCCACGTATGCCACCAGTTGTCGGCAGCCTCCTCCGCGTTGTGGTCGAACGGGCGGATGAACTCGCCCCACGTCTTCTGCAGGAGCACCTCCTCTGCATCGTCCCAATCCTCCTTCGCTGCCGCGAGCGCGCTGCGCAACCCAGCGTCCCTCTTTTCGCGCTCGGGCCCATTGGCCATCGTGACGAAGTGGATGGTATGCTTCTCGGTCTCGGCGAGCATGGCACAGCGTGGCTGCCGGATGTCCTCATACGCCGAGAGCATCGCCGGGATCTGCTGCGGTGAGCTCAGGCGAGAAAACAGGTTGCCGAGCGTGACGGCGTCTTCCAGTGCCGCGCCGAAGTTGTGATGCGCGCTGGGCTATTGGCGTGCGATGCGGGTTCAGTACTCAGTACCAGTGCGCGCGCTCTCGCACATAGCGTGGGGGATTCACACACCGCAAAGGGATGGGCCGCTTCGCCCACCAACACCACCTTGGCGGACTCGTGGAACCATGTGTCGAATGTTTCGCGAACGGAATGGTCAGTTGGCGTCATCACTTTGGCCATTTTTATCATCCTTTGAACCCTAAAGTGCGTGTGTGTGAAGCGGTGCTCAGAACCTCTTACGAACGCACGGCTTACCTCGGTTCGAAGCAGCTGTAATCGAATCCTGGCTGATTCACCGGAAAAGTGTGGTCCCAGTGTTCTCCACGGGGTATGTCATCGCCCTTCATACGGAGCAACATAGCATATTCGTTCTTCGCCGGCTGTGCGCCACATACAGATCAGACCGCGCGCGGCACAGCTTGCAATGGGAGTACACGCACTAAAGGGCATCCCTGTAATACGCAGTTGTCTGCCATCCACACCGACCACTGCGGATACAGCGTGTCAGTTAGGTCCAAGCGGAAAGGCAAATGCCTGACTCACTTCGTGCGTGTCCGCTATGGGCGCCAGATCGGGGTCTAGCCTCATTTGGTCTGCGGGCGCAGCTAAGCTACTGAAACGATAAGACCGTCGCATCCGGCACGTCGCAGTGGTGCTCCCTCACTTGAAGCAGGCATGGCGTGCCCTACGCGTGTGCAACGGCCTCCCGATTATCACGTCGCGCACTCTGCTGCCCTTCCCATCCGCGCCGACGACGATATTTCCCGAAACCACCTCTCCGCTCTCCAGACGAACCGAACCCTCGACGGCATCGACTTTCACGACCTTGCAGTTGTACCGTATCGTGCACCCGGAGTTGACCGCCAACTCGCGTAACCGCTCCGTCAACGTGTTGTGCTGTTTGCCCCAATATCGATCAGATCAGCGTCCATCCCGCTTAGCGCCGAAGAATCGGGTCCGGAGCCACCCAGATCGTCCGACAGTATCAAGAAGTACGTACGCGTAGGTAGCAGAAGTTGGCACCGAAGTCCTTAATTATCCGCGGAACAAATCTGATGTGCCCGATGACTTCTCCGGTTTCGCCTGTTTGCCTCGTGAGTTCTGAGCTCATCAAATCAGGCTCCCAGTGCAACGCACCGGCCTTGAAGAGGATGCCTCCCGATACAACCCCTTCTTCCGTCAGACAATCGCCGATGCCCCAGTCGTTGAGGATTCGTGTGGCGTTGGGCGGCGAGCGCATACAGCCCGTACTCTAATATTTCATGAATAGTTCCAACGAAAACCATCTCATTATGAGTTCCATGAAAAGCAGAAGCCCTGTCGCATCACGGTAACGTACGGATGCAGTGCCGTCTCCCTGTTCGAGCACGACGACATCGTGCCCGGCACGCTTCAGGGCATACGCGGTGCCCAAACCAGCGATAGAGCCGCCTACAATCACGAATCGTAGCGGACAGGTCGTCTTCCTATGTCGAGACATGCTCCGTCGAAAGGGCGAGGGGTGGGCCGGAAAAGAGGAGAGGAATCCGAGGTCGGGGTCAGATTAACAAGCAGTTATATATTCAGCTCTTCTCGCCAAAGAAGAGCCCTGAGAGCCACGGAATCCCCTGGAGCTTCCGCGCTGAAGACTGGTCAGAGCCGCTCCATCCGGACGGCTCGCACGAGGCCGCATGATCCGGCAGGTGCACAATCCGAGCTGACTCGTTGGAGGACGCAATACCGGCGCGGCGATAGCAAAAATGAAGGTGTACGGAGTCAGAGGCCAAGCTTCAGCCTATGGCCGTCACCACACCGCAGGCTCACAAAGAAAGGTGTACTGCAAGCTGCGGTTGCCACAAGGACAGATGGCAGTGCCCTGCTCGCCGCTCAGAAAAATAGTTCCCAGCATCAAGTTCGATTGACGTCCTCGAGGCTCATATCTTGCCATTCCAATCGCTTCCGGATGGACCGGAGTTGTTACGGAGAACTGCGATATCGTCTGAGCGTGTATCAACAACCTTTCAGACCCCAGTCTTGCGATTTTCTCGTTCGGGCAGTGGTTGGTTTGATATTTGGACTGGTGTTGGCAACCGGCGTTCAATAGGCTATTCGCAAACGGACAGCATAAGGAAGTGACCGCGACCACTGAGGTATTCCGTCGATAAAGTTCATCCGATTCATCGCGGGATTCTCCACGAGACTGGAAGGACCTGCAATACGGGCTCTCTCATAGCAACCGCCCCAAATTTTGCCCCAGACGCACGCGCCCGTAGGAGGTGCATGCAATGCCATACATTGTGCCACGGAGATGATGCGATAATCGAGAGCATGAGCCATACAACAAGCGTAGTCCACGCGACCGGTCTTAACGACCGCCCTTGCCACCCTTCATCTGCTGTTTCGAGATCTTGGGCGCGGTGGTGGTTGTCCGGGGAGCCTGCAGACCAGTCAGCACACGGGCACCGGCACCACGAACCAAGCGGCGTACCTTGGTCTTCTCCTTCTTCGACTCCTTCTCCTTCTTCTCGGTCTTCGCCTTGGCGATCGCAGCCTGGCGCAGCGCGAGCCGGGCCTGCGAGGTTTGGTTGCGCTTGGCCGCGATGGCCGCGAGGTCGGCGCCGACGATGCCGCGCTGGTGCTTGACGGTCTTGCGTGACCGCTTCTTCACCGTCTCCTCCGTCAGACCCTTCTTGTGCATCCGCCTGTAGACCTGCGTCCAGGCGATCTTGCGCGGGTTCTTGCGCTGGTGGAAGAGCGACTCATTTTTCGAGGTGGCGAAGCGGAAGATCTGGGTCGTGGTAGTACGCGTCGTGAGCCAAACGAGAAATGATAGAGTCGTGATGTTCAGAACATGCCTTGCTGTCGCCACGAACGAACAGCTTGCCCTTGCTGGGGTAAATCTTGTAACCGGAGAAAGAGTCGATCTCGACCTTCTACACTCGAGATAGCGTGTTAAGTCAGTCCACGAGTATGCGGGATGTATTCTCACCATCTAAACACAACAGAGCATCCCAAGCAAGTCATTAGCACCGAGCCGTAATCCCATAGCAGACGCAGAACAGATCAAGAAATTGAGCCAGATCAAGACGCAAGCCAGAGGATGACATCTGAACACAAGTTATCCCATCCATCACATTCCGACCAGAACGAGAGACGAAACGGGTGTCATCCGACAGATAGCAGCCAGTACAGCACGCCCGAGCCGTCTAGAGGGTCGTAAATTTGTTGCTGCAAGCTCACCTTGGCGGTCTTTGGAGGAGGTGTGCACCGGACAGGGCGCCGAGGTCGGGTGGGAAACGTCGGGCCAGACCCTGGCCAGTCCCCGCAAGAGTTGCACCGCCACCACGCCCCGCCGACCTCGTCACCCCCATGGGCGTGTTCCCCACTTGTTCGATCTCGACGTACACGCGAACTGGGCAATGTTATTATGTGTTGGCATGCGATAAATGCGAGTTCAATACAATACACATGGGTTTATCCTTAAGTTCACAACGTGCAGAGACTCGGATGGTAAAGACAACAATGCGGACAGATAGATAGAATGTAAACACGAGGAAACGGCTCCAGATTCATTACCAGTCGTTGAGTGCAGTCTGCGCGCATTCCTGTGATGTTTATGAGCATTTGTATCTGGGCGTAAAATGGGTGGTGAAGACAAACCTTTAGACGATGCAAGTTGTGCAAGATGGCGACGTTGACCATCGTCCTCAGCTTGCGACGGACGTCCGCCTTGTTGATGGTCAGCTGGTAGCTTCCCGAGCATTGGCAATGACGCGAGACGTTGTCGGATTGGATCTGCTTGCACTTCGTACAGCGCAGGTCTTGCTGGGCAAACGTCCGCTCGAGACCGAAGAGAAGGTCGATCAGCGCGAACTCGATGGCCGTCCGATCATACTCTCCCCCGCAATTTCCGCAGAGCCATTTGGTCGTTGAGCGGAGGCCGCTGGGAAGGAGCTCGGGATCGCGGCAGAAGTCGAAGTCGCGAAGGCTGTCGCAGTGCTTGCAGGGAACGTTCGACAGCTTCAGGGGTTCGCATGGCTGGCGGAATACCGCGTCGTTCGAGAACTCGCGAACGCCCGTGAGCTCTAGAACGCTTCTCCGGAGGAGACCGACCTCGATCTGGTACTCCTTCGCGAGCGCCAGCACGGCGCAGACGAACTTGACGAACTCAAGTACGGGGTCGTAAAGCCGAAGGTGCGAGCCTGGGAGGACGGGGAAGTCCCAATCGGCCAGGTTGTCCTCCATCATCGCGTGCTTATGGCGGTCCTGGATGGATCCCACCATCCGCAACAGCTTCCGCGTCAACCGCCGGGCAATGAATTCTCGCGTGAGCTCCATCTCCTTGACCTTGGCCGCGTCCCTCTGGGTGGCGTCGAGGGCACCATTCGGGAGGATGCGAAGTGGAGTGCGCGCCACTTTGTCCGACTTCTGACGGCTGCGGTACAGTTCAATCATGAAGTAGCGCACGATACTGGCGAAGTCTTTCTGGATGGCGGGAGGGAGGAAATTCTGGATATTCCACTGCATCTCGATGACGATCTCTTCTGGAGGTTCAACGGCTTTCGGATTCTCGCATACGACGCCGCCCAGGTTTGCAGGATCCATGAACAGGAGGAAGTCGTAAAAACGTTCGGTTTTGAGCCAGATGTGTTGGAAAAGTTCGTTGGACTGGACGGCGGTGTTGATGTAGGTCGCGTAAGCATCGGCCGTACCGGGAGGCTTGGACGTCACGAGAAGGATGCGACTGAGGTCGGCGTAAACCACATGAGATCCCAAGCGTTTATACTCAGCCAACAGTTGTATGAATGTCTTCCGCATCAACCCATGAACGAAGCGGTGGATGCTTGGGTCGTATAAATGGGAAACACTGGAACTGATCCAGCGCCAGAAGTGATCGATAGTCAAAGAGGAGGGCGAGATATTGTTCTGGATTTTGTCCAAGAGCCATGTCTTGACCATAGCCTTCAGTATACCGAAGGTCTTTGGCGAAACGTTGGATTCGCCGAGAGTCAGGTCCCTCTGAGCGTCGCCGCCCACGTACTCATCCAAGGTATGGGAGGTAGAATCGAATGCCGTCGCACCTCCACTTCCTTCCAGCTCGTTGACGATGACGGAATGGAGGATAGCGTTCACCGCAAGATTCCGGACTTCGATCTCCAGACAGACGTTGAAATAGCATCCGGGGGAAAGGAACTCGGTGCCAGGAAGGGGCTCCGACGGCCTCTTATCGTCCTGTATTCCGCCCAGGTCAGGAAGATCTCCTGGCGACCACCACAGCACCAGGTCCTCCTTTGTCAACCGACGAGCAAAATCGATGTCCGCGAGTAATAATGGCTGGTCGCCCTCCACATGCCCCATCGGGACGTCGTAGTAGGTGGCGAGCGCAACAGAGGCGTCTATCCAGCTTGCAACCGTCAGGTAACGAATGACCATCTTCTGCGCCACGCTGGATTGCCATGGGAAGACGTCCAAGGAGTGAGCCGACTTGGCCTGCGGCATGGTCCAAACGGGAAAATTGGCTAGCCTCGGCACATTCGCATCGAAGTAAGCTTGATCCTTCAACGACGAGATGACTACGGTGAACGATCGATTCTCCATCAAGCCGAGCTCGCGCGATATGGCCTTCAACGCGGTCACGTCGTTGCCGTGATATGTCGTCGTAAACTCGCGAGATACGGGGTACTCCATGGAGATGCTTTTGCCCAGGGTTTGTTCCCGCTTCTTCAGGAATTCGACGTAGGTCTCGGGTAGCCGAGAGATTGGTTGACGACGAGTGGCAGGATCGACGACGTGAAGCCTGACCGGACCGTCGGGGAAGAACAAGGCAAAGACGTGTACCGGTGCGGTAGCGGCCATTGCATGGTACAAGAAGACGTATTTCCCGGCGCGACCTCTGTCGAGGTACTTGGCCTCTGATGAAGTAGGTTCCTCCGCGCGTTCTAGTTGATAAAGGTCCAGACCCGTGCCTTGGGCTCGGTTCAAGGTCATACTAGGGTCGGTGACAGTGCAAGTCTTGCCAAGCCTGATAAGCGCCCGAGTAATCAAAGGAACCTATTGCAAACTTGGTCAGCGAGCAGAGTAAAACTTCAGCGAAGTATGGGCGTACCTGCAACTCATAGACGCCATCGACATTCGGATCGTTCGTGAGATCGATGAACTGCTCTTGGCATTCCTCGTACACGTCTTCTCGTGCAGTGATCTTGTACAAATTGACGCACGGTGCTCCTCGCGGAAGTCCTCGCACCACCTTCTCAGCTGTCCACAGTTCACTGACCAGGGTACCTTCCTTCGGCGGCGTCCTCGTATGGATGTAAAACTCCCGAGGAATCCTCAGCGGGATAGGCACAAGTCGCTCATCTACATTGAGCCACAGCATGAACCGTCCAGGGATCTTCGTTGGGCGAATATGCACGACATCCCAACGCCGGTTTGTCTTGACCTTCGCGCCGCGGAACATGGCGGGCGCGACGACAGAAGACGAGCCTGAAGAGCCCCAGCGCGCTTGAAGCTTCTCCTTCCACCGCGGCCTAATCGCCTTGATCCACGCCGAGTAGCTGATCGACGGATTTGGGAGCGGTTTCCTGACTTCTTCGGGCGTGGCCTCTCGCTGCTGTTTCTTCCGCGGCTTGCGATTGACGATTGCAATGCGCGGACGGTCGGAGCGGTCCTTCGCACTTCCGATGTCCTCCATGTCCACGTCCATCGGCTGAGTTGAACTTTCGGCGGGCGGCTTAGCAAAGAAGTCTGTCACCTTGCGCTGGTGGAATTTGTCGTCGATGGCCATCACACGCCGATGAAGCCAGTCGGGGTGACGGATGCGGGGTACGGGATTCGGCACCTTCTGCATTGCCGCGGGAATGGTAATGAGCTTTTGAATGACCGAGCCGAGACGTTCGATATAGTAATCCCAGTCAAGGATGGTCCGCAGCTCGAAGTTCGCCAGGCTGTTGTCCTTGAGCCATTTCCGGAGATAGGTGCGCTTGACGCTCTCCTCCGCCGAGAAGATGGCGACAGGCACCGCACGCTCCGTCACAGGTGCCCCCATCGGCTTTTGCGAGATGATGAACTTGCAGGCTAAGCCCTTGTCCTTCACCATCTGATCGCCTAAGAACTCGGCCAGCCTCTTCGCAGTGCTGATCGACGTCGACTTCTGACCAGCGTACTCAGCCAGCGTCTTGCTCATGCTCCTATTCTCCGCGATAAGTTCGACTAGCTCCTCGTCGCTCAAATCGTCTGCTCTGCTGTACAGCACGTCCAGCCAACGATCCGCAATCTGCGCCACCGCCGCGTAGCACTCCTGAGTCGTCGTGCCCAACAGGAACTTCTCAAAGATTTGGCTCTGGAAAATCTTGATGAGCTGCAGTTCGCCCCTCCGCTTGACCTCGAACCCCTTCAATTCCGCTAGCGACCCATCGTCGTTGAAAACCGCGTATCGCTTCTTCAGGAGCTTATCCTCCTCCTTCGAACTGGGAAGGATCATGGCTTTATACGGGCCATCCAGCTCGAAAAAGATGGAGTTCTCGCTGTGGACCTTGTACTCCCCCGTTTCCGGGTCGAGGTCGTGGTACTGATGGTTCGTGAATTGTGCGTGAACGAGATGATTGAGCATCGTGCAAGGGTACGAGAAACCTATTGGCTTTCCGCTCTTGAGCTTGAACTTGAAGTCCTCGGGGAATGTTCCAGGCAGCATACACCAGATACCGTCGGTGTCCAGCTCAAGGGGCCTGCCTATCCTCTCTACGAGCTGGCGCGCCATTTGAATGATCTTCGCGCCCGTCAAACAGGTTATTCCCGCCATCTCCATGGAGTGCCAGCGCGCCCCCTTGCGCATGACATAGCCGTAGAACGAATTGAGAATGCACTTGTGCGCCAGTTGGAGCGAGTCGTAGAGCACGATCATCTTCTTCGCCTCGTCCACCTCTGCGATACCCTTTCCCTCTGCCGCCACCTTGTCCAGATTCTTCTTCCACGTCTTGTGGAGCACCTTGTACTCGTACCGGCGGTCTCTGAACGTGCGGACGGTGTCGACGTAGAACGGGTTCTCCCGCTGACAGATGATGCTCTCGCGCTCCTCCACCTTCGTGTCCTTCGTCTTCTTGTACACCTTCCGCGAGTAGTCGCCCAGCCGCTTGTGCATTAACGCCGTCTGCTCCGCCTCGCTCAAGTCCGTGAATCGCCGCTGGGGCCAACCGGGTTTCTTCGGCGGGAAACTCTCCTGGTTCAGCGCGTGACGGATCATGTTGAACTCGTCGCGGTGGGCGGGGAAAAACTCTCCGCGCCACGCCCAGGTGAGTTTGCGGTCACAGGTCTTGCCCGGCCGGTTGTAGTCGCACACGGCGCAGGTCGCCTCGTCGACGATCGAGTCCGGCTGGAGCCGGTTGGATAACATGATATTGGGGTACATGGCGGCGACGTCCAAGTGGTAGATGAGGGGCTTGTCCATCCGGAGCGGGTTATCACGCATCTCCTCCAGCTTGGCCTGAATCTGGCCCTTGACCTCGTCGTAGTTTGTCACGTCCTCGAGGGACGCTTTCGACTCTTCGGTGATGCAGAATTCGAGGGCGGCGTCGAGCTGATCAATCAGCTAAACAAGGCGAAATGTGTCAGAACCGAAGGACGCGAGTCACGAACTGGGTTCACCTCTTGTGCCGCTGTGGGATCGATCTTGAAGTGCGTCGGGATGTCGCTCCTGAAAACGCCCGCCTCCAGAGCTTCGACGTGTCCGCCGACGTACGTCTCGCTGGCTAGTAAATGCCCTTCGTACATATTGCCGTGCTCTTCTTCATGTCGGTTAGGCATGATGATATGCCCTCTGTAGGCTTCCACCTGCGCATTATCTGGTCAGACCATCGTGCACTACTCAAAAGACGGGAACATTACCATGAGCAAGGTCTCGCACAACGTTCCGCTACCTTTGCGCAGCACCTCGTCGGGGTTGAGTGGGATGATGTTGCACAGGGAGAAGATAAACGGATGAACGTATTTCATATACAGGTAATACGTCGCCACCGCATCGGACACGGAGTACTGCGCAAGCACTTGCGGCTGCTCCAGGGCGTACCTACGTATCAAGACGTGAGATCGTTTCCGTGCCGATCATAGGGGACTGAACGTACGGAGTCATGAGTTCCGGGTCCAACTCGATCGGGTTGTACCCCAACTTTGCGGTCGTCACCGCCTTCAAGCCCTGACTCCCCTGCGGCAAATACGAGTCCCGCTTCACCCATCTGAAGCAGTCCATGTGCACGCAGCTCCGACTCTTGAACTCCTCCTCATTATCGATCGCGAACCCGATCTCCTGAAACATGTCGATCCCGTGCACCTTTGCCCGCGCGCACAGAAACGGGAAATCGAAAAAGTCGCCGTTGAACGTGGCCATGACCGTCGGTTTGACCTCTTGCACATGCCTGAACCAGCGCATGATCGTGCTCGGCTCGTCCGGCTCGTTAAACACCGTGAACGGGCCCTCGTACCCTTCCCTGGGTGTATACTCAAAATCCTCGATGTCCTCACTCACGATCTCGCGGTTCGTGATGAGGTACCCCTGGCCGTCGATCATGTAGGAGATCATCATCACCTGGTCCGTCGCCTGGTCCGGGAACTTGAGCGGCGCCTTCGTCGTCTCGATATCGTACGCCATCACGACGGGGTCCGCGCGCTTCACCCGCTCCCGGAGCACCGCGAACGACGGCTGGCCTGCGGTCAGCGTGACGGCGTACCAGAGCCCGACCCGGAGGTCGTTGTCGATCGCGACACGAAGGTAGTACGGCACATCATACTCGCGCGCGTCGATGATGCCTTCACGGGGATCGCGGTCGCGCGCGCCAGGGGCGTTGTACCCGTCGATCTCGTCCATATCCACGTCCACATCGAGGTGCATTGAGCCCGTGCCGTTGGCGGTCGCGTTCACGACCTCGGCATACGCGTCCACAGCGTCGCGCTTGGCGCCGTTGGCGAGCGCGAGCGGCACGATCTCCCGTCGGACAGTGAGGAGGTCGGACACGTTGCGAAAACAGAGCTGAAGAAAGAGGCGGCCGGGGTTGACGAGGTGGTTGGGAACCTTGAGATCCTGTTTGCGTTCGCGGGAGATGCGGACAATGAGCCCTTCGTACTTCTTCATGAGCCATTCCTCGATGGTGTTCTCCATGCCCGACTACGAACCGACGCGCGTCAGATGGAAACGGTGAGAGACAGCTCAAGCGTGGCCACCTTGCACGCAATCATGAAGTAAGGCTCGTATAGCAGGGTTGCCTTGAACATCCCACCATCGTCTTGTATGAAATAGAAATCAACGGCAGCTTTTCCACCGGCATAATCGGGGTCCTTCATCAATGTCTAGAGAGAGAGCCACAAGCGTCACAGTCAACAACAGTGCAAGATGCATTCATGACCATCACTCACAGGATGCATATTGACCAGCCACCCTTCCCGCCTCCCGCCCTCCTGCACGCGCGCAAACCCCAGCTTCTCGTCGACTTCGTCGTTCGCCCGAACCTGCTCGAACCGCTCCGCCAGCTGCGTTCCATCCTCGTCCCTCTGTGGTGCCGGTGCATCCGCGTTGCCGTTTCCGCCCCGCGCGCCGCCACGTCCGCGTCCGCGTCCCCTCCCTCTGAAATGCGTCGAGCCGCGCATGGAGCCTCTCGCCCGCCGCGAGGACGTGAGTCCGAATGTGCCTCGGGCCATGCCCGCTTCAAATGTGTCTTGTGGCGACTGTTTCGTGTTCTGGATGTCGTGGCGACGCGTAAAGAGGAGGTAGGTAGGAGCAAATCAGGAGCGACAGACGAGACAGACGAAGAGGAACGATGTGACGTGATGAAACGCGTGCAGTCACGCTCATCCTCGTGTCGTGTAGCGTGACTGTCCAGCCAGTGGCCGCGGTGACGGCAAGCACTACTGCTAATACCTCCACCAGCTTGCGACGACACTGGCGTTGGGCTGGCTTTGCACAAACTGGACGACTGGAATGTACGTGAAGATCATTGATTGCGACTATGGAGTCAACGAGGCGGGTGCGCCGGTAAATCTTGGCAACGATTCTGTTTTCCAAACGGGGTATCTCGGAAAGTCGTATCCATTCGTTCAGATAGTTTCCCTGATCGTAAGGCTGGGCTAAGTACATACTCTCTGCAAGTCGCAATGCTGGGGTGATCTAGCAATCAGTGGATGCACGTGAATATCCAATGATCCATCTTGGGCGTCTCCAGGTGTTGCGCAACAAGGCTCGAGCCACAGCCGGCCTTGCAGCGACACTCTCTGCAGGACTCTGCTGAGAAAGTCATCTCTGGTCCATCCTCCTCTTTACATATAAGATTTGTACCGGGATTCATCAGAAATGAGCGTCTCAGCCGATCAAGCGCAAGATATTGAGACCGCCACGACGGCCATCGAAACTGAGTAAGCCAGAGATCGTTCGCGGTCAGAACCTTGATCTTATAGAGAGACTAACAATCTATCGTTGGTCGCTTCAGCCCGCCCTCAGGAGCACCAGACGCCAAGACACGTCGCTATGATCGGCAGCTTCGGTGCGCGGCAGCAGGCAGTACGTTCACCCTGGCGTTGCTCTGAACACACCGTATTTCCCGCGTTCGCAGACTATGGGCGTCGAGCGGACAATCTGCGCTCGAGTCCGCGTCCATCCTCGTGATCGGCGCTAGCGCCACGGCGACGTCGATCATCAAGAACCTCGTCCTCCCCGGCGTCGGCTCGTTCACGATCCTTGATCCGCTCGCCGTTGCCCCCGCGGACGCAGGGAACAACTTCTTCCTCGACGGGCAGGAGAGTATCGGAAAGAATCGCGCGCAGGAGGCGGTTCCGCTGCTTCAGGAACTGAACGACGGCGTGGTGGGCAAGGCCGATACGAGGGACATAAAGGATATCCTCGCCACTGAGGATGGCCAGCGATGGCTCCGTGACTTCACGCTAGTCATCGCTGTTAACACGGAAGGGGAAACGACGAAGCGTCTAAGCCAATGTCTTTGGGAGGCTGGAGAGGCGGCGCCGACCTTGATCGTGGTCACCAGTGCGGGTTTAATCTCCGAGTTCTACATCCAGTTTCGCGAGCATCACAGTATGCCATATTTTATTAGTGGTCATATCGCCTTAGCTAATACCCTCCTGTAGTCATTGAATCACATTCAGAAAGCTCGCCCTCACTCCGCATCGACAAACCCTTCCCGGCTCTCCTGCAGCACGCGATGTCTTTGGATTTCAGGTGGGCTGTTCACTATGCACATATGCACCTTCGTCCATCTGAAGTCCTCCGATGCAGTACAATGGATCCCACTGAGCACGGCCACGTTCCCTACGTCATCATCCTCGTCCGAGTGCTCGAGGACTGGAAGAAGGAGGTAGGTTGTACCGCCTCTGACACGTCGCCGAATCCGACTAACAATCATCGTCGCCCAAGCATGACGGTACGCCTCCCAAGACGTACGCTGAGAAGCAGGAGTTCAAGGCCAGGATACGTGCGATGAAGGTCAAACAGGACGAGGAGAATTTCGATGAGGCCGAGGCACAGGCGTACCGCGCCTGGACAGAGACTACGGCGAGTTTGCCGGACCACGTTCATCTGAGATCCAGATACTGATTTTACTTCTCAGGTACCTAGTGATATCAAGGCCTTGTTCGACGATCCGGCGCTCGCGTACGGCCAGCTCACCATCGGATCACCGCCATTCCTTCATCTCCTAGACGCCCTCAAGCATTTTGTATCGCAACCTCCCTATACCCTCGTATGGTTCTGTGCATTGGGCATGCGTACCTTGCTGACGTCAAACAGCCCCTCACCAGTACGCTGCCCGATATGAAAGCCGACACGACAAACTATATTCACCTTCAGAAGCTATACAAGGCACGGATGGCGTATTTGGTCGTCGATTACACGTCTTACTCATCCACTACGCCGATAGACGCGTGCTGAGGAAGAGAAGAAGATTTTCCGTGGACTGGTACGACAACCCGTCGACGAGGGTCTCGTAGATTCCTTCGTCAGGAACTGCCATGCTGTCAAGCTGATGCGAGGCAAGCCGTACGGGACATTTGACCTCGACCAAGCTGCTATAGGTGAGTTTTATACGTACAAGCACGATCTCTCCGAATGTTCGCTCAACCGTTATCCCCTCGCAGCCAACGCGTTGGCGGTGTCGCCCAAGGAGACGGTCACCCACCTGGCCCTGTCGGCGCTCTCGAACATCGGACGTCAGAACGTCTCCGTGGAAGCTCTCACAGCCGAGATCCAACGGCTGGCGGGCCCAGGCGTGGAGCTACCAGAAGAAGAGTTGGACGCCGCCGTTGGAGAGGTGTACGTACTTCCTCGTGTTCGCGACCACTCGTAGTAGCTGTCTTATTCATCACACGCACAGTGCTCGTGCCCCCACTGCCGACCTCCCCAATGTGGCTGCATTCCTGGGCGGCCTCGTCGCCCAAGAGACTATCAAGATGATCACGAAGCAATACGTTCCCGTCAACGGATATTGTGTTGCCGATCTGGTCGACACCTGGACAGGGGTCGTTGCCTAACGCCTCCCTTTGGAAGTGGACTACAATCACTCCCTGCGCAATATTACAAGAATGTATCTCATAGGAAACAGTTCCAATCATATCTCATGCATCAACGTGGTTTTTAGTTCGGTTTTTGTCGAATACGTCCAGTAGCCTTCTCGGAGCGTGGTTCGATAACACAAGTGAATGGTTCGGGATGTCTGAAATGTTACTTAGATCGCGAGCTAAGACTGGTTCAAGGGACAATGAGGCTCACGCTATCAGACCCGTCTTGCGCTTGGGCTCCAGAAGGATTTCGTGGTCTTGTCCATCCACCGGTGGGCTGATCCTGAATACCGAAAGCATCGACGCAATGAGCAGGAAGAATGCCTGGTCACCAAAATGCCTTTCAGGGCACACCCTAAGGAGACCAATCGCGTCTAATAACATGTCGAGTCATGACGAGCTTAATTCTCACCTGCGGGTGAAGCCGAACGCGTAGTCGTAGGGGTTGAGAACATCGGCATACAGCGCCGTTTGTGAAGCGCTCTGGGCGGAAAACGTCTGGTTCCGGGAAATCGACTTCATCGTGGAATATCGCCCTGGTTATTGAGCTATCAGTCAACGAGGCCATTTATGCACAGATGCGGACCAACACACCATATGTTGGGCATCACAACAATGCCTTTCGGTACGAAATACTTGCCCTGGCAATATGTCATCGGCGCTGGTAGCGTGCGCCAAAGCCAGGGGAGCTATCAAGCTCCATCTCATCGTCTCTTTGATGATGGCGTACCTTTGGCCCACAGGTGTAGCTACAGCACAGGACCAATCAATCTGCGTGCTGGGTCCACATATTGCGTACAAATCCGGACAGCGAGGACCGATAACGGAGAAGAGGCGCACACCTCACTCCGGGGGCTTTGGGTGTTTCGTTCGAGGCGTTGTCCCCGTCATCAGAGCAGCGGGAGAACCGCAGGATGAGTCAGAGAGGAATCAGCTGGCCGCTCGTTCAAAGTTCGATTGGAGAACGAGAAGAACCGGGGCTCTCAATCAACGGCGGCGGTCAAGCAGGTAGGATCCAACTGCAAAGTTCTTGAATTCAACTGAGTGGTGTTTAACTTGGTACAGCTCCTCTACTCATGCCCTTGGGCGTTATTGGCGCCTCAAGTTCCGCCAGCTCCTTGCCCTCCTCTTAAACCTGGACGAAAATGAGCGCGGGCTGCAGACGATCGGTACGTGACTGATTACCAAAACCGAGCCCTTCAAGAGCACTCCTGAGCGCGTCGTAAACCTTGTGATGAGGCGCGGGCTGGATCGAGTTGACGACGTGACTCTGAATGAGCCCGGTGTAAGGAGAGAACTCATACGTCGAATTACTGTGATGGCATACGACGTGAGCGTATTGACCTTCCCCAGCACGATAAGAGTACTCACACCTCCCATTCACTACGCGCCCCGCTGACACGTGCAGTGCCCGTCACGCCAAGCGAAATGAAGACACTCTTTTCTCGGGGGTGTTTCTGGAATAAGGGCAATTGAATACGTGCAACTTTGTGTGGTGGACAATATCCACCTTGATCAATTGCCTATCGCCATCCGGAGCAGGCGGAGTTTGTTCCGTCCCACTGACGTCTGGTTCAGGTCCATTCGTGACTCGCATTCGCTTGAGGGTGACCTCCAAGTCGTTGTAAAGAGCCTGTGAATGATTGGTGACAGAGAAGATCCGGGTTGGGTCGAAACTCGTACCTTCATCGTGGTGCGCACGAAAACGGATGAGGAAACGTATAGAGGCAGACCTAGATCATGATGTACTTATGATTTGGGGATGATGCTAGCGTTCAGAAAAGACGCACCCTCTATCTGCATCATTTTTCCATTCATGCCAGGTACGGGCAGTGTCACAGGTGGATGATATGACAACCGGATATTAGGCGCATACAGAGTGGCCATCGACTTGCCATACGTGGTATGAAGGAAGGTCGCACTGATAAGACCGTTGGACGAAGGGGGATGGTTGTTGACGTCTAGCACGCCTGGGTGTCACTCAGTTGCTGCCTTTGCGTACTGTTGAGCATGGCTGACTTACCTCTATCCAGTGTCGCAACAAGGCCCGTCTGGAAGAACTCCGGAAGGGTCTGCTGTAGAATGTATATAGCTCGACCTACCCATCTTCAGGTCAGCAACAGTTGGTCTTTGTATGGCAATGCAATGCACCTGTTTTAATCTCCCACTCTGCGTCTGGAAGCTCCTCTGGTCCTTCGGGTGGTTTGCCGCCGTCATCCTTCGTCGATGTAGCGAGTGTGCCATCCCGGAGGTGGCCCCGAGTCACGACCGCAGAGGAGCCGGTGCTTGCCCGTCTTGCTGACAGTCCATCTGAAATCACAGCAGCTTCAACTCGACCTCTGATGCTGGGGGTTGAATCTTCATAGATCGTCGAAACATCTTGCAAGTCTCTTCGTGCCGATGACTTCCGAAACGCTCTTGCTTGACACTTCACAGGGTTTGGGATACGCGTGTACGACTGCGGGACTGATTTTCGTAGTAGTAGTCGCGACTGCATAACCTATAGACCAGCTATGAGAGTGGAAGTAAAAGAGCCATGTCCAAGGACCGGCGCGATGGCTGGCGCGTTGGACTGGCAGACCCCCGAGGTGAACGCTCTGGCTCTTGAACAATTCGTGAGAAACTGTCAAGTGACCGTGAGAGAGCGGTTTCGAACCTTTCCATGTTCTTTCTTTCGACCTTTCGGCGAAACTACCACGGCTGGCTCGACGTTACAGCTGAAGGGACCTGGTACACCTCGCAACCATATTGGGATCTGTTTATTGATGATGCTTGTCAGCGAATGTGGCGCTCATCCGACGACGGGACTTTCGCGCATTGCTTTGCTCCTCCGGGCTACCTCATCCCGGCTGTCTGGGATTTATCTCTTCACCGATCATCGAATCGATGAGGCACTCCTCAGCATCAGACGTATATGTAAGGGACGTCCAGCTCGTTCCCTTAGATAGATTCGAATGCGTTGGCAACCTCTGGCATCTCCTGGGTGTGTGCTGTACAAGGACTGCATTCCCGCTTCGACCGCTCGTCGCCACTCACTGGACTCTCTCTTCGAACGCAGCGAATGTGTAAAACTTATTGCGGTGGCTTTATGCGGCTATCCAGACGTATCAGGCCTTGATCACAAGCTGTCTCGTCATGCCCCACAAGATGTATAGCCTGAGGTGTCCTGCGTAGCCTGTTTTAGCTGGCTGGCATCCGCAACCGCGTAGCTTTGCATCGGTGTATTGTTCGCGTTTGATTTCCTCAGGAGTTCCATCATATATGTTTCGGCCGAACGAGGATGAAATGGTATAAAATGTCTGTATCTTTGCTGGATTGACACCATCCTCTAACCCATCCCTCCCACTGTCCCAGTTCCCTCCTCCTTTCATGTTTCCAATGATGTGCCACAGACTCTGCGGCAGGCCTCAATGTACATGTGTTCCAGCTCCCGCCAACTACGAGCTGTACGTGTTTCGATCACGTTCGACTACCCTTGTACTCACCTTCTCCTTTTACGTCGACTTCAGCAACGCCTACAACACCTACGCAGTGACAGCCTATGGAGGGGCAGTTCATCAGGGGTGGACTAACCAGAACGTTGTCCACTACCCCGTGCCACAACTCCGTTACTGCGCTCCGGAGTTTCAGGCCACTGCAACGCCGTCCGCCGCGCGACAACGAATAGCTGCTCCGCCGACGGGCAACGGCGGAATGGCGCTCGGCCGCCCAGACAACTCGCCTGCTCGTGTTCAAGGCGCCGTCAACCCTCCCAGGCCTAGTCCGCCCGCTCCTCCCCGGGTGAACGGAACTATCAACGACAATACGCAACCTTCTGCTGTCCCTGGAGCTGGGAGACAGGTGGCTGCGCTACAAGCTTCACTGGCAGGCCAGAGCGCTCCTGACCCAACTGTGTCGTCCATTCGTGCTGCTGACGGCTCGATCTCGCTTGCGAAGATCGGTGATCTCTTGGCTAAAGGCAAATCTGGTGATGTTCGCGTCTCGACTTCGAATCCGGACCGTGTCGTCTTGACTGTGGAGATGCTTACTGCCCGGTTTGAGCTGACGGCTAGCCAGGCTGAAGAGATTCTTCGCGAGCTGACCCGCATAAGATCGTAGGTCGACATCTTGCTGTGGGATCGTATGCGAAGCCACATCCATCTAGTTTGATCTGCTACATGTATACATGATCCCGTGCGTAGTTATTGGCCCCTGAGTTTTGAATCATGCGTGATTATACGAGAAAGAAGTATGAATCGGCTTGTGATCCTTGCGATTTCGAGAAATCACACTTTTATACTATCTCACTTCTGGTGGGGTAAATGACGAAAACGTCGTGGGTAAGTATTAGAACACGTGGCTCCTTGGTGCATCCAGCGTCTCGTTCGGGCAGATTCAAACGCTCGAAACATCACCGAGAGGCACAGTACTCAGCATTGTCCCCGCTGTCTCGACAGAACATCCGGTATGCAACCCTGGAACGCGCGTTTCTCGCCCATCGCATTGGCCAGAGATCCCTCGTCGCATTGCTTGCCCACAAAGCCATTCCGTCCACCCGTCTTATATCTTTCTTATACTGGGATGCCTGTGGCCGCCGAAAACCGCCTCGTTCTCGCATTGTCGCGATGAGCGGCACACGATGAGGGCGATCCCAGCCCACAATGCCCCAGTGGCATTGCTCACAGGTTCTAGTATAAGTTGTCAGTCGTCTTCCGCATCAACAGCTCGCCATTTCAAGCATCTATAGACATGCCTCGCCGTTATCTCTCCGGCCGCCCCGAAGACCTCAGATTGTCGCGCTTCCGTGTTTCGTTGTCTGTGGATGAAAACTGGTGGGTATTCATTCGCCCTATATGCGATGGTCAGGTTCTGATCTGAAACCACAGGGCACCGCTCGCACGTCAAGATAGTATATCCTCTCTTCAAGACGAATTCCAGCGCGGTGCCACTCCGGTCTTTCCGACGAACGACGAACGGAGCCGCGAATCCACCCCCTACGATGAATACGTATGCCCAACACCCCCATACATCGAGGACGAAGATCGGTCGAGAGCGTCTACTCCGTCGACCGTAGTCGACGATACCGAAACTCATGGGAGGACGCCATTAACAAACGTTGGATGGGCTAAGCCAGGCCCCTCGAGTTGCTTCCCTCCCAACGCGCACCCCATCACGGGCTACATCCCTCGCGAGGAATCCTTTCAATACGGATCATCACGCGCGTACACGCCAGTCTACCGAGCGGGTTCGGAGGTGTCCACCGTGCCAGACGACGAGATTTCGTGGCGCTCACCGACACCCCATGATGACCACGCGGATCCTGCAACTCCACGCCCAGCCTCAGAGGACAGGCGGTCCGTTACGCCGACCTTCAGCTACAGGTCGCCTTCCGTCGTCGTTGACCACGAGATACCAATCCCTGAACAGATGCAGCGCACCTCGTCGGTCTCGTCCGTAATCTCCTCCACGTCCACTTTGACATGGTGCAGCTGCTGTCAATGACACGATCTACTAGGCCTCCACTCGCCGCGCACTCTGGACACCTCTGGGATGACTGGAGATGCAGAGCGACTTGATTGGGGTACCGAGCGCCGATCACGTAAATTCCAAGTTTCATGCTACTTACAAACATAACACTAGATCCTACGATACTTAATACACGTTTTTCGTATGCAAAATGCAGAGCACGCAGTAGAGCTCGTCTGGACGCACCCGGGAATGAGAAGCAGCCCGGAGAGATGCAGCGCATTGGTCACTGATTGACACAGCGAGAGCTGTGTACTCTTCGTCTCGCTGAAGACCCCTCGCCCACGCTTTGTTCACGCACAGATTGCCTCACGGTTATGCTGGGAATAGCGTGGGCGTCGGGAAGGTTGGGAATCATATCACGAACGCCGTTACGGATGCGTGCCATATGTATGGTCGGGGCTGCGAAGACCGCCGAAGAGAAACTCCATCTGGACCACACGCAGTGCGTCCACTGTCACAGCGGTGGCCTATACCACAATGGGCAAATTTACCGAGTGGCCTCGTTGTTCGTATTCATATAAGACCACTGAGTTGGCTGCTAAAGTGTCCACTCCGATACAGCGTGTCCTAGTCTTTATAACTTCTGATCCATCTGAACATAAACATATTTAAAGACGCTACACAGCACACGTACGGACCATTCCATTTCCAAGACCCCGGCTAATATTCCTTACTTTAAGAAACTTCTGTGCAGAATGCCCCGGTGTTATCAGTGCACGTTCCAGGGAACCCCCGCTGACCTCGATTCGCACATCATTAACATCCAGTACGAGATGAGACCGTATCTGCACTGCCGTCTCACTTACATAATTGAGCTTGACAGAAAAACGAAAACCGACAAAGGCCCATTCCGCCGAATGGAATGGTACTATCGTACCGTGTTCTCAGTGTCCTTTTCAAGGAACGCGCGCGGACCTTGAATCCCATCTCATCAATATCCAGTACGCAATATAAAATTTCTCCCAATCCATGTCTATGTCTGATTGATTGCGGCCAGCTTGCCATGTTCGCCTCCTCCTCCTTTGTACTTGTCAGATACATGGAAGAGCCCCCGTTTCTCTCTTCCATACAAGGGACAGGCCAATCCTGACCCGTTATCGAATACGTCTCGACGCGAGGCGTATGCCTCTTTCTTCCCCAGCGCGAATCATTACTTCTGGGGGCAAGGTACATGCTAGATTGCCAGCATGACGTTATAATTATTGGTTGTCTAAATTTGGCCCTATGTTCTCTTGACAAGCTTACAATGTAAATAATATAGTAGATCGCATGATACAAAGAAGCATGGCACACCGGAACGACATCTTCGAGATCTGACTACCGAAAATCATGTACACTGAACCTAGAATCGCATTCAAAACCGGGCCATAGCTAACGACGGTAAGATGAGGCTCGATCTTGGAGAGGAATCAGGGTCACCACACTGCTTCCCATTGCATTTAGGCCAGGGATGAGTCGGCCGTTTGAGATTTGGCATGGGCGACAGTAAACCAGCGAAGTTTCTCCACTAATCTGGCGTCCGAAAAGCCGGGGATGGATAGCGTTAAGTCAAGGTTAGCACCAACGGCTCTTTATCTTTCAATTAATGTGTCCGTACAGTAACCGATGAGTTTGTCGGTTACTTGTGGCTGCGCTTGTGGGTGCTTGGCATTTTTGGCATAAGGATTAGAATGCGCAAGGAGGGCCTCGTATGAGGAGCCATACATGCGTAGCTCAGCACCTTATGTTCTGTACAAGATTGGCGCGGTGCAAAACCTGCACGGTAGGGAACGGACGCAGGCAAAGAAAGGAGGATGAGGCTGATGAGGCTGAACCGGATCACCCGCTGCTGACGTTGACGTGAACGGCAAAGGCTGTACGCACGCGTCCCTTGCTCGCGATGCCTTCGCGTGCTTTGTTACGCTTCATCAGACCGGGAGAACTGCACGAACATCTGCATCACCCGTGAAATTGACTCGAAGGAACCCAACTTGATGAGGAGGATCGACAACGTTCTATGGCACCGAAAAAGCAGAAACTCAAGTTTCAGCCTCTTTCGCATGGGTCAGATGCGTCTCCACACCCGGCCAAGAGGTTTAAGTCGTTGCCCTCGGTGCGTCCTGAACAAGAGAATAACGTGGACGAGTCTCATATGCTCGTTCTTATAGCGCACCAAGATACAGCCTGTGGTCGATTTGACGCTGAGCGATGACGACGATGAGATCGGACCGAGCGCAAGCAGAGGGGGCTTGAGCGTCTCCACCGGTATGAAGGGAAAGGAGAGAGCGATTGGTGATAGCTCAGATGAGCCCGGTGCGTATTTGTCTGACTGGACCATTACGGTCCCTGTTTGACGAAACACCAGAAAGATTGCTTTGGACGGAGATGTATGCCCCGAAGACAGTGGAAGACCTCGCGGTCCACAAGAAGAAGGTAGAGGATGTTCGTCACTGGCTGATGGAGGCACTGGATGGTGGACCGTCAGGAAGGCTCAGAAAGTACCGAGTGCGTGTCCTAGACAATCCAGCGTCGGATCATTCCTTGATCCGGTGTTTCTAGCGCATCCTCGCCTTGACCGGCCCCGCTGGCACAGGAAAGACTGCCGTTCTGCGCCTCATCGCGGATGAACTCGGTGTTGAGATCCTTGAATGGCGTAACAGCGTGATCGACGGGGCACGGTGGCGAGAAGATCAAGATTACGGTACGACTTGCGGTATAGACCCTGCTTGTTGACGATCCTGACAACTTGCGATAAGGAAACGTCGATCGCTGGACTGATCACGGAGAGTCGCTCACTGACAAATTCTCCTCGTTCCTCGCTCGAGCGGGAACATACGGCGCCATCTTCTCCGAGTTGCAACCATCCAAACTATCCACACCAGGCAGTCAAGCGTCGAACACGCAGGTATCCGCTTCCGGGTTGGCGACAGCTCAGAAGCGACGCCAAGTTATTCTGCTCGAAGATCTTCCCAACGTTTTGCATCAAGGAACCCAAGAAGCCATTCATGGGGCGTTGAGGACGTTCGTCCGGAGCGAAGGTATGTTCATCTTGCGCGTTTCTCCTCATCGGTGACCCCTTATCGTTTCCACAGCACAGTTACGAACACCGATGGTGGTCATCGTTAGCGATGCTGGTGTTCGTGGTGAGGATGTCGATGACACCGGGCAGGGAGAAAGCGGCGGATATTGGCGCTCGAGGAGCCATTCGACACTTGACGTCCGTACGGTTTTGCCTTCGGATTTGCTGAATGGTCCGTACGTTACGCAGATTGCGTGAGTTGTCTGTCCGTTCGAGACCCAGCACCGCAAGAAGCTGACGTTCTTGTCACAGCTTCAACCCCATCGCACCGACCCTGCTCAAGAAGGCGCTGCAGGCGCTCCTCGGAGCCGCCTGCGCCCACAATAAAGCGGCGGGGAGGGTCTCCAAGGACGTCCTGGACTTAATCGTCCAGACCACCAACGGAGACATAAGAAGCGCCGTCATGGCTCTGGAGTTTGCGTGTACAGCGGAGGTGATATCTGAGACAACATCAGCCAAAAAGCGGAGGCGTGGTCATAATAAACATACCGACCAAAGAGGTGTTTTCGAGGCCGTAACCAGACGCGAGTCCAGCCTTGCACTGTTCCATCTCCTCGGGAAGGTTTTCTACAACAAGCGTGAGTCGCCTCTCCCTGTCTGCGCGTAAGCGGGTGTCAAACATAGCCGTCAGGCAAGGGAGACGCACCCAGCGGAAACGCGTCGAAAGCCGACGCAGCCCGTGAAGCAGAGCTAGACGCACGCCTGGCTAATCCATCGCCATTGCCGGCTCATCTGGCGGCCCACGAGCGAAGAGCAAGCAGGGTGGACGTTCCACTGCTCTATGCGGACTCTCCCATCGACTCGTCCCTGTTCTCGCTGTATGTTCACCAGAACTACACTCAGTTCTGCGAGACCATGGAGGAATGCGACGGTGTCGCGGATATTCTCAGTTTGGTCGACGTGGGTAACAGCATGGTACGTGTCCGCAGAACAGCGGCATGGGCGGTCGCCTGACGGAGGGACTCTGCAGCAAGCCAACCCCCATCGTTTCCACTTGGTGGCGCTCGGCACCCTCCACTCGCTTCCCTCTCCCGTCCCACGTCGGGGTCAGAAGCTGTCGAAGCCGCTGTACTTCGACAACCTACACAAGGAACGAGATTGCCGATCCGCCGTGGAGGACGTTCGTCATTGGCTGGACGCTCTCGTACCCGGCCGTTGGGACCCGGTGGATGTCGCGACCGGTCTAGGTGCCGTAGTAGAAGCGCGTGACGGACACGGTGAGTTTGATGTTCGATCCGCGTTCGATCATTCGTCGTGTTTTCTGATGTTTGGCGCTATGTACTTAGGCTTCGAGGGCTTGCCCTTATCCCATCGGCTGTTTTCGAAGATGACATTCACACGAGGAGCCGTTTTATCGTCGGAGCTGACAGACGGCGACGACGGCGGGTTTCCCTTGGGTGATGTCACGGAAGAGGGAGCGCTTCGCGGTCGCTCTACGAGTCAAGAGCGCGTTATGCATGGTTGGCTAGAGGACGACGAGATCGAGGAGGATTGAAAGCCCTCGTCTAACGACCCTGCAATACACTCGGAAGCCACAGCATGCTATGGTGGCCCTTTCCGCCGGCGAGCGGAGAGAGCCAGCCGCTGCTGTGGCTCAAGATACATATCGGGTATAATTAGCGGTGCGCCCTGGTCGCGACAACTCCTGCATGCGTTGTACTCGTGCCTTCCTCGATGCTCTCCAACTGCTGTTCAAAGAACCCATCAGACGATAACGACTGAATTTTCACATCGCGACGGCAAAAAACTTCATGGGTTCTCGGCGGCGAAGGAGCGTTCAGCAGGGGTAAATTAGGGACCATCCGCCAATGATTGCAACGCAACTAAATCGGGACAAAGCGAACCTAACCGCGTATCCCGCCTGGTGGTTTCCGCCGTTAGCTCCGCCAAGTCGATTATTCGCTCGATGGGGTCGGTTCACTCAGAAATATCGGGCGAGTGTTTCCTTTCCATATTGGTGACAATGGATGTACACCGCTCCAACTGCCGTCGGTTTGTTCTGCGTTGGGGGTCCCGCGGTATCCACCGGACAGTTACTCGCGTACTTGAGAAATATTTGGCTCGCGACCTCCATTAGGCTGCGAGCGAAGAACTTCGGAGTCTTTCGAAAGCCTCGCGTGCGCAACGGGCTCGCTTTCGCTTTTAAAGCGCTAGGACCAGGCAAAATTTGCCATCCACAACCCCGCCCCGTGGCTTGCTCGTCTCTCCCCTCGTCGACTCTATGGTACTGCAGCGACCCAGGAAGCCTTACAGCCGGAAGACACGATCAAAACTTGTGGTGCAGCGCTCGGTGAGCCGTGGTTCTGCTCGTGGTATAGAGTCTTCTTCTCACATCGTGAGTAGTTCAAACAGTCCGATAAACCTAGGGTACAATGCCCGCAGTGCCCCTCGACTGTCGGTCGCGAGTACGATCTCAAACGTCACATGCTTTTGCATCTCCGTCCCAAGGCGAAGGATAAGAAGTGAGTATTCCTTCCTCGGAACATGCGAAGGCAATTCTTAGTATCTATCTTGCGTAGGTCCTACCACTGCTCGCTCTGCCCGTTCAAAGCACTGCAAAAGAAGAACTGGGAGCATCATTTTAACGTCTACCAGTATGTGTGCACTTCGTTGCAAACGCGTGCATACGACTGACTACACATCAGCGATGAGAATCCTAAGATCTTCTGGTGCCTCATTCCAGGGTGCGATTTTGAGGGTCTCGACCCATCGAGTTACACGACTCATTGCAAGTTGATGCACGACACTCGTCCATCCATGTTGTACGGGACCATCGGCCGGTCGAAACACCCCGCCTACGATAAACTCACAAAGACCGACCTTGAACACGACCTTCTCGCATTCGCGGAAGAAGATCCGGAGGAAGACGTCTCTCCGGAGATGGACCCAAGCTACGCGCCTAATGCTCCCCGCCCGCCTCCGCCTGTCGAGGTGAATTATCCGGAGCCTGACGTTCGCGAAGCAGGCTATACGGCGAAGTCCCCCTCGGCGCATTCTCCCTCCTTCGTTGTCCACCAGGGTGCCGGTGTCCGCGGCGGATGTTGCGCCACGAAATCGCCGTCTCCATCACTCATCGTGCGCCAGGAAGCTTGCACCCGGGTCGAGAAATCGTCGTCGACCTCCACGACGTTCTTCCATGACGCCAGTACCCCCTACGCAGTTCCTACCCTCCGTTCCTGTACATGGTCCACCGAGGAGCTTCGTGCAGCTACTCACCGCCACCGCGATGGCGGCAAGAGCAACGTCCACAGTTCCGGCACCCATCTCCCCGTCCAGTCCCCCGTCGCCGCCCCAGCCAAAATTGGCGCTATTGCGACGAACGGCGCCATGTTATCTTTTGCAAGCTCTTTCGCGACGGAGGCCAAGCGTGTCGTCTTGCCGCCCTGTTCCTCGCTCCCAGATCCTATGTCGTGGGTTCCACCCCCGCCTCAGGCAGTAGCCTCCCTCGCACCCCTCATGGCCCTGGCCAGCGACGTAACATCTGGTGCGGAGCGACGCAACAACTCGCCCGGCGTGTTTGCGTCGAGCCCCTACTACAGGCCCGAGGCTGCGCTCAGCCACGGTCATCACCAGGCAGTGTCGTATTACCGGATGCACACCGGTGTCTGACCACTCATTAACCTGCTCTGACTACGGTGCTCTCATCGGTAAAATCGGATTCCGTTCCCTTTTCAGCGCCATACACGATGCGCCATGGACTCGTAGCCCCCTTGCTTTTGTTGTCTTGTGTGTCTGTGATTGTCGAAGAGCGGTTGAGTCCATCATAATTAGCTTCCCCCTCGAACGCCATAGACGGCACTTATTGTACTTCGTCGCTCCACGGCTGTGTCGTTATTGTTCCTCGGTTTGCATCTAACATATGTTACTACCACGTTGTTGTTACAATCCGTACACGACGAACATACCCCAAGGTTCTAGCTAATAGCCTCGCTCGCCGGGCGGTTCAGACACGATCGGCAACGCATGTGCGTGTCTTGTCCTGTCCGCATCACAGACAGGATGACGGCTTTCGCTTTCGGAGACTGATAGGTAAGATTCGCCGACGCGGTCACGAGCGTGCAAAGGCATCCACCAGTCCACTGCGATCGAAGATGGAACAAACCGCCGGGAAAATGTGATGGACACAATATAGCGGTTGGTTGAGGCTCGATTCTGTGCTGCGCTGTTCTACTCCGTCGTACTTATGATAATAAAGCGATGGAAAGGCAGTGTTTGACTTCCCCGCGAGTAGTCGTTTCGGATTTCCATTCCAATCGATGACGAGACACGGTATGATTTATTGTGGGTGTATGGGCAGCATGAGTCACAAAACATCGTGCATGCTCATCAACTTATTAAACGTTGATTCTCTCATCGTGCGCGATACTGATCAAGGGGACTCGAAGAGAGAGCGCGAAACGCCTAAGTTAGGCGTTTCGCGCTCTCTCTTCGAGACCCACTCGGTCTCATATGGCGTCGCAATCTAGACTACAAGACTTGTACCTCCGCCTAACCTTGTAGCCATTGCAAGGCCTTGCAAGTTCTCGCGCGAGTGCGGCCGTTTTTGCGATGAAGTCAGGTGATCGCATACGGGGAAGAAGGTTAAGCGCCCCGTTCGCCCAAGCGCTCGTAGATGCCTGTCGAGCAAGTCAGCTTTCGGATCATTGCTTGGGCAAACACTTGAACGCCTACCGCTCGCTTCCATCAACAGGATGCTTTCCTGGAAACACACTATATAACCCCTTGTCGGACGACTTGTATTGCTCCCTGACGCACGTTGTTCTGCACTTGGAGCTCGTTGGCGGGGGCAAGTCTCGTCCCCCAGAAGACCGCCGATGACGATGTTCAAGGTACTTGCTGATGGTCCAGTATGCGGTATACACGTAAGGGAGTGATACAGTCCCACCTCGCAGGCTTTTCCATGGGGGGTGACGATATGAATTGCGCGATGGTTGTACAACGCGAGTCCTACGATAACGGCGGGAGGACTTGTCCAAGAGAAGCGCAAGATGAGATGGGCCTTCGTCGATGAGTGCGCTGGAGGAAGAAGATTCGTGAATATAACGAACTGAATCGTTGAGTACGTTGCCCATACCGGCGCGCTTCCATGCTCGATGACGACCTCTTGATATCAGCGCATAGTCTTGTCCGGCCCGTTTCACATGCGATAACTCGAAGATCAGGCGTAGTTTCTTGCCTCCTCAATGCGTGTTCTCCGGTTATGCTCAACCTACGCGCGGGAATCTACGCACGGCAGGCTCAGACCAAGCATTTTCACTGTGATAGGTAGGCTGGGAGTGGCTGCTCACAGGGGTCTAGCCCAGGTATCACAGTCGATGCCTCCAATTAGAGCGTGGCAGGTCTAATTGGAGGCCCCATTCACTCATGCGGATTGCCGTGGCACTGTCACGCATCATTACGAGGTGGTGAGCGCTGGAGCACTGCTGTATCCATGTGGCACATGGATTCAGCAGAGTCTGACACTCGCTCTATAGGATGCATATGATCAGCAAGTCTATTCAAATTTCAGGACACAAAACACGACTACCCACCCGTGCCAATGCCACCGATCGAGTGTCTAATGACCGCTTGATGAACTCGCCAGGACCAGATAGCGACGTTCGAAAGGAGAAAATCTAAGGACCGTTGGGCCATGCCAGACAACCCTCGCAAGACCTGTAGCTTGTACTTGCGACGAGACATACACGATCGCGATTGCCCGTCAGGAATGTGATTTCTATCCGTTAACTGTGTGGCGTCGTTAGCCGTCCAGCGAGTCCCTATGGATCTGTAAGGTCCGTCCAGAGTTGAACGGCTGCTCAGGTAGCATGATCGTGATGAAGTCGCTCAGCATGCAAGAGTGAGTTCGTTGGTCTAAACGTGGCTGCCGGAAAGTCGTGCTAATGGTTGGCTTTTTCACCGCGGCCGTAGGTCAACGAGCTAACTGTGGCCTCTGGTCGTCTACCCGCTGCTTTTCCCCGTCGCACTTACGAGGGTACAAATCAGACGGAGTCGACATATTCCGGACATGCACAGGGAGCGCAAGTGCCGGCCCGTCGTGGAGGTCCCTCGGCATTCCGCCCGATGCCGGTCGTACCTGGTCGCTGTTTTCCGGCGGATGCAGTGACCAATCTGGGTGGCGTCCAAGAAGCTTCGAACTGTGACGGGGTGAAGCGAAGTTTTACTCAGTTCTCGCCCGATCTCCGTTTTCGTTTTCCTCGTGGTTAATGCTAGACATTTTAGGTGCCCTTTGTTCCATCGGTTGCTCTCGACGTTCACGTTCACACGAGGTGGACCTCTCCTCTTTCCAGACCTCGTGGAGGTCGATGCCGAACCAATCGCTGCTGGTGATGTCACGAACTAGCGGCCCTTCGAATTCGCGCGGCGAGTCAGGAGCAAGATATCCACGCGCGATGCAAGTTCGTAGATATCGGGGGCCTGCGCCCAGCGCTTACGGTACACCGTCGTGGCCTTACTCACTCTTAGAAATCGTACCCACCGGCCAGCTCCGCCAACTTTTCCAGCATTTTCTAAAGTGCAAGCGCCCTGGTTGTATAGCTTCACGATGCTGTTGTATTCGCGCCTTCTTACGAAGCGTTTCAGATAATGCCCATCGAACCTTATCAGACGTTCACCATCTGGTTCCCACGTAACGACGTCGCGAACGTTCAGAGCTGCGGATCAGCCAAAACGTCCTTCTCGACAGGGGCAATTTATGGTGCATCGAAAACGGTCTGGTTCAGCCGACAACGTATCTATGGAAGATGCGGCTAACACGTTCGTGACCGCGTGGCTCTGCCTACGGTCCGCTCTACATCCTCGATGTGTTTTTTTCGATGGAGCTGTATCGGGATAGGATCCACACGTCGGTGTTTACGTGGCGGCTCTCAGTGGCCATCCAAATGGTGAGAAGTGGCTTTCATTGGTTCGTGAAGAGCCACCGCTCGAAGCCTCCGGTGGATGGGTACGCCTTAGAGACCCATAAAAGCGGTGGTGAAATGGGGCAGGAGCATCGTTCTTGTCCCAAATCGCTCGTCATGCCGCCTGACCGCAGTGCTGTCACAATCAACCGTGCAACTAGCGAGGTGTGTTGCATGAACCCCTCTCCCCCAAGCGGTAGTTTGCAAGTCTTACCCCCCTCAACAGAATACCTGGCTGAGCTACTATCCTGGCCGCGGCAGGACTCCTGCGCGACTCACGAAATGCGATCAGCGACGCCGTCGAGAGTGTAGCAAAGTAAAAAGGTGGGCTCTCAATCGTTTCACTGCATACACCATGCTGACCGCGGGAACTGCCAGTCCACGTTCGTCTATCTGTCCGGCGCCCAACGTCACGGAGGAGACAGAGTTAATCGAGTCTTCGGCCCACGCTTTGGTCGCTTCGCGCCCCACGCATGCGCCGCGTTCGTCGATATCACCAGATCCAACATACGCGCCCGAGCAGGCTCTCGATCGCGCGGATCGTTCGAACCGTGTCGAGGGACAGACCGATGGCAGCGTCCACAGCTACCTTTACAAAATGTATGCGAAGGACCACGTGTGGTGGACCGACAGTACACCCAACTCAAAAGGCTCCCTCGAAGCTCAATCAAGCTCGTCCAAGAAGCAGCCTCGACCGCTGAATGTTTCGAAATAAACGCTCCTCAGAGCCTACTTGCGGTCTGTGTCGTACGATATCCGCATGGGCGCAGAATGCGTGGTCAATCACCGTGGACACGATCATTACACACAAATCCTACCTGTATCCAAATAGACATTGGATTTAGATGTAGAGACTTCCAATTCAATCGCCGCAGAGTGAATGCATGATTACAATCGCGAGGAGTTCTACATTAATACATACGTCGTTACGTATAAATATCAAGCGACATAGCGGCGTTGACCCTTCCGACGCAAAACCTTCAGTCGATCTCAATCACGTCGTCCCTAAGCTCCTCGTTCGCGGTGTCTAGCATGACTAACCCGTCCTCGTCGAGTTTTCGCTTTTTGCTCGGGCTCGCAAAGACGGAGTCCGGAATGGCACCGTTGGTCCGTGCCCTCTTGGGTAAGGGTTCCTCGTTGTCATCCGGTGCAGGGCGTTTGACGGCGGTCGATGGCGGAGGTGTGGACGGCATTGGTGCGGCGGGCTTGGGTTTCGCTGGAGGCGAGGGTAACGGCGAGGGTAGAATCATCGCCGGCCCATCCGCAGGATGTGGTTCTCTGCTGGTGGGTGAGCGACTGTATGAGCGACAGATGAAAGAGATGCTCACGGTAACGGAGATATGGCTACGGCGATCGTGGCCAGTTCGTCGTCCTCATCCACAATCGTTAAGAATTTACCCCTGGTTACCCCGAGGCTTTCCAATGTCCGGTCGTTGTTGTCATCGAAGTCGGGGTCGCTGAGGATGCGCTTGTCTTCGTAAACGCTCACATCACGCGGACCAGTCCCCCGCCCTTCACCGTCGCCGTCGCCGAGAAGGCTGTTGACAACCTCACCAAGCGTTACTCTCGCGGGATCGCAGCGTAGCTCGGCATACACATCTCGGCATACGCCACACGACGGGTTAGGGTGGGAGACACCAACAGTGCTGAGAGGTAATTGAGGTTTGAATTGGATGAAGACGTTCTTGAGCTTGTCGTAAGACTTGCGTAGAAGATGAAGGGCCTGGAGGACGATAAGACCAGAAATGATCGCGTTTGTCGTGGCGATAGCAGGAATTATGTTGCCTGCCATCTCTAGCAGATGATCAGGGCATCAGCGTGCGAGTACCTAGGAGGCAACAGTACATATCACCTTTGACCTCCCACCGAGTCTTGCCTGCGATACCGTACGCAGCGGACCGAAGGTTTGCGGCAGCGGTGACGAAGTCGAGCGTATCGTCATCATCCTTGTCGAAGGAAATGGTCTCTTCACCGTCACGTAAACGCTCCGCAAGGCGATGCGTGCTGGTAACAAGATGATGAGATAAAGCACATATGCTAAGGACGCTTAAAGAGCCATACCTTGCAACGAAAAGGTTTAAATTCTCCTTTAGAGAGAGCGTCTTCTGGTCTTTCAGGCGGGCAGCGTCGGAGCTCGGGCCTTGTTCGCGAATCCCGGATTTGTCGTCCAGCATCTCCTCCACTGCTGAGCTGCCCTTCGACGCTTTCCCATTCTTCCCGTTCGCGCGTGCGCCGTTTCCATTCGGTGCGGCCTGATCGCTCTTCACCGATCGCAGGACGAACGTGCCATCATGAATGCTGTCGTAATCGAGCGGAGTCGGCGGTGCGCGATGGCGCCACATGTCAGCCATGGACAGTAGATTTCGGATGTCCGCATTGAAAACTTTTTGGAAAGCCATCTTTGCTGGGTCGGCGTTGGGGTCTGTGGTGGACGGTGTTCGGAGCGCAGTGCGTACGGCCTTGAAGGCTTGTTGCTCTTGACGCAGCTTCGCTATCTCTTGGGCTGTGTAGCGCTGAAGTGAGCGAAAGACTCCGACGCATTCATGATGAAGCCTCACCGTTCTCTCCCTGCTTCTCCGCTTCATCAAGGTCGCTTTGTCCGCCGGCATCTTCGTCTTCGCCAAAGAGTTGGCTGGTGGGTGCGTGAATTTGGCAATACAGTAGAATCGAATTGGCAATATGACAAGACACCATTAGCGACAGGAGATGATGATGCCTGGGTGAGACAGACGCCCGCTACCACGGTGTTCGACTGAAAACTATGGAAAGGAGAGGGGTTAGAAGGCGGCGACTCACGACATCAGGTAGCTCTTCGCCCAAACAATGCAGTGTATCGGTTGTGACGGCGTGGAACGAATAGTGCACACCGGGAATGTCTTGGGCGTCGGTTTCGGTATGCAGTCGAAGCACTCCGTACGGTCCTTGAGCAACGGTTGGACTTGACCAAGATATCCCGCTGTTCCAGATTCGACCAAGGGAACTTCGGCCGCCATGCACATCTTGTTGACGTGTCTGCGCGCATCTGTGTTGATGACAATAGTATACTGTGGTTCACCGCAACAGGATGGCGCTACCGACCAAGGTTATCGAGGGCGTTCAGGACAAGGTCAAACGACTTGAACCACGATAGGTCGTATTGCGGCTCTTTGATGTTGCCATGTATTGGCGTCAAGTGTATGTTCGGGTTGAAAGGACCCGCAGTTTGTGCCGCGACCTCAATTCACGATAGTCAGCGCACTAGACGAAAACATGACGCATATAGCCAGTCGAGGACACACCAGGGCTTTACTCTGTTTCACATCTTTCTTCCTGAATAGGAATTGCCGGTTGAGATTCGAAAGGTCGATGGTGTCTAGGTCTAGCACGGTTATGTGCCCGAAACCAGTAAGCACGAGATTCTTTACTGTTAAATCATGGAAGATATTCAGCATCATGTTCTCGTATGATAGGATTCACATACACAATTCGCATCCAATACCACCGGCACCAACTAAGAGCACCTTGGTATCTGCAAGTTTCGCGTGCAGTTCTCGCCCAAGGATAGCTTCAGCGTGTGTGGTCCGAGATGTCGAGAAAGTCATTTCGCGCGCAGTTACGTGTTCCTTTCACGTCTAGGCGCAAGATTTAGGAGGTAAGAGCAAGAGCCCGAGGTGAGCGACGACGAGAACAAGCTACGACGATGACGGGAAGCCGGAGGCGTTTGACGTTCCCTGCAATATGCGCAATATACGGTCACCTGATCATGATAAGTCTCAGAAGCGATCAAAGGTGTATAAGCAGCCAATGAGCTGTATATTCACTTTTTTCTTCCAAGTATTACAGCTTACACCCTTAATTAATGTAAGATTTGTGATCATCTAGGCTTTTCTTTCCCAGCTGCGCGTAGTGGAATCCCCGCACCATAGCATAACCTCTGACTTGCCCTGGAAGAGGACCAGAATATGCCTAGCTTTACGCCGCTTCCCAAACCGCACTGCTTTGGAATGGATGAACTCGCTGAGGCCGCAACTGCGCGCGCTGAACTTGCGGCTCAGGAGCAAAACGGCACACCTGCCGAATCGAAGCCAGTATACATCCATCTTGCGCAAGGTCTTGCTCTTACCACCGGGTCAGCACTGGGCGAACGCTGTCCTTCAAAGGAAGACTGCCTTGCGGCCTTCGTAGCTCCGAACTCCGTCGGCTTGACCGCAGGCGCTCGCGCGTGGTCGAAACACGCCCATCGCGGCGGCTCCGGCTGGTGGGGACATCCGTCTGGACCCGTTGCGAAGATCAACGAGAGAGCGCTTGAACTGTTCCACCGCGTAATGGAGAATGCAACATGGCGAAACCTCCATTGGCTACCGCACCAGATCTTGGTCTATGAAGTGCGTGTTGCAGCGGGTTATGGTATGCGCTTTGCGCAAGATCGTTTGTCATGCGCGACCGGAGAGGGAGAGGGCTCCGCATCCGAGTTCGCTGCTCGAGCTTGGTTATTCCGAGGTTTCCTTGAGCCTCAAATCAATAATGGGCATGAGATTGGTTGGCGTCATGATCTATAAACGTGTTTGATCTTGTATCTTCAATATCCTCAGGTCAGTATAAGCGACTGGTTCCGTTATCTGCGTCTGAATCGCACCCAACTTATAGATCTACCACGTACTATCGTGTTGGTTTACGCACTGCAGGAACTAGGTGATAATCCCCCGATCAACCTGGTCCGTCTATTAGCCCTCGATAGCTGTTAACATCACGCCGTTTGTAATCAACAAAGAAGTGTTACTCGCTGCGCGGAGGAAGGCTAGTAATATAATAGCCTGAAGCTACGTTTCTGTGGGGATTCTAGGCAGATTTCCTTGACCCGAAACCGGCTGTTCCGCGATGTTCCCGTTCAATAACTTGAGGCAGTTACGTGTATTGTAAACCATTATCTACCACACGCGAAACAGCTTCAAAGTGAGATACAGACACAGCAGACCGCACAGCGGTCAAAAACAAACAATTCCGCGGTGATCATCAGGACGAGGGAATAAAACCGATAACTAATTGTACAGTGGAACACATTTCTCTCACGTCAGACGAGAGACCGATACAGGCAAGGGTACGGGTACATGACGAGAAGATTACCTCATATTCGGGGCGGAAACTCGCGCATTGGACATTCGTGTATCTTTAGCCTATACGCGCCGCGTTTCCTCGACGGTGACGGACTCATTCCCCGATCCGCGGGTATTTTGCCTGTAACAAGCACCGTCGCGCCTGCTGAGCGTTTATTGCTTTATCCATCTGGACGCCAAACCTCTCTCGAAGGGAAGCATAGAAGTGTGCTCCGATTGGTACACCGTCGAAAAGAGAATGCGGGGGAGGTTGTGGCCGCGAAAGGGCCCACAGATCGGGATCGGGTAAAGTGGAGCATGGCGGCAGGGAGTTATGAGCTGCCCCCCTGGAGGGGGCGGCCCAGGGTGCATTGGCGATGGCAACGATGGGCATCCCAGAGTAGGGGTCAAACGCCTCGGGCTCATGCTGCCGATCGGAAGCGGATTCGGACCATGCGCGAGGTTGCAGCGTAGGGACGGGAGAAG